TGGGAATTCCATGTCAGCTGCCCTTTCAAAACTGACAAATGTCATGACAGCCAGAAAAATGACATACGAGGTTTCAAATTACTATTCAAATCATGTGTGCTCCCTTGTTTAAAGTATTATTCAGTGTTGACTAACCCCCATTCAGGGCAGGGATATTACTGGAACAGACCATTTACAGCCTACATAGTCTATAAAGCATTTAAATTACTGGGAATGCCGCAATCTTAAATATCTACTCACTGGAGCAGAGGAGAGAGGAATACGGCAGGAGGTGCTTTCAGGCCGAGTCCCAAATCTTTACAATGTCAAAGCATACTGGAGTAAATTACGGGAAGAATTGTGAAATAAACAGTGAAAAGCAGGGACAGTGTGGGCCTCAAGGAAACATTTTTTCAACACCTGTGGTCCCCAGACTGTTCAACATCTTATCAGAAGAATTCAGAAACCTTGTTAGAAGTCTTAAAAAGGAAACTGGGCAAATATCTCTAAGTACCAGATCAACCAGGCTGTGATGGGTATGTGGGCCAGAAGGCCTCCAGCAGCAACAACCTAGTTGACCAGCCAAGCTTGGCCTAGGGCTGGGTTCTGAGTAGAAAAACTTTACTCCATAGTAACCCAGGGCCCTAAAATCCACATCATACTTCATAGGAAGGTTTTAATATGCTTGCCCGAGCATTTTTCAATGTGAAGTGTACAAGCCTTATTTGTGCAACACCTAAACTGAAGTAATATGACCAGCAATTTCATAAATCAATATTAAATGTGCAGTACCTATATCTTATAGGTATAAAAACTTTCAAATGGACAGCTACAACTAAATGTTTAATCCACATCATAATTCTTAAATTTGTTTTATATTAATTTTCAGTTCAATCTTGCAACTACCACCTCACAGGAAAATGCACGTAACATTTTTACATTCATATATTGTACAAGCAACCAACAGGTGGGAAAACTAGGGAGGAGTTATTTCTTGTGTAGCTAACATTCGTGTACCTATTATTGTCACCTGACCTATTTAATGTTCTCGTAAACAACTTCACTTTACTCCTATTGCACCTCCTTTTACTTTAATTTTTAAGGTTATAACCTTAACTGATTTATACTATTTTACAGCCAGGCTTTAGACAGTATTACAAGGACCTCAAAGGAAATGTCACTTTTTTTATACAAGGTAATTTTACTCTTTTTACTAAGTATAGTAAGTCACCCAAATTTGTCTAACTGTACCTATGCATACCTGTAGCTAAATAAACTTACCAATAAAACTAGCAACATGGACATTTAAACAAGGCTTCGGTATCTACATTTAAAAGGACTTTAATAAACGAGGCTATCAAAGACTTTCTAAGTAACTAAGTTATAATAATAATTCACACTGCAGAACACTAACACCAACAACCAATAATCTCCAGAAGGGCGACGATCTCTGGAAACATTAACATTTAATTGAAACATTGCCACCATCCAGACGGGGACACCAGACCTTCAGTATTACGTTTGATCGTGGGAGGTGAGAAGTTTTTCCACAAATACTTACGGCAACAGTCCTGGCGACAGGGAGAGCAAGCCTGGCAGCATACATGTTGGCGATTGTGGGAATTAACCTGAAAAAAAACAGCAGCCGGTTACCAATAATCTCCGCCATTTTCAGACATGAAGCCGGCTGTATGAGAAATAAATTCACATATACACTTCACGAAAATTCCAAAATAACATGAGTAACAGCCGACATAAAAGTCACAGAGCAATACACCAACGAATGCATTAAATAATCAATAAAGAGAATGAATGTTAGAGGAAAAAACTGGCGAAATAAAGGGAGCGAACCTGGTTGGTAGTGAAGCGGGTGGCTGGTGGTGCTGGACAGACCGGTGGTGCAGCAACACCGCCGCCCCGGCCACCCAGCGCATGCGCACACCCACACACATAGATAGATAAATGTCTATTTAAGCCTTTGTCAACTAGGAAGGAAGTTTATTCAGGTACAAGAACCCATAAATTATCATATATAGCAGCATGTGTAAATTACCTAGGATAGCCCCCAAAAATTAAAGTGACATATTTCCATTGGGGGTCCTTGTAATATCTTATTATTTAAATCCTAAAAGCTAAATAAAATTGGTTTTAATTGTGACCATAATTTTTAAAGGGATGGACCCGTAAGCCAGCGGAATGCCTCGGTTAGATGACCGAAAGCCCCAACGGCGGGGCATCATCTAAACTCCTCGTCAGGAAACATTTGTCCTGTTTCCTGATAAACCTTACCTTAAAAGCTAAAACATGAAAGTCACCTATGTGAAAAGCAATTACAATAAAAGTAGATATACTAAGAATAAGGTAACCCGAGTTTTTATTAACATTAGCCACAGGTATACATATATAGTGTAAATTACCTAGGATAACCCCAAAAAAGTCAGTGACTTATTTCCATTGACGTATAATTATCATCATAAAGTTAAGTGAATTCATATCATCAGCTGATGTAGACCTAACCAACTATATTTTTATTATACCCATGAAGCGCTAAACCCATGGGGATTAAACAGTAAACGCTAAACCTACATGGATATAGCTATATTCTTGAATGAAGTCAGGACTGTAGGCAATTCAGGTTCAATGACTTGTGGGTTTAGCACTTAGTTTTGATTTCAGTAATAATCAGGTTCGATGCAAGAGAAGACAGGATCACTTTCTTGGATCAATATCACTATTATTACACTCTTGGAGAGTGCTAAACCCATAGGGTTCATACAAAGCATGCAGAATTGGAGGCAATTAGGTGTGATCCAAGGTTCAATACCTTAAATCAAAGGTCCCTCACTGGCATCAAGGAACCTCCCTTCAGGGGCCAGTGTTCCCGTAGTGTACTGATTATCTGTCACTGTATTGCTCACGTGACTGAATTCCAGATCGACAAGTAGCTTAGTGATAAGGTCGCCCAACACACAACTGAGAGGTTCAAGGTTCGATCCCACAATTGAGATATATACAAAACTTCTCTTAAATCTCCTGCCCACCTAGTTATTGTTGTTTTATTTTAATCAAGGGAAAGTGCTAAGCCCACAGGGGTCATGAAGCACCTAGGAAATGGGAAGCATTCAGGTTCGATGCAAGAGGTGCAGTTCTTTGGACTAAGATTCCCTTACCAGTATCAAGCCCCTCCCTGAAAGGTTATATTATTCATGGGAAGTGCTAAACCTAAAAGGGAATACAGCACCTGCAAATCAGCTTTGAGCCAATGAAGTGAAGGGTAACTCCAGTCCCTTGGATCAAGAACTCTCACAAGCCTCAAGGAACCCCCTCCTCAGAGGAGACATAGCAGTACAAATACATACTGATATGTTAACTTATTGAGGGTCATAACCAAGAAAAATCTTCTGTAAATATTAGAAAACTTGTCCAATTTAGTCATATATCAGGCAAAAGTGCCAATATGAGAACATTTTAAACCTCTTGGAAGTACAGTATTCAAGTGTTAAATAAAAGGTATCCATACACTGTGGCATGTCTAATAATTATCGTTAAATTAATGTGAAAACCATAAGCCCAGGAGTCATACAGAGTCTAAGATTTCTTATTTACTTCACGGTAAAGTGCTGAATCTTTAGGGATCATACAGCACATTGAGTGGGATTCAAGTAGATTTGAGCCAAGGAAAGGAATCAAGAGTCCTTCACTGGAATGAAGGCACAGACCTTGAAAGGAACTGGAGGGGTGATGAGGGGAAATTCAGTACACAAATAACATTAACATAAAAAAAAGAAACTCCTGACAACGTTTCAGTCCAAGTCGTACCGCAACGTCATAAGTTTCTTTTTCTCGTGTGCAGGTTGTTAGTGTATTGTTTCAGCAACAGTATTGTGCCTCTTTTTTTCAGGGGTGAATCAGGTTTGATTCACAGATTAAGAGTCCTTCATCAGTATCAAGGCATGCCATTCTGAAGGGTGTACGTCATGTTATTGCAAAAATCTTTGAATTCACTAACTGTGAATACATTGTGTATCTCCTTACTACTGCAACTGAATCTAATATCTATTTTACTTGTATTACATTTATGAGGAAAGCACTTAACCCATAGGGGTCATACAGTGAATGGGGAAGGAAAGCAATCAGATTCACTCCAAAGGGGAGGATAGGTCCATTTCCTTGGATCAGAAGCCCTTCACTGGCATTAAGGCACCTTTCTTGAGGGACTGAGAAAGGGGTAAGCTCCAGCTTTTAGGATCAAGGACCTTTACAGGGACTTGTAAACAGCTCATCACTACTGTAACTTTCTTAGCTAACAACACTGGAGTCCTGTCCCTGGGCTCACTTTAGCCTATGTAATATTTTACCTACCACTCGCAACATGGGAATGGGAGATACAACAAAGCTATCAGTTAATCATCATTGCTTAAAATTATTTGGCATATAAGGGATTCTATTAAAGAGAGGAATATGACAAACATAATGAAAGGAAATCAGGTATACTGTCAAGCTACTAATTGGTTAAAGAACTGTGCATTAATCTTATAATCACTGCAAAAAAGTCTCATCTTTATTGAATACAAGATATGTTAAGCAACCATTAGAATATCTAATACCAGCCACTGGATCAAAATAATGAGTGCCCTCTAATGTCACTTGAACCTAACCAAAAACTGATTAGCCAACAGACTCGATAAAAGTATAGATACAGTATACAGAATCAAGCTTTCCTCGGTGTTAAAGAAAAATTCATTTAGTGTGAGCAAGTAAACATTTATGAAGATATTCAGGGAAACCAGTTAGCTGGCCTTGAGCCCTTGCACTCTAGAGGGGTGAGGATGATGCAGTTTGTAGGGCCATCTGAACTGTGATGTCAATACCCTTCTTGCAAGACAACAACTGAACGAATGATAGTGAATGCGTTTCCTAAATAAAGATTTAGATAAAGAATTCTGATTAGTTGTCTAGATGCATTAATGAAACCCTTTTTTTTTTTTCCTTTCACTTGGAGGTTCTGAAAAAGTCTAAAATATAAGATTATCTTTATTTTTATCTCCAAGATAAGATTTTAAATTATATAACTTACTATTCCAGAGACAGGCTACATGATCAAACCATTTTGATATAAAAAACACAGCACAATACTGTACTTAAAAATATAGTTGTATACTGTGTTTGACCTATTTTGAAAAATTTATATTATATTAACAAATGAGTATATATAAAATTACTGAATATTTAACAAACAAGGGCAGTTTTTGAGTTTACAATTTACATAATTTTAACTGCCTCTTGAAGACAACAAACAGTAGTCTCATTAGAGCCGTGACTGCATTCCACCCGCAGCTATAAATGACTCTCCAGTGATGTATGAGGCGTCACTGCTACACAAGAAGGACACTAGACCTGCCATCTCCTTTGTCTCAGCAATCCTACAAAGGGTGAAATAATTCATTAATATTTTGTTGCTGTAGATTATGGTGACATGCATGGGGTAAGTTAATGCAGATATAATCAAATGTTAATGTGTAAATTCTAATTATATTAGCTATATACCTGTTAAATTTACCCACCAAAATAAATATGAAGTTTTTTTCTAAAGATAAAATTTACAATGAGCAAAATGGTGTCCCAAGAAGAGATTGTTCTGCAACATGAAACATTAACCAACTGTAATGGATATGTGAAGGAGTGTAAGGTATAGCATGAAAGGCATACATACCAAGGTGTTGCTATACTGAATTACAACATAAAGATATTTCAACACCTAGTAAATGGCATTTTGCATACATAAAGTTAAGAGGCATATATGATAAACAAATTTATAGCACCATTTTGGTGAAAAGCTAGGTAGTAGGTTGGTAGACAGCAACCGCCCAAGGGGGTACTACCGTCCTGCCAAGTGAGTGGTAAACAAAAGCCTGTAATTGTTTTACTTGATGGTAGGATTGCTGGTGTCTTTTTTCTGTCTCATAAACATGCAAGATTTCAGGTATGTCTTGCTACTTCTACTTACAAGCACATATTATATAAACAACTCTGGGTTTTCTTCTATTTTCTTGCTAGTTTTTGTTCTTATTTCCTCTTATCTCCATGGCAAAGTGGAACAGTATTCTTCCTCCGTAAGTCATGCATGTCGTTAGAAGCAACTAAAATATTGTATCAGGAGCAAGGGGCTAGTAACCCCTTCTCCTGTATACATTACTAAATATAAAAAGAGAAACTTTCGTTTTTCTTTTTGGGCCACACTGTCTTGGTGGGATACGGCTGGTTTGTTGAAAGAAGAAAAGAAGATTTTGGTGACAGGAGATAAGTCAATTACCTTCCTAGAGGAATTGTTTCCAGTATCTTCTCGTATACTGCTGGGTGTTGAGTTAACTGGAAAAATAAACAATTATTATGTCTGGAGTCTGACAGCATATTTCATTTTCTCTCCAATATAAATTACTAAATTCTGTATGACAACACTGTATTAAGCAAGGTAAACAGAATAGAGCATGCTCAGTAATGTAACATGAGCAAAATTCTGATATTCCAAATCCTATGATTATCACAGTAATGGGTACACTTAGCTTCCAGTTTTTTTTTTATTAGATCAAACCTGAATGCCTATCATTACCCCAGGCACTGTATGACCCCTAAGGGTTCACTGCTCCCCCGTCCCCATGAATGTAATTATAATCATTTTTATTTTATTAAGTTATACCGAGTTACACTAGTTAATACATACCTAATTTGTGTAAGTCCATTTTTCTGTAATAATACCCTTATGGTCTATATGCACTTTGTGATTTCCATTTCTAACACAGTTATAACTTTTGGATGCATTTATATAGTTGTCTATCCATAAATATTTACTGTACACACTTGTTTGTATCAATTCTATTAATTGTGAAATGTTACAACTTTTTCTTTCAACTGACATTAGAAAGCATCCATGGAACAAAATAAATATCATTTTTTTTTTTCCAACAAGTCAGTCGTCTCTCACCGAGGCAGGGTGACTCAAAAAAAGAAAGAAAATCCCCAAAAAGAAAATACTTTCATCATCATCCAACACTTTCACCACACTCACACATTATCACTGCTTTTGCAGAGGTGCTCAGAATACAACAGCTTAGAAGCATATACGTATAAAGATACACAACATATCCCTCCAAACTGCCAATATCCCAAACCCCTCCTTTAAAGTGCAGGCATTGTACTTCCCATTTCCAGGACTCAAGTCCGACTATATGAAAATAACCGGTTTCCCTGAATCCCTTCACTAAATATTACCCTGCTCACACTCCAACAGATCGTCAGGTCCCAAGTATCATTCGTCTCCATTCACTCCTATCTAACACGCTCATGCACGCTTGCTGGAAGTCCAAGCCCCTCGCCCACAAAACCTCCTTTACCCCCTCTTTCCAACCCTTTCAAGGACGACCCCTACCCCTCTTTCCTTCCCCTATAGATTTATATGCTTTCCATGTCATTCTACTTTGATCCATTCTCTCTAAATGACCAAACCACCTCAACACCTCTTCTGCCCTCTGACTAATGCTTTTATTAACTCCACACCTTCTCCTAATTTCCACACTCCGAATTTTCTGCATAATATTTACACCACACATTGCCCTTAGACAGGACATCTCCACTGCCTCCAACCGTCTCCTCGCTGCTGCATTTACCACCCAAGCTTCACATCCATATAAGAGTGTTGGTACTACTATACTTTCATACATTCCCTTCTTTGCCTCCATAGATAACGTTTTTGACTCCACATATACCTCAACGCACCACTCACCTTTTTTCCCTCATCAATTCTATGATTAACCTCATCCTTCATAAATCCATCCACCGACACTTCAACTCCCAAGTATCTGAAAACATTCACTTCTTCCATACTACTCCTCCCCAATTTGATATCCAATTTTTCTTTATCTAAATCATTTGATACCCTCATCACCTTACTCTTTTCTATGTTCACTTTCAACTTTCTACCTTTACACACATTCTCAAACTCATCCACTAACCTTTGCAATTTTTCTTTAGAATCTCCCATAAGCACAGTATCATCAGCAAAAAGTAACTGTGTCAATTCCCATTTTGAATTTGATTCTCCATAATTTAATCCCACCCCTCTCCCGAACACCCTAGCATTTACTTCTTTTACAACCCCATCTATAAATATATATATATATATTCCTATTATCAATAAAGTCTTACCGTACTCGAGAAATTGGTCCTCACAATACCAGGGGCGACACAGTTGACTCGAATATTGTCAGAGGCTACTTGATGCGCCACAGCTTTGGTCAAACCAAGAAGAGCTGTTTTGCTTACACTATATGCCCCTAGCAACTGTACAAACAGAGAGGAGAGAAAACTACAAGTAAGTCCATTACATACATATGCTTTACCTGTACACATGTAGAGAGACAAATGCTTAACACTGTACAACATAGGAACCCACTGAAAACCTATCACTTCTGCAATCAAATATAACTTGCCCTCAATATTTTACTATATGTTAATATACAAACCTGGGTTAACCAGGTGGCATTTCCACACAAGTACCAATCAATCAAAACTTTATTTTGTTTTGAAATACATGTGATTAAAATAAAATATAAAATTTTACATACAGCCTGGTTGATCAGGCCCTGATCCACAGGGAGGACTGGTTGTGGACTGGGCCGCAGGGGCGTTGATCCCCGGTATACCCTCCAGCTAGGCAGACATATTTACATATAGCACTATTATAAAGCATCATACAGAAGAATATTTTTCCAATTAACAGCTAGTTTATTTTAGCTGTAGTTATTCATATTTGTAAAACTGTTAAACAAATTTTTAATCCAATGATAAAACAAAACTGTCAAGGTGTCCCATACCTCAACTGTTAGCACACTCAGCTCACACACTGAGGTCCAGGGATCGATTTTCCAGTATGGCTGGAAAACACGGGGACATGTTTCCATAAGACCTACTGTCCATGTTCAACCATCACCACACCAGTTAGTCAACTGGTGCGAGTCGCATCCTGCGACAAAGTAGACCTAATTTGCCCGAAATGCTCTGCATAAGCCTGTATACCTTTTAAGTGTACTTGTAGAAATAAAGATATTATTATTTAGTAAAAAACTCATTACCTGGAGATTTTTGTAAAATTTAGCAGTAAAGTACCTATACATGTATACTGTACATTGAAAATGCTGTATACCTGGAGTATACAGTCATCCCTGGAAATTTGCAGGCTTCCATATTTGTGGACTTTGATAATTCAAGTCTGAAATAAATTTGATATGCAGACTTAATTTTATATTACAGTTTTTACTTTTGATGGGCCTCTAGGACTGCAACCCCCACAAATTTGCCGGGGTACTTTTATACTGCACATGTAAAGATAATGGTACAATAAATCAAGGTTAAGGCCTGTCTGAGGCTCATTTGTTGTGCCCAAGATATTTAGGGTAATATGTACTATACGTACAATATTTATAGGATTTTCAGGTAACACCATAATTGTACATACAATAATGATATAAGGATTTTTTACTGAATGTGTCAGTCATTATAGACACCACTGGCTACGAGCTAGGCAAAATGCCTGTAAAAAAAATATTTTTTCTATAATAGTAATATGCCATGGTGTGAAAATAACAACTGGCTCACCTGGTTTTGAGGTTACAGCACATTTTTTACACAATTTATAATGTTTAGAAAGTGTGAAATTTCAGCATGCATTCTGAAAGATGCTTTCAAATAGTGCACATTTTTTGGTATGTATGTATTTATTTATGCATGCCAGCATGCATGCATAAATAAATACTGCATGCTGGCATACCAGCTTTAAATTTCCAGTACTTGTAGCACTTACTACCTTTCTCTTTTTTTTTTTTTTAGCTCTGGAAGCCATTTGGTAGTTTGTCTCATGACATTTATTATCCACAGTAATGTGTTTAGAAGATAATGTGGCTCTCTAACCACTGCACCACAAACAAACTCAATCATTAATCAGGGTGTAATTGTACTATACTTTTGAATTCATATTATATGGGTGTGAGGCATGGGCTGTAAATGCTGTAGCACAAAGGAAGATGGAGGCAGTGGAGATGTTGTGTCTAAGGGTAATGTGTGGTGTAAATATTATGCAGAGAATTCATAGTGTGGAAATTAGGAGGTGTAGAGTTACTAAAAGTATTATTCAGAGGGCTGAAGAAGGTTTGCTGAGGTGGTTTTGTCATTTAGAGAGGATGAAGCAATGTAGGATGACATGGAGGGTGTATAAATCTGTAGGGGAGGGGATGAGGGGTAGGGGTCATCCTATGAACGGATGGAGGGAGGAGGTAAAAGAGGTTTTGTGTGTAAAGGGCTTGAACATGCAGTAGGCATGTGTAAGCACATTAGATAGGAGTAATGGATAGAAATGGTTTTAGGGACCTGACGAGCTGTTGGAGTGGGAGCAGGGTAATAGTTTGTGAAGTGATTCAGGGAAACTAATTAGCCGGACTCGAGTCCTGGAGATGAAAAATATAATGCCTGCATTTTAAAGAAGGGGTTTAGGATATTGGCTGTTTGGAGTGACATCTAAACTGTCATATCTGAGTGCCTCTGCAAAGACAGTGATTTTGTGTGAAAGACTGTGAAAGTGTTTCTTTCTTTTTTGGGTCCCCCCGTCTTGGTGGGAGATGGCTGACCTGTTAACAAAAAACTTACATTCATAGGCTGAAATCCAGCAATTGACGATATATAAACTATAGCTCCTCCACCTCGCTCTTGCATGTGCGGCACAACTAGCTGTGACAGCTGCAGGGCATTTTTCACATTAATTTCAAAGATTTTGTCCCATACACTCTCTGGACACTGGGAAAAGGATAAATTATTGTATAATATTTAGTCATCAAACCTGAAAATTTCTGTGATTTTGTAAAAAAATTCCAGTCTAGTCAAAAATGCAGAATGTTAATAAAAAAATTATGAACATGCACTGAAGTTTGAGGAACATAAGAAACATATTTACAATTAGACAAATTGTCACACACCTAGAATAACTCAGAATTTTGTTTAATTTGAAGATATCAGCACAATACTGAAAACACATCTAACATACCGAAAACACATCTAACACCTTTCATAGAAAGGTTTCACTTGGTGGCATCTGTCTACAGTCTTAGTATGACCATTTTACAGCATTTGTTAGGTTATTTTAAAACCACAAATACTAAAGTTAAAAAGTACCCATAAAAACTAATACATATATAATATAAAAGGTAATAGTGCATATGTAATATGAAAGAATAAAATGTTGATGACCTGACTGAACTTAATACAGCTACTATAATCTGCAATACAAATGCATATTGTATAGCAAGAAACACCTGATATACCGAAAGATTTTAGAAAATTATGAAATTGAAGAACCAAAAATGATATACGAGATATATACGACATACATGTACAGAAAAATTATGAATGCTGAAACAGTACAGACCCTTCCATCACTGCTTCCACTAATGCAATTGTTCCAGGAGATTTTTTATATCTTCAAGTTTCTTTACTGCATATTTGCATGTTCTCCTGATTACATGTATTAGGGTCATGACTCATAAATATTACCAGTGATTTTTATAATATCAATTCAACTGTTCATATCATCCAAGAAATCACAACAAAAATTATGAAAGAAAGGTCATTGAATAGTATAGCCACTTACATCCAACACACCTCCCACTGCTGGATTAACTGCTGCATTAGAAACAAGTATGTCAATGCCTCCAAACTTCTCTAATGTCTGAAAAAAATAAGATTCAAATTTATTATACAGTATTAACCGTGATTATACTCAATGAACACGAGTGAAAAAAAACAGGTCACCAATGTGATGGTCATAATGTGTACAGCACAGTACATACAAGGTAAATGTTACATGCATAATTATCCGTATATGTTCTACTGGAAAATTTACACAATAATACTTTTCTGACCCTAAACTGCTTTGTAATTCCTTGTATACTGGGATAACTAATGGCTCCAGAATAAAAATATTTGATGTCACTGTCAAAAGCTGGGCAAGCTGAAAAACAAAGATCATTGATGATGGATAGTCATTAAAATGATGGTTAATTTTTGAACAAGAGTAAATTTCTGTAAAATAGCAAGTCTTGTTTAAATAATACCCCAGTAACTAAAAAGATTTAAAATGTATGGTACAAAATATGAAGAATTTCTTTAATTTTTTACCATATTGGCTATTTCTCACTAAGACAGTCTTCTAATACCTGACTTTATATTACATTTTACAGTACTCCGAATTATTTCTCCAATTTTAATGTTATTTTGGGAATCAATGGAATACCACAATCTCCAACAGCACTGCATAATTATTTTAACTTTATAAAATTTTATAACCTGGAAAAATCATTCTTTCATAACCTTGGAAATTAGATTTTGTCTGTCTTGTTCCTTAGCAACATGGCAGGTAAAGCCTAAGACTGAACAGCCCAAACCCTTGAGTTCAGCAACAGCTGAGTCAACATTAGTTTGCTTTCTGCTGCTGACCACAACATGAGCACCATCTTCACCCAAGCGACGTGCAATTGCCAAGCCAATTCTGCAGGGGAAAAGAATAGTAGACATAACCTGCACAGTATGGTACAGCCCTCCTCCATACTACACTTTTCTTATTTACAAATCATCTCCCTCTTAGATGTCTATTTTCCTCATCCATCATTTACCTTCTCTAAATTTACCATACTCCTGATCCTTTCTTAATTTTTCTATGCATCACTCCTATATTTAGTATGCTAATTTTATACTCTAATTCTTCACTCCATGAAGTCTCCTATACCTAATTCTTGAAATAATGCCTATCCACTGACTACTTCATGTGTCAGTTATATTAGTACAGTAAGAGGTTTTATTTGGATTACCAACTCAGAGGGTTATTAACCCTGGATAAACCAAAAAAATAAAGTAGTCTGGCTCATTTCTGCTGGAATCCATAGGTCCTTTTTTGTTCTTATGAGTGACCCATAACCAAGTAGGTCCCAGGTACAATACTTATTTACTGTTAGGTGAACAGAGGAAGTATATGCGAGATAATTTTGCCCATATGTCTCACTTTATCCAGGAATAAACCCAGGTCATTCAGTTGTGAACTGAACATGATAGTGATGAACTACAGGTAGCCATGTTTAATTATGATACAACTTATATAATAATTTGTATATATAGTACTGTACATGTTCAGATTAACAATACATAATACTGTATAGTGTGAGCTCTTCATCTGTAAATCAAAGATAAAATACTTTAATCTCTCCAATAAATTATCTTTTTACTCACTTATCTTAGTGCTGGTATGACAACGACTTAAATCTATTTATATTTTGAGTATCAGTACTGATGGTATGGTAAAATGATGAGGATTTGAACAAAATGTATTGATAATCACAAATAAAATGACAAATTATATAGAATCATCATTAAAGGTAAGACACTTAATGAAGCACCATAAGATAAGTTGTATTCAGGAAATTTACAAGATATTTTTGAGAATAAATTTTACTGTAGTTTTGAGGGAAAGCTATGTTGTACGGTATAATTAAATAGTGCATTAGTATACTGAGTTAACCAAGACTAACCCAATAAAGTCAGTGTGGCTTATTGCCATTGGGATCCTTATCATAATAATATTAATAATAATAGCTCCAAGTTAAAGTCAAACTATCAGAAAACATTATATAATGACAGATTTTTCCATATATATTCCAAATGGCTAAATTTTGTCTATATAACAAGTGCTCTTCTCAATACTGACAGAAACTTTGGACAGTATTTTGCCAAATCAGAATGAATATTACCCATCAGTGGAGGCTGTGACAATGGCTATCTTGCCTGCCAGCTTGGCACTCTGTTGCACTGCGGTGTTGCTGCTCATCATCCTCACACACACTGCTGCTTGACCCAGACGACAACCCAGTATCTGATAAGCCACCATGTCCTTCCCTGTTAACGTATCTGCAGATAATGTCACTTGTAGTATCTCCTACTACTTTACTTGGGTTTCTCAGGGTCACTGACAGCTTACGTAGTATCGAGCCGATCTACTTACTTACTTACCCGATTACTTACTTACCCGATATATGGGAAAATTTTGTTACCCAAAGCTGACCATGAAAGAAAAATGAACAAGAGTTTCTTTGTAAATAGAATTATTATAATAAAAAAGCGCTAAACCTACTAGGATCATACAGCGCTACAGGGCACGGGGTGATGCTGGATCATATGGTAGCAAGGGTGGAGTTGTAAATAGAAATAGAAACTAGAAGTACCCAATTAGATCAGGTGGACCTCCTTGTCAAGTACCAGCCAAGTGAGACACTCACACCACCACCTAAGTTCAGTAACCGGCTTCCCACAAAAGCCGTTAAAGAATTATCCTCAAAGCGTAAAAATGCAGCTGGCTATAATTAAACCGATGACAAGTGCATCTCCAGTAATGTACCTGACGAACAAAACAGACAAAAACAAGCGTCCCAGAGAGAACTGGGGAAATTTATCACTGATAATCAGATAAGAGCGAGACGTCCACACTCAACGAAGGCTGGATTTAAACGGCTAATGACATCTAACGCCGTATAGAACCTGTTTCATTTTGTATGCTACCCGTCCCTTGCCACCTGACGCCAGTATATAAGCTCCGACCTTCTTACCTAACCTAGGATATAACCATAACCATAATTTTTAAAGGGGTGGACTGGTGAGCCAGCGGAAGGCCTCGGTCAGGTGAACGAAAGCTCCAACGGCGGGTCATTATCTGACTAAGACTCACATCAGGAAACTAAGTAAGTACGTAACTCTTGTCCTGTTTCCTGACGAACCTTGTTTTTGCTTCTTCACACTACAGTGCTCTTCACACCAACTCCAAGACTGAGGGACTGATTGCCTCATCTTTTGTAACTTTTCCATTCTTATATATTTTATAAACTTTATTTCTACGAGTACATGTACAAGGTATACAGATCATACCTGACATCAACAAGATTTCGTTCGGATTTTTAATCCTGGAGGGTTAGCCACCCAGGATAACCCAAGAAAGTCAGTGCGTCATTGAGGATTGTCTAGCTTATTCCATTGGGGTCCTCAATCTTGCCCCCCAGGATGCGACCCACACCAGTCAACTAACACCCAGGTACCTATTTGCTGCTAGGTGAACAGGACAACAGTGTAAGGAAACGTGTCGAAATGTTTCCACCTGCCGGGAATCGAACCCGGGCCCTCAGTGTGAAGCGGGAGCTTGAGCCACCAGGCCACTACTATATAGAAAGCCCCTGGTTATGCGGACATTTCGAACAAATTAGGTCAATTTTGTTCCCAGGATGCGATCCACAAACCATGATAAGGGTGCAGTTTGAACTCGTGGCAAGTGAGTCGTGAACCTCCAGGCCAGCTGGCTGCAATAAGATTCATCCATTCATTCATTATGGTTTAGAAAGACACGTAAGCAAACACTATAACATATTTATTAGAAAACGTTTCGGTCCTGGGACCTTGATCACTTCTAACATACAGAGGTAGAAAGACATTATATATATAGGCGGAGAGTGAGATGTGACGCACGTGACCTGAGGAAAGTCATAAGAACATAAGAATGGAGGAACACTGTAGAAGGCCCTGCCTCGCATGGGCCAGTAGGCCTTCTACAGTGTTCCTCCATTCTTATGTTCTTATGACTTTCCTCAGGTCACGTGCGTCACATCTCACTCTCCGCCTATATATATAATGTCTTTCTACCTCTGTATGTTAGAAGTGATCAAGGTCCCAGGACCGAAACGTTTTCTAATAAATATGTTATAGTGTTTGCTTACGTGTCTTTCTAAACCAACTTGTCGGTATTTATTACCAAGGTTTATACCATTCATTCATTATACCAGCTGGCCCAGTGGCTTACGCGCTGGCCTGGAGTTTTACGACTCACCGCGAGACTAACACCCAGTTAGCTATTTTACTGATTGGGGGTCCTAGTACCTAAATAAACTTACTTCACACGTTGCTTGGACCTCAGTGACGGCTCTGCCTCTGTCAGTGTTTAGGGTTGGGGTCTGCATGATCTAACTTGGCAGTTTAATGTTCTTCTTTCTCTTTTCTGAGAAAACTTTGACTATCTTCTCATTCCCACCAGATATAGATGTTATTACCCGGACTACCGGGTAATAGGGTTCAATAAAGCGCCAGCTTTGGTGGGCCTGAAAAACCACAACAATGACAACAAATGCTGCTTTTTTCACATTTTATCAATAAAGCACTCAAATTGTAATAAATCTATAAATAAGGCGTTATATCAAGCTTATTTTTAAGTGACAACATAAGTAAATTTATTAATATCTATTAAATTCATCATCATCGTGGTATATAAACCAGGATTACTATACCTACAAATATTATACTTTTTTCAGGATCACTCTTATTTAATACCAAGTATATTCTTTCACAAAACCGGTAATATATATATGATACTATATACCACTAACAATTGGCTAATATTACATAAACAGGTTTAAGAGGTTGATAATTAGGTAAGATACTGTGATGTGGTGTATGGTAAGCCTGGGACGTACATGTGGGAGTCAGCTGGTGGTTCCACCTGGGGGAAATTTATGGAGTTCATTAGGTCTTAACGTCCTGTAAATTGTGAAACTTACTTCCGTCCGCGGGTCTGGCGTTCTTACTGGTAAGAAATTCTCAATTAGAGTGCTTTGGATTGTATATTTAAGGTTTATTTTCTCAGTCGAAATGACTTGTGGCGAGGACCCCAATGGAAATGTCACTTCGTCTGACTTTTTTGGGCTATCCTAGGTAATTTACACTATATATAAGTAAGTTTATTTTGGTATAGGTACATATAAATAGTTACATAATTCATACAAATCAGCATGTGTAGATTACCTAGGATAACCCAAAAAAATCAAACTGACTTATTTCCATTGGGGTCCTATACTAATTGCTCTTATGTATACCTGTGCCTAAATAAACTTGCTTACTGACATCGGTGGAAATTTCACTTCATCTGTCTCTTTTGGGTTATTTTAGGTAATTTAGAAGATTACTATGTATGATAATAATCATCGCCCAAATTTGCATATATTTTGTCCGGAGTTTTAATCCCGAGGGTTAGCCACTTGGGATAACCCAAGATAGTCAGTGCATCATCAAGGGACTGTATATCTTATCTTCACTGGGGTCCTTAAATCTTGCCCCCAGGATGCAACCCACATCAGTCGACTATCACCCAGGTACATACTTACTTGCTAGGTAAGCGGGGTAGCAGGTGTAAGGAAACATGTCCAGCGTTTCCACCCTTCCTGGGGATCGAACCATGGATACTCGGTGTTTGAGTTGAGTGTTGCCTACCTGAATAAACTTACCCCAGTAAAAGTCTCATATTTTTGATTATCTTATAGTAAATGTACACATAACATGTGCCTATAAGGTATGTGCCCTTAAGTCCATTGTAAAAGAAAAATTGTATTACAGCCTCTCCTCACTTGATGACAGAGTTCCGTTCATAAGACCACATTGGTAAACGAGTTTGTTGCTAAGCAAGGAGCATACTATAATGGTAGTGGGTTTGTGTCAGCCATCTTTGATATTGTTTAATGTCACCTGTGCACCATTTATGACATTATTAGTATATTTTTAAATGTCTATACAGTAGTGTACTGTATATTGTAATAAACAGGATAGAGGAAATCAGCTCTAATATACATTATTTAGGTATTCATACTGGTCAGAGAGCCCGTCATAAGTCTGAGTCATCGGTAAATGAGTACGTCGCTAAGTGAGAAGAGGCTGTATGTACCCAAAGCCAAAATAAAAACTTTTAGCCTTTTATTTAGGCTTTATGTGCAGTTTTTCTACAATGCTCTTGAGAATACACATTAGGGGCAAATAAAAAATTAATTATGCATATTTAACCTAGGATGACCTAATTAAGTCAGCCCATATGATTTATTTATTTAGGTACACATAAGTACAATTAACATACATAGAGTAACATCTGTAAGTTACCTAGGATAACCCAGAATATCACACAGTTATTTCTGGTGGTATCTTGTAGTGCAGTGGTTATCATGCGTGGCTCACACACAAGAAGTCATAGGGTTGACGCCTACTATGAGGCAAGACATATGAGAAAGTCCAACACTTCCCTCCATTACCAAGCAGTAGTAAATAGATACCCAAGAATTAGTAGATTGTTTTGGGTCACATCCTGGTGGACCAAAAATGAACCCCAAGAAAAACAAGCCCCAATGATTGGCTGTATTTGGTTATCTTATGTTACCATCCCTTGGATTAATGATCTAATTAAGGTCTTCTTTTTCTATGCAGAATCTTATTCTACTTGATGCTGGAGAAGAGCTCTTGATTAAAAAAACTGGAGCTGCCTTCCATTTTATTGGGTCACATCTGATTGGCTCCAGTTCCCAAAATACTGTATGACCCCTATAGGTTTAGTGCTCTCCCTATGTGTGTAATAATAAACTTATTGATATTTATGCAAGTACTGTAACATTATTCCATAGTATACGTAATTTTCTAGGTATATTTTACACCTTGTATTTTTATCTACAGATATTTATGCAAAGTCTGTTTCATAATGGAGAAGACTCAAGCTAATAACAACAAGTTACCATCAAATATACCACAACTTCAGAATCTTATCAAGCGTGATGCAGCCTCCTACACTGAAGAGTTTGAGAGGCAACATTCTGTTTATAAAGCAATATGTGTTATCTTTGAACAAAACCCAACCATCTACATTGAAGACTTGTACCAGATGGTTATGTTTTTAGCTCAGGTGAGACCATTTGCATGCCTTTTTTTTATGCAATGTTATGTTGCTTTGATTTTTTGTGCCGTTGATGAAGGAATAGTTTTCCTAAATATATTTTCCTGTTTTTAATATTTGTAAATTCATAGAAAAATATGCCAAAGTTTTATAATCAAATATTCACTATATATTACTTTTATTACTGTATAAGTCGTGCAATACATAAACAGTTATAAAAGATTATTAATTTTTATAGTGTTAATAATGATAACCTATATATCTGCAGATAGCCCATTGTTACCCAGATAGGCTGAAGGATTTTCCACAAGACTTGGTGACCCTTCTGAAGCGCCATTGTTCCGTTTTGCATCCAGATATGAGGATGGCTTTTGTTAAGGCATTGGTGCTACTACGCAACAAAAACATGATTTCTCCAATTGATCTTCATATGTTGTTCTTTCAGCTTCTGCATTGCCAAGTAAATTTAAAATGAGTTTTTTTATTTTATTTTTATTGACTTGAATTTATATCAAAGATGGTTTGGAATACAACTGTATATAGCATATGTAAAGTTGTTAATTTTTGTTTTTTTATTTTTTATAGAATTATTACATTTAAAAAAAAAAATTAAACACTGACCATCTCCCGCCAAGTTAGGGTGACTCGACAAAAAGAAAACACTATCACCATCATTCAGTCACTGTCTTTGAAGGGCACTGGCATCATAGTTCAGATGACCCTCCAAACTGCAACATCCCCATCCTTCCTTCAGAGTGCAGGCATTGTACTTCCCACCTCCAGAACTCGAGTCTCACTGACTGGTTTCCTGAATCTCTTCATAAATGCTACCTTACTCACTGGTTTCTTGAATCTCTTCATAAATGCTACCTTACTCACACTCCAATAGCATGCCAAATCATGAAATCTACTTGCCTCCACTTTTCTAGCATGCTCACACAAGCTTGTTGGATGTCGCCTCTAGCACTGAAAACCTTTACCCCCCTTTCCCCAGCCTTTTCTTAAGATGACCTTTAGTCTTCCTTCCCTCCACCCCATATTAATACACCCTCCTAATCATCCTGTTTTGCTGCATCATCTCTAAATGTCTAAATTACCTCAACAACCCCTCTGCAGCCCTCTGAATAATACTTTTGATGACTTCATACCTCTTAATCTCCGAATTCTCTGCTATAGTACAGTGGACCCTCGAGTTTCGGCAGCCTCGACTTTCGCGAAATTCGACCTTCGGCGAGTTTTTTTGGCAAAATTTGGCCTCGACTTTCGTGATTAGACTCGTGTTTCGGCGACCGTCCAGTACCCGTCCGCCCGTCACCGCACACGCCAAGCCAGTTTCCCACGCCATTCACACTCAGTGTGCCATTGTATACCAACACGTGACCATCACCCTGTGGGTTCATACAATACATTTCATAATAATCCATTGTTTTTTGTGCTTGCAACTGCTAAGTAAGTCATCATGGACCCAAGGAAAGCTAGTGCAAGCCCTTTGGTAAATGAAGTGAGGAACACGATCCAGAGGGATTTTGAAGGGTTTGAGGCAGACCCTGTCCCTGCTGACCCTCTGCCTGTTGTGGAAGGTGTTGTGGCATTGGGCAAGTCCATGGGGTTGGAGGTGAGTGAGAGATGTGGAAGAGTTGGTGGAGGACCCCAGGGAAGAGCTAACCACTGACGAACTGCAAGAGCTTCAACTGGAACAGCATCAGGCCACAGCCGAGGAACTTGCTTCAGAGGAGGAGGAAAAGAGAGTGAAGGAGGTTCCTTCTTCAGTGATTAAGGACGTGTGTGGAATGTGGAATGAGTTGCAAAGTTTTGTTAAAAAGTATCACCCTGACCAAGCTGAAACAAGCCATATCTGCAACATGTACAATGACAGTGTTGTGTCCCACTTCAGGGAAATCTTAAAGAAACGCCAGAAAAAGACCTCTCTGGACAGATATTTTGTGTGACAGGGGTCTAGTGACTCTCAAGTTGTTCCCAGTGGCATTAAAAGAAGAAGGGAAGTAACCCCAGATAAGGACTTGCTACCTAAAGTCCTAATGGAAAGAGATTCTCCTTCCAAACAATAGTGTACACCTTCCTCCTATCCCCTCCTCCAGTCTTCCATCCACCCAGAAGTCTTCAGTAAAGGTAAGTGTAATGTTATTATTATTTTTTATATGCATGTACTTGATTTCTCATTGATTTCAGTATATAAATCTTTATTTAATTTGAAAAAAAAAATAGTTTATTTTAATATTTTTGGGTGTCTGGAACGGATTAATTTTATTTCCATTATTTCGTATGGGGAAAATTGTTTCGAGTTTCGTGAATTTCGACTTTCGGCAGGCTCTCTGGAACGGATTAATCACGAAACTCGGGGGTCCACTATACTCTGGTACATACAAGTGATTACTAATGTGTTTACAGTTTATTTAGGTACATAATAGGTATGTTCATACTGCACAGCACTTTGGGTAAATTTAAACTAGAGCCAAAACTACATTACTGTACTTATGAAGGTATTACATGGTTTGATTTTTTTTAAGATATTGATGATAATATATTAGGATTGTCTAAAAATAAGTAATATTAATTAATACAGCTTCTACTCCCTTAACAACGGAGTTCCGTTCCTAAGACCACGTTGGTAAACGAATTCGTCACTAAGCAAGGAGCATACTATAATAGTGGGTTTGTGTTAACTATCTTTGATATTGTTTTAATGTCACCTTTGCACCATTATAACATTTTTAGTATAATTTTAAATGCTTATACAGTAGTGTACTATATACTGTAATAAACAGAATAGAGGAAATCAGCTCTAATATACATTACATGTATTTAGGTATGCATTCTGGTCAGAGAGCTGTCATAAGTTCGTGTCGTCGGTAAACGAGTACATTGCTAAGTGAGGAGAGGCTGTACATAATTAAATACAGTAATAAAAACTTTTTAAATACTGTAATAATAATGTATAGTGCTTTTATGTAGAACATTATATTTGTGAGATTTAGGTAATGCTAAAATCTTGAAATGTTCATACATGTAAATGCATTTTCAATGTTTTACTTCATTATATTTAGTTATACATTTACATTTCAGGACAAGAACCTCCGCCAATTTCTAAAGGAGAACATAGTTACAGACATCAAGAATATTAATTCTAAGGGTAAAAATATGAAGTTAAATAAGGAATTACAAAACTTCATGTACGAGATGCTTACATCAAAGCATGCAGTCGCTGCTAAAACATCTCTTGATGTGATGGTTGAATTATACAACAAGCATGTTTGGAATGATGCCAAAACTGTCAACATTTTAGCAAGTGCCTGCTTTTCAAAAGTCACAAAAATTATGGTAGCGGCAATTAAATTTTTTATTGGTAAGGATAATGAGGAAGCAGAAGAAACAGATTCAGATTGTGAATCTGAGAATGAAAATAATGTTTTAAAATCTACAATGATGGCTTTGAAGGTTAGCAAGAAAACAAAAAAGAAGCAAAGAAAACTGGAAAAAGCCAAATATATTGCTCAAAAAAATCAAAAGAAGAAAAAAGCTAAGGCAAGTTTTGATTTTTCAGCTTTACACTTAATTCATGACCCACAGGATTTAGCTGAGAAATTATATAAACGTTTAGAAAAGATGAACGAAAGATTTGAAGTTAAACTAATGACCATGAATATGATCTCTCGCCTGATTGGTGTCCATCAACTGTACTTGCCCAACTTTTATCCTTTAGTTCAAAGATTCTTATTCCCTCACCAACGGGAAGTCACCAAGGTTATGGTATTTGCTGCACAAGCAGCCCATAACCAAGTTCCCCCAGATGATCTAGAGCCAGTAGTTCGTACTCTTGCTAACAACTTTGTTACTGAACGTTATTCCAGCGAAGTTATGGCAATGGGTTTAAATGCAATAAGGGAACTTTGTGCAAGGAATCCTTATTGTATGTCTGATGATTTATTACAAGACTTAACTCAGTACAAGACTTACAAAAACAAGGGAGTAATGATGGCTGCCAGATCACTTTTATCCCTCTTTAGAGGGAAAAACCCTGAGCTCCTTGCTAAAAAGGATCGGGGAGCTCCAAGTGAACTTCGTATGGAGAAAAAAGTTGAACAGTTTGGAGAAAACAGTGCTGTGAGCTATATTCCTGGTGCTGAAATTTTAACATTTAAAACTCAGGGTGATGATGAGGGCATTGGATTAGGTGACACTGACAGTGATGATGAATGGGTTGATGTCTCCCACTCTGATAATGAAATGGATACAGAGGAGGAGAATAATAAAGCTGTCAATAAAAGTACAGATGGTAATAAAGAAGAAGAGAAAGTCTTTTCCACTAAAGATGCCCTAAAAGAAGTAATGAAGCTAACTGCCAAGGAGAGAGCAGCACGGGCAGCTGATGTTGTCAGCTCTCGCTTCCTTTCTGATGCTGATTTTGCCAAAATAGCTGCTGTTCAGGCAGCCAAAGAGGTAGAAATGTTTAGTAACAGTAGAAAGAACAAGAAACGAAAGAGGGCAGTTGAAAATAAAGCTGAATCTGGAGAGCTTGTATCTTTGAAGAGTATTGAAATGATTTACAAGAAGAGGAAGCATAATAAGGATGCTAGAATGGAAACCATCATGGGAGGGAGGGAAGGCAGAGATAAGTTTGGTGCAAAGAGAGGGCGTATGAACCCAAATGCATCAACTACTAATAGAGAGAAATTTAAAACTAAGAGTTTTATGATGGTGAAATATAAAGTGGCTGGAAAGCAAAAGCGGTCTTTCCGGGAGAAGCAGATAAGGCTCCGAAATTCTTTGTTAAAACAAAAGAAAAATTATTAATGGTTTCTCTTTAATTAGAGTTTTTATATACCAAAATCAAATAATTTCTATCATGTCTTCAGTTTACAATAAAAGTTTGATTTTATGAGCATTTTGTTTCACTTCCTTATTCCATAAAAGTTATTTGGTGAAAGATCATATGGGTATGTGTATAGAGCTTTAGTTATTATATAACCTAAATAGGTCATACAGCTATGCAAACCCTAACAACAGAAAACTAAATTCAATAAATTAAGGTATAACAAAAACTTGAAAAGTGTTGCTTCATTTTATTATACAAGATCAAATATTCTTGAGAAGTGCTAAACTCATGTGGGCTATTTAGCACCCATTTCATTAGGATTCATTATGTAAAGAAAAATGGCATAGACTACTGAGTACTAACAAGCAAAATACAGTACAGTACTTTTAAGAATGTACAATTTATGTAAATAAAATATGCCATTACAGGTAATGGTAAAATTGTATTGTGTATAAATTGTCATGCCATTTTTTTTATTCAAGACAACAGTATCAACAATGAAATGTAATAACTAGATTTTTAACCTGTTCACTGATTAATGGCTAAGCAATTTTTTTTTTTTTCAACAAGTCAGCCGTCTCCCACCGAGGCAGCAATATCTACAATAAAATGACTAGATTTTTAAATTTTATTCATTAGTTTATTGTTAAATGTTTTAACTTCTTTTTTAGCTAACTGGAAAACATCTGTTGCTGACAATTTCATATTTACACTAATCTTGTTCACATGACATTAACAACTTTCAGTAGATTAGCTGAAAATTCAAGGGCTAATAATGCATATACTTTATTTTACTCATAATGGACGGAGGGATAACACTCATGTGATGCAATTACATATGGAACCCAGGCTTATAAATATGAAATAATTTAGATTGAATATTATTATTATTATTATTACCATCAAAATTAAGCACTAAACCCACAAGGGTCATACAGCAATATACTGAATATTATTTTTTTTTTCAACAAGTCGGCCGTCTCCCACCGAGGCAAGGTGACCCAAAAAGAAAGAAAATCCCCAAAAAGAAAACACTTTCACCATCATTCAACACTTTCATCTCACTCACACACAATCACTGTTTTTGCAGAGGTGCTCAGAACACAACAGCTCAGAAGCACATACGTACAAAGATACACAACATATCCCTCCAAACTGCCAATATCCCAAAACCCCTCCTTTAGAGTGCAGGCATTGTACTTCCCATTTCCAGGACTCAAGTCCGGCTATATAAAAATAACCGGTTTCCCTGAATCCCTTCACTAAATATTACCCTGCTCACACTCCAACAGATCGTCAGGTCCCAAATACCATTCGTCTCCATTCACTCCTATCGAACACGCTCATGCACGCCTGCTGGAAGTCCAAGCCCCTTGCCCACAAAACCTCCCTCACCCCTTCCTTCCAACCTTTTCGAGGATGACCCCTACCCCGCTAAGCCACAAGGGCTATACAGCAATATACTGAATAGCATACTGCCAAAACTGAAATTTGAAGTACAACAATGTACATTTTTTCTCAATTTTCTTAATTGCAAATTTCCTGGATGGAGTACACTGTTCCTTACATACATTCTATTTTATTTTCATTCAACCTACTCTATCTCCTGTTCATTAAAAAATATTAAAATGCTAGTAGGCTTACACATTTGTTTATTAAGGATGAATAAGTAGCTCATTTTAATACACTTTTCTTTTACTGGATTCACTAGTTTTCTACATTAAAGTCTTGTGACAGTTTCACAAATGAGTGAGTAGAGTGAATATTTAAGAAGCATTCCAATGTATAACTGAATATTTTTCTAATATGTCTCCCTTCAAGGGAGGTTCCTTGATGTCAGTAAGAGGCTCTTGGTCTAAGATATTGGATCTAACCTTCCCTTTCTTGGATCGAACTTGACAGCCTCTCATTTCCCCAGGCACTATAACCCCTATGGGTTGAGTGCTTCCCCATGAATGCAATAAGTAATGCATCAATTCAAATTGTCTTGTTAATGTTTAAAACTATTGAAAGGACAGTACGTACTTGTACAGATATGTGATATGTGTACAGGGTCTTTGGTGCCCATGCATGACGGTGGACTGAATTATTAGACATTCGCTGGTGGTCCAATGGACTGCTTTGCTGATGCTGTATAGTACCCTAAACTTTACTATTTTACCAGAAATACTAAAAAGGAAAACGTTCAACATTTCTTGATTAATTTGTAACAAAATATATACTGCGTCATGTCCACCAATTAAGTCACATTTTGTTTTATTTTATATATAGGGTATGCAAATACAGGAAATATGAATGTATTCAGGAGGTGAATGTATTCAGATATTTGGGAGTGGACGTGTCAGCAGATGGGTCTATGAAAGATGAGGTGAATCATAGAATTGATGAGGGGAAAAGGGTGAGTGGTGCACTTAGGAGTCTGTGGAGACAAAGAACTTTGTCCTTGGAGGCAAAGAGGGGAATGTATGAGAGTGTAGTTTTACCAGCACTCTTATATGGGTGTGAAGCATGGGTGATGAATGTTGCAGCGAGGAGAAGGCTGGAGGCAGTGGAGATGTCATGTCTGAGGGCAATGTGTGGTGTGAATATAATGCAGAGAATTCGTAGTTTGGAAGTTAGGAGGAGGTGCGGGATTACCAAAACTGTTGTCCAGAGGGCTGAGGAAGGGTTGTTGAGGTGGTTCGGACATGTAGAGAGAATGGAGCGAAACAGAGTGACTTCAAGAGTGTATTAGTCTGTAGTGGAAGGAAGGCGGGGTAGGGGTCGGCCTAGAAAAGGTTGGAGGGAGGGGGTAAAGGAGGTTTTGTGTGCGAGGGGCTTGGACTTCCAGCAGGCATGCGTGAGCGTGTTTGATAGGAGGGAATGGAGACAAATGGTTTTTAATACTTGACGTGCTGTTGGAGTGTGAGCAAAGTAACATTTATGAAGGGGTTCAGGGAAACCGGCAGGCTGGACTTGAGTCCTGGAGATGGGAAGTACAGTGCCTGCACTCTGAAGGAGGGGTGTTAATGTTGCAGTTTAAAAACTGTAGTGTAAAGCACCCTTCTGGCAAGACAGTGATGGAGTGAATGATGGTGAAAGTTTTTCTTTTTCGGGCCACCCTGCCTTGGTGGGAATCAGCCAGTGTGATAATAAAAATATATGATAATTAATGGGAAGACTGAAAAAATTGAATTTAGAACCTGTGAATTTGGAATGATTATTGTAATTTGTTTTTCTGATAACTATTATATACTCACTCACTCTTGCAATCCATCTAAGTGACTTCTATTTTACTTTACTTGTATACTGTATATTCAGTTTAATAGTTTCAAGCATCATTAAATTTGATTGAATTTTAATTTGACTTAATGAATTAGGAAACCCTCAATGAAACAGATTAATAGGAGAAAGAAGTCAGCGGGCATCAAGTAATGGCAATGGTGGTGAATAGAGATGAGATTGTTTTGCTGCAATTCTAACAAAAGTGGGCAATTCTGTAGCTAAGGGACTTTCTCCATTGTTTTTGAATCTGCTGAGCCAGTGGATTTTGTCCAGTATTTCCAAAGTTCATTAAACTGAAGGTTTAATGTACTTTTATATTCTATGCCTCACTTTACATATTTACTTACAGAGTTCTACTTCCTTACTCAACTTCTTATTCAAGTGAAAACAAGCTACATTACTGCAACTGCATTTTTCTTGGTATGACATTAATATGTAATCCATAAGATATGATCAGTTACATCATCTATGAGTTTATAAATTAATATTAATACTGCATAAATTGATCAGCAATTTGCTTACTTTATCTTTCAAGTTCAGTCTGCCTGAAACACTTCATTTTATCTCTGTAAATGTTCTTATACAACTCAATAAAAGAGGAAATACTATTTTAAATTTTGTAAAATACCATCCAGCTTATGATTAAGATGCATATATAACACTGGTATTTTTATGCCAAAAGGTCCAACTTCATCAGGTGACTAGAGGAGACTGGAGACAGTGGAAAAAGTAGATTTAATTTTGAATTGTTCAGCCCCTGAGCCTCAGTAATACTCTAAACACATTACATTATACTGTATTCCCAAGTATAATGATTAACGGGGTGAAAAATCCACAGATTATTAAAATGGCTCTTCCATCTATGGGATAACTAAAGTATACAGTACTGAAAAATGTCTGGTTTCTAGGCAGTATGCTACAAGCTAAGTGCTATGGACTTCATACACAAATAAATGAGCAATGAGCTTTAGTTTCATAAGAGCAACTCACTGTCATGAGAAATATTTAATCTTTTAATTATTCTATTATGACAGACTGAAAAATTACAGTTTAATGTAATTTAAGAAATATTTGTCTTTGGCAAAACAGGAATGTAATTATTAGGGTTATCTTAAAGATAACACTTATTTCTTGTATAGTTACAATTCCAAATTACTTTTATAGAAATCAAGAGAACTTTACAAGCTTATAGAAATCCTAAGGAAATAAGTACAGTACTCTCAAAATTTTAGATCATAGTTAAATTACATGCTTTACAAAGCACTAGAACCATTCAGCTATTTAGTGATAACATTTTCCAGCTATCTGAACAATTTACTACTGTCAATACTAATTTGCTACTATCAAGACTAGTTTACTGTTTTATCATAAACAAACAATATGCAAACAATTTCAGTCACTGTTATTTAGACTGAAAAATGATTTGCTCGATTTTTAGTCAGGCACTCAGATTATTTTTAGTTCAATGTAATAGCATCTGCTATTTATTTTTAAGTATTTTTTGAGCTCATTTCAGTTTGTTCAGATATATACAAGGATATCAACAAATAAATAAGAAATATATTCTCAATAAATTATTCTGGTGGAAGGGGGAGAGGGGTTATCATCCATTTCAGGTCCATGGTAAAAAATTGGAGTACAAAATTATACCTATCAAAAAATACAGTATAAAATATGACAAAATAACTTGTCCCCAAAATGGTCTGGGCAACTCTGAGAGAAGAGAAACTTGGTAACGCTTAGTCATGTTGGAGAGGCATTCAGCCAGGTCATCTTCGTTTTCTCTGGAGTTTTCCTCAGCCGAGTTCTTGGGCTGGTCGGAGATAAGATGGGCAGCAAACCAGTACACAACTGGACAACTAGAGCACAACAGTCTTGTGGTCACCTGTTAAAAAGTTACTCCTCAGTCAGCAACTGAAGACTATTTAGCACTGACAATATATATGTACAGTGGACCACCGGATAACGATATTATTTCAATCCAGAAGTCTGTTTGGGTGCCGTTATAGACCGAATTTGTTCCCATAAGAGATATTGTGAATTAGATTAGTCCGTTTCAGACCCCCAAAAATACACCTACAAAAGCACTTACAAAAATACACTTACATAATTGGTCGAGTTGGAGGCTGATCATTATGCGGCGGTCCACTGTATACTGTACATGTACTGTAATATGAGTAATGCCACCTAGTGCGGTATTGTTACTGCTGCTCATCATTACAGTAGGATGGGACCAGTCATTATTAATTATGAGGAAGCATGAAACTCATATGGGTTATACAGCATCTGAGGAATGGGAGTTAATCAGGTTTGATCCAAGGAAGGGGAGGGTAGTTTCAATTGCTTAAATAAAGAGCCCTTTGCCAACATTGAAGGAGGAAGTGGTCACTGACAAGAGTAAATAATTATTTCAAGTGAAATCTTACTAGGATCCTCCAACTGATCCTCCAACTATCAAATTAATTTTCCCTAGGATACTCTCCACTGTTCATTTATAATGGAAGAGTTAACCAGCCCAGACATTAAATTCAACATTCACGAGTAAATATTTTTTCTATATGATTTAAAATTTGATTTACTGTACCACTGTACAGTGGACCCCCGCATACCGTTGGCCTTACATAACGTTAAATCCGCATACTGATACATTTTATCGCTAAGATTTTGCCTCGCATACCGCTAAAAAACCCGCTCAACGCTGTTCGTCCGAGACGCGTCTAATGTGTGGCCTTAGCCAGCCTCACATGTTCCGCCGGTGGCATTGTTTACCAGCCAGCCTCCGCGGTAACATCCAAGCATACAATCGGAACATTTCGTAGTATTACAGTGTTTTTGGTGATTTTATCTGCAAAATAAGTGACCATGGGCCCCAAGAAAGCTTTTAGTGTCAACCCTACAGGAATAAGGGTGAGAATTACTATAGAGATGAAGAAAGAGATCATTGATAAGTATGAAAGTGGAGTGCGTGTCTCCGAGCTGGCCAGGTTGTATAATAAACCCCAGTCAACCATCGCTACTATTGTGGGCAACAAAAAGGCAATCAAGGAAGCTGTTCTTGCCAGAGGTTCAACTGTGTTTTCGAAACAGAGATCGCAAGTGATGGAAGATGTTGAGAGACTCTTATTGGTGTGGATAAATGAAAAACAGATAGCAGGAGATAGCATCTCTCAAGTGATCATAAGTGAAAAGGCTAGGAAGTTGCATCAGGATTTAATTAAAAAAATGCCTGCAACTAGTGATGATATGAGTGAATTTAAGGCCAGCAAAGGTTGGTTTGAGAGATTTAAGAAGCGTAGTGGCATACATAGTGTGATAAGGTATGGTGAGGCTGCCAGTTCGGACCACAAAGCAGCTGAAAAATATGTGCAGGAATTCAAGGAGTACATAGACAGTGAAGGATTGAAACCTGAACAAGTGTTTAATTGTGATGAAACAGGCCTGTTTTGGAAGAAAATGCCAAGCAGGACCTACATTACTCAGGAGGAAAAGGCACTCCCAGGACATAAGCCTATGAAAGACAGGCTTACTCTGTTGATGTGTTCCAATGCTAGTGGTGATTGCAAAGTGAAGCCTTTATTAGTGTATCACTCAGAAACTCCCAGAGCGTTCAGGCAAAAGAATATCCTCAAGGCTAATTTGTGTGCTGTGGAGGGCAAACAGTAAGGCATGGGTCACTAGGGACTTTTTCTATGACTGGTTACACCATGCATTTGCCCCCAATGTGAAAGATTACCTAACTGAAAAGAAATTAGACCTTAAGTGCCTCCTGGTGTTAGACAATGCCCCTGGTCATCCTACAGACGTGGCAGAGCGACTTTATGGAGACATGAAGTTCATTAAGGTGAAGTTTTTGCCTCCTAATACCACTCCTCTCCTGCAGCCCATGGACCAGCAGGTTATTGCAAACTTCAAAAAACTGTACACAAAAGCTCTGTTTGAAAGGTGCTTTGTAGTGACCTCAGAAACTCAACTGACTCTAAGAGAGTTTTGGAGAGATCACTTTAATATCCTCAATTGTGTAAACCTTATAGGTAAGGCTTGGGAGGGAGTGACTAAGAGGACCTTGAACTCTGCTTGGAAGAAACTGTGGCCAGAATGTGTAGACCAAAGAGATTTTGAAGGATTTGAGGCTAACCCTGAGAGGAGTATGCCAGTTGAGGAATCAATTGTGGCATTGGGGAAGTCCTTGGGGTTGGAGGTTAGTGGGGATGATGTGGAAGAGTTGGTGGAGGAGGACAATGAAGAACTAACCACTGATGAGCTGCTAGATCAACTTCAACAGCAAGAGGCCAGACCTGAGGAAACTTGTTCGGCAGAGGGGAGAGAGAAATTGAAGAAGTTGCCTACTACAAAGATTAAGGAAATCTGTGCAATGTGGCTGAAAGTGCAAACCTTTATGGATGAAAATCACCCTCACACATCTATTGCAAGCCGTGCTGGTGACTATTACACTGACAATGTTGTGAAACACTTTAGGGAAGTCATAAAGGAACGAGAGGTACAGGCCACTATGGACAGATATGTTGTGCGACAGAAGTCCAGTGACTCTGAAGCTGGTCCTAGTGGCATTAAAAGAAGAAGGGAAGTAACCCTAGAAAAGGACTTGACACCTCAAGTCTTAATGGAAGGGGATTCCCCTTCTAAACACTAAGACTCTCTCCTCCTCCCATCCCATCAATCATCACCAGATCTTCAATAAAGGTAAGTGTCATGTAATTGTGCATGCCTTTTTCAGTTTGTGTGTATTAAAATTAATATTTCATGTGGTAAAAATGTTTTTTTTTCATACTTTGGGGTGTCTTGCACGGATTAATTTGATTTCCATTATTTCTTATGGGGAAAATTCATCCGCATAACGATAATTTCGCATAACAATGAGCTCTCATGAACGGATTAATATCGTTATGCGGGGGTCCACTGTATATTACTTTTGAAAAATGAAAGACTTTCTGTGCTACAGTGGACCAGACCTCTCTGCATATACATGGCCTCCCACTCACAAAAACAGCCTTATTATGCTACAGTTCCTTTATTTCCACTTAATAATCACTGATCACTTTGCCATAAGACACATAATTACTGTAGTAGCCCATCCTGTGAGCCAGATAAATACTGTACTTCTGACAAACCCTAAAACTTACACGGTTTAAGGTAAAGAACCTATCAACTGCCAAGTTCACTATGGCCATACTCTATCCTCAGGTATACATGTACTTTGAACTCTAACATGGTTAAGAACTAAGGTAAACTCAATGTACAGAATATATAATGAAAAATACTTCTTGATATACCATGAGGAACATGTAAAAAAATAGTTTCAACACATACTTGCAATTGATTATTTAATTCGTAACTTTCACATAGTTATAGAACTCACGTTATCATTATATATTTTACTTTACTTTGTGAGTAATGCCAACATTGAACTCTCCTTTATGCAGTATATGAAAAAGAGTAACAGGTGTACATGATCACTTGCTTACCTGAACATGAATGCAGAGAACACAGAAAGCACAAAGACAGAGTGAGTGAGCTGTGTAGATGAAGATTCGCCAAGAATTGATGCCTTCCTCTGGCCAAAAATAAGACTGTTTACTGCTCCTCTGTTCTGTCACAGATTGAGGAATGCCTAGGGCCCAACAAACCTAAAATATGAGTCATAAATGTACCTATATCTGTCATCTATTAACTTGAAGAAATATATGTATATATAAATTTAACAATATTTCCACATCAGTTAGTGTCCCACTTGCCAAACCCACCATAAAATGTGATACTGTTCAAAAATTCCTCTTAATGTTACAGAGTGCAAAAATGCAGTTCTGCACAATGCAATGAGACATTTACCATACATACATATATGCCTTCACTCTTGTCCTTCCACTTAATTTACTAGCTTTTCAATTATAGTTATTCACCTTTCACAGAAAACCATGTCTCATTTCATGTCCATAATACATCCGAAGCCATTTTATTTTTGCAGCATTTTAGACTTTTCTTTCCTCAAAAATAGTGGTAATTCTTAATTTCTTAATTCTATATTCTAGATTTTTTTTTTTAACACATTGGCCATTTCCCACCGAGGCAGGGTGACACAAAAAGAAAGAAAAACCCAAAAAGAAAGAAAAATACTTACATCATCATTCAACACTTTCACCATCACTCATACTCGGGGCCAGGAGCTTGGACTCGACCCCTGCAACCTCAACTAGGCGAGTACTAGGTGAGTACTGTCTTTGCAGAGGTGCTAAGATACAACAGTTAAGAGGTCCCTCCAAACTGCCAATATCCCAAACCCCTCCTTTAACCCTTTGACTGTTTTGACCGTATGTATACGTCTTATGAGCCAGTGTTTTGGACGTATATGTATACTCAGTAATTCTAGCAGCTTCAAATCAAGCAGGAGAAAGCTGGTAGGCCCACATGTGAGAGAATGGGTCTGTGTGGTCAGTGTGCACTGTATAAAAAAAAATCCTGCAGCACGCAGTGCATAATGAGAAAAAAAAAAACTCCGACCGTGTTTTTGGATTAAAACGCCGACTTTGAGGTGTATTTTTGTATAGTATTTATGGTTGTATTCTCGTTTTCTTGGTCTCATTTGATAGAATGGAAAACATATTACAGAAATAGAGATGATTTTGATTAGTTTCACGATGAAAATGACCTTGAAATTGAGCTCAAATTAGTCGAAATGTTCGATTTTTACCAATGTTCAAGAGTAAGCAAATCACACCACACGTCCAATACACATCAACTGGGGAGTCTAATATTCTTTTACTAGTGCACTGATATTATTTATACCATTTTTACAATAATGCAGTAGTCTGCATAACAGTAAATCTTCTATTTTATTGTGTGAATAAAAAATCAAAATAGAAAGCAAGAGTAATATAAGAGGGGCCTAGAGATGTGACTAATGAGCAGAGGATATGTTATTTTAGTGCCAAGAATGTCTACATTGTTTATTCTGGACCCTATTTTGAAATTGGCATCTTTTTTAATTTGCGTGAAATTGGCCAAATTGCCAATTTCTGACCACTTTATTAGGTAGTTCAAATTGGTAAATGGGCGGTTTCTTGTACTCACCTAACAGAAAAAATGGAGTTCTAAAGAAATAGCTATGAGTTTGGTCGACTCATACAACGGAATTGGCCAAAAACAGGGCTCAAAGTCGGTGAAATCGCCGATGCATATATGTCGCCAAGACTGCTAACTTCGCGGGAGCATAATTCCGTGAGTTTTCGACCAAATTTCGTACTTTTGGTGTCATTACCATCAGGAAAAGATTCTCCATCATTTCATAAGAAAAAATTTTGTTTTTTTTTCCAAAACTTTTGCGACAGAATGAGTTTCAGAAAGGGGCTTGTGACAGTCAAGGAGTTAAGGTATACACACATAAGAACAGAATAATAATATTTACTCTTTATTTTATGAAAATCTTTTTATAACATGATTTTTTAGCTTATCATGTTATCAATGTAAATAAAGACTAATAATTTAGACATTTAATGCAATATGTCTAATCATTAAGCTCCAATCATGAAAATTGTAATAAACACTTAACAATGAAACAAATGATCCCACAGAGCAATAAAACATTTGAAATCAGTATTGTGTATTTTAGCCTCTTTCTACAGACTACTGTGAGACTGAAACATACAGTAATTAGTTCAAGTAAGTTTATTTATTCTGCAAAGAACTTAGCATCTGCATCAGTCTTAAGATCTACATTCAGACTGGCATAACATACCTGTGGGTTGTCAACCATATACAGTGCAGCATGGCAGATAATGACCATAACAACTGGCAAAGCGAGAATAAAGTTAGGCACCTGCCGCACCTCATAATACCGTAAGAACCCCACCTAAACGGAAAAAAATCAGAATACTGAAGCAATAATTGATTTGATACACAGTAATTTACTATCAATAAAGATATTTGTAATTACTCAGAATATATCCTGATGAATACAGTTAAGTGACATTCATCAAGGTGTCAACTGTATGCCACAATGTGACTTGTATGAGCTATTTGTGTATAGAAAGCATAATTAATGACCAACAAATTATAAATTTCTTCCCAACTACTGTAAGCAATACAGTGCATTATAACAAAATTATCATGATGGAGTATATAATTAAATTTTCAATAAACAATAGGAATTGCAGTGTACAAGACCTATGTTTACAGCTTATATAATATAATGTATATACAGTGGACCCCCGGTTAACGATATTTTTTCATTCCAGAAGTATGCTCAGGTGCCAGTACTGACCGAATTTGTTCCCATAAGGAATATTGAGAAGTAGATTAGTCCATTTCAGACCCCCAAACATACACGTACAAACGCACTTACATAAATACACTTACATAATTGGTCGCATTGGGAGGTGATCGTTTGGGGGTCCACTGTATATGACATTTTGTAATACCCAAAGTTAACGAGAAGATAAATGTCTTGAAAATAAGACATATTACTGTTTATGTTGAACTAATGACTTCATTGCAAAGAAACTGTATGTCATCCTTCAATAAAAAAGTCAAATAGTTTGAACATACAAATGGAAATTTTCCTTATCCAGCTTGAGTGCATTAATATAATGAAAGAAAATGCAACAATATACTGATCTGGACACCTCTCTCATTTGTGAAAGGAATTACAGTAGTGTATTTTCCATTTCTAAATCTATGAAACATCACGGAATACATTTGTAATGATACAGAGTAGGATGAAAAAATCAGAGTATAATAAGGTCCAACCTTTTCTAGGGTGGCTCCTACCCTGCCTTCCATCCACTACAGATCTATACACCCTCTAAGTCATCCTATTTTGCTCCATCTCCTATAAATGTCCAAACCACTTCAGTAACTCTTCCACAGACCTCTGGATAAAACTTTTAGCAATCCCACACCTCCTCCTAATCTCCAGGCAACGAATTCTCTGTATAATATTTACACTACACATTGTTCTCAGACATGATATGTCTACTTCCTCCAGCTTCTTCCTTGCTGCAACATTCACAACTCATTCATAACACTCATATAAGAAGTGTTGACCACTATACTCTCATACATTCCCTTTTTGCCTCCATGGATAATGTTCTTTGTCTCCACAGATGCCTCAATGCAACAACCCCCCTTCCTCATCAATTCTATAGTTCACCTCATCTTTCACAGACCCATCCACCAACAAGTCCACTCCCAAATATCTGAACACATTTGCTTCCTCCATACTCCGTCCTTCCAATGGTACCATTCATAAAAGCCACTGGATTCAATGTTTTCTTCAGAGAAATAACTGTTGAAAAAACATTTATTTTTATAGTAAAACTAGTTTAATGGACCTTGACTTAATGGATTTTGGATTTAACAGACAAAATCTAGACATTGGATAATGTCTTGCAATAGACATAGTTTAGTCTATTGTTTCCAGAATTGTCTATTATTGTTATGATCCACCGAGTAAATTGCTTTCAGAAACATTGGACTCCCATAATTGTCTGTTTTTGTTACTAAGTGATGGCAAATTACTTTTGGAAAACTCTGACAAAATTCATTATTTCCAGAATTGTCTGTTACTGTTACAATGATGGAAAAACAATCTCATTACTTACTTAATAGACAAATGGCATTACCAGGTATCCTCTCCTCCCTATTAGTCCAGTAAACTGAGAACTCAATGCTTTAGTTAAATGTATGAAGTTCAACTTACCTCCCAGTATTTATCTTGTACGTGAGAATATGCAAGCGGAGGAAAGTTGTAGCACCATTCAGCTTCACCAAGATCTGGGGAGTGCAAGAAGTTGGAGCGTACAAACATCTCGAGATGAGGAGCAAGAGAAGGAGAACTGCCTTCTTCACCACAGTACATCTGTTATAGAGAGGAAAACAAGTATTTTTACAGAAGAGTATGGTTCATAGATCAAGGGATGGGAGGGGAAGAAGTGGCTGTGTATGTGATAATTTGATCTCACTGGGACCAGAAGTTATGCAGATTTCTCTCCTTCTGTAACTGTGCCCTCTACTATGGTCTTTCCCACTTTCGTATTTAAGTCACCCACAACAATCATTCTTTCATTTGCTTCAAAACTCCCTAGTTAGCTGCTTAACAGAACACAAAATCTCACCCCACTTCTCACATTTCAGTTTTACTTTAATCCACATTCTTAAATTTAAACATTTACACTCTTCCAGCCTTTCCATAACTGATCATTTCATACTGCTGGTATTCCTTCTTTAGCTGTAGTTCCCTCTTAATAAATGTAACTTTACTTACATTATAGCACCACATTTGGAAGAGGGCAAATGGAAGGATGACCAGGAAGCAACCAATGAACAGAGGTATGAGAGTATAGTTGAATGTCAGAACCAATACCAGTAGAAGGGACAGCTGGCCAGATTCTGTAGTTGCATTCCGAATTCTGAAATTAGGAAGCATCTTGGAAAACTATGGATATTTGTGGTTAATTTATTACTCCAGTTATGTCAAATGGTCATTCATATGCAGCAATTTAATTACAGATTGTTAAGAAACAACTGGTGAAGATTTTATATTATGGTAGTTTATTTTATACAGTACATTAGAAGATATGTGAAAATATGCAAAATTTTCTCTCTCATAAAATACTCAGTTACAACTCACTTATAGAAATAATTTGAGCAGTCTTGAAGTTTTCTGTAGAGTATGAATCCAACATTAACCAAACCATTTGACCTGGCTGATGAAGCTAATCCAAACACCATGGCAGCAGTAGAGGTGCTCCTGGTCTCATTCATCAAGAGGGCAGAGAATGTTAAGAATGCAAATAGTCCCTCTGAGTATGGTGCAGTGAAAAACACACTTGCCGGGTTCACACAGAAGAGCAGTGCTGCTCGATATGCCAAGACTTGATTCCTTAGCACTTCTTCACTCAATTTATGAAAAACTACTGCAGTCTTTATGAACAGATAAAAGTTTATCAATACTGCAGATATTAGAAGGACACTATAATAATTAAATATAAACTGCAATGGCACATTCAAAATTACAGTGATAAAACGCACTGTTAAAGGAAAGAGTGGAAAAAAAGCAAGTGTGTTCTCATGTGTGTAGCCATACTGTGCAATGTGTAGGAAGTACTGGGCATCCCAGCGCACTAATCCACCCAAGAGAATTTTAACAAGCTGGTCTGGCCATGATACCGGTACACTAGGATCTTCAGGAGAGATGAAAGCATCAGCCTGATGATCGGGGATGAGAAGGTTTGATACAGCCTGTAAATCAAATTAATGAGGTGAATCATTTGTTGCATATTTGTAACATACGATTTACTGTATACTACTGTTACAACATTATGACTCAATAAAGTGTAATGACACGACTGCAAACACACTATACCACAAGCGGGGATTGAACTCATGGTGAGTGAGTCATATTCTTACACTACTACATCTTACCTACATCAGTAAGGATTCCAATGTAACAAAACAAAATATCTAATATCTATAAATGTAGCATTGCAATGACATCAATACTCAATCTTACTTTCTTACCAAGAATATACAGTATTATTTTTACCAAACTTTAAATAATGTAATGGACAATTTTCAAAGACTGCACTGAATTGCAGAATTTACATTTTAAAATTTAAGAAGAACAGCAACGATTATGTAATGTACCCATCATGTAGGATGGTTGTTCATGCAATGGTTGTACTGTCCACCAGCTTGTGTTGGCAAACTTTACTTGGGCAGCATGAACACCATAATAATTTCAAGGTTTTATTGCATTAGTGGCAAGTTTGACTTTAATCCTTCTAACAGGTCTGTAGTTTCTTATACATGTATATGGGTACTACCATAACAAAGGATGGAGTGTTATTTCAGTCACAAATGATCATTATTGAACAGGACTACTGAATATATGTAGACTTGTATATTTAGGCTGTCTTTTTAATAATTGATACAGAAGGAGTTGTTAGCCTCTTGCTTTCAGCATTTCCTTATAGGACTGGAGGGAAACAATTCAAGGATAAGAACTATTAAGAAGTGGGCTATTAGCAAATTATTTAAATATTTAAGAGTAGTTATATAAAATTTGTACGTCTCTTATCATTACAGAATGTTATTTATTAAAAATGCAACATTTTCAGTTATAGCACATTATGGTAAAAATTATATTTGGTGCTTAAACAGAAAGTTACTTATATGGCACTGTGATGGTTGGATGATACACTGTACAGTCATGTCTCAAGTACATGCAAAACATCCAAGGAACCAAAACATATACAATAACCTTCAATTGTCCAGAGAAAACCAAGTCCATTGTAAACAACGGACTTGGTTTTTGTCCCATATTTCCAGCCCTCTAAATTGAGGCCCATTAACTTGAAGATCTATTGTATTTATATTTATATATCAGCCATAATAATTAGTTACCTTGGGGTGAAAAGGAGGCCCATAGCTTGTGTCAGGCTCTCAGGTATTATCTATTAACTTGAAATTCACTAAATAATATTCCTAATTTACAGTAAATAGTAATCAGAAAATAGTACAATAACTATGAAGAAACTAGTTCTTAAATATGGATATTTAAAAAAGTACTTGTAGGTATGTATTTTATATAATAGCTCTTGAGTGATTGGGGAAAATGATTAACATAAACAATTATGTACAGTGTATATTGTATTAAACTGCACATACTGTAGTTTTAATATTACTAATGGTATACAATGTGTGTACCTTCAATAATATTTCTTATTCTGGCACAATTATAGGTAGTATACAAAAGTTGCATTTTATGATGACTTAATCTAGGATATACTTAACCTCAAAACTGTCATTATTCAGAAAAGAGCCATAACATACCTGTAGTGCCAATACAATCACCCTCGATGCAATGGCAAAGTTCTTGACTTTCTGTCCCAGAGTATATGTCCTCATCTCTTAGCACGTACCAAAAGGTCAACAAATGACCCTGATAACTGACCATAGGAAGAACCACAAGCCTGAGAACAATGAGTTTTGGAGGGGCCGGTGCAAGAACATTAATCTTTAGAAGAGCCAAATCTAAAAAGTCTTTGAAGGAAGGACTGACCAGGGAAGAGCAACCATGGAAGGTACAACTGACCTGGAAATGATAGCAAGAGGAAGGACGGTCCTGGGAAGGGCAGCAGGGATAAGGATAGACCTGGGAACGGCAGCAGGATTATTATAAAAAAGAAGCGCTAAACCACAAGGGTTATACAGCGCAGACAGCAGCAGAAGGAAGGACGGACCTGGGAAGGTGAGCAGGAGGAAGGACGGACCTGGGAAGGTGAGCAGGAGGAAGGACGGACCTGGGAAGGTGAGCAGGAGGAAGGACGGACCTGGAGGGCCAGCAGAGGGAAGGCCCATGGAAGAGCAGAAGTTAGAATGGACTTGGGAAGGACAACAGGAATTAGGACTTATTCTAGTACAGTTTACACAATATTGGATGATTTACAATTTTCTTACATAAAAACATGTAGATTACCTAGGAGACCCCCAAAAACAGATCAAAGTGATATATTTCCTCTGGTGTCCTTGCGACCTAAACATCAGAAACAGTAACCTATTAGATACAGTAAAAAGCAATGACTAATATGGCAGCAACGAATACAGGAACAAAGACTGCCTTCTGAACGACCACAGGAGGAAGGACTGACCTGAGAACAACGGCCTCAAGAGTAAAAACTGAACAGGAATAGCGACCACAGGAGTAAGGGTTAACCAGGACAACAGCAGCAGGAGGTGTCTGACTAGTATTATTGTTGGGTTTAAGAGCTGTCACGGCCTCACTCAGGCAGCATGAACCTCTCCACACCCGAATCAATAAAGTAAAAGTAAGTTTATATAGTTGTTAGTTTAATATCTTTATTATGCACCCCATATATAGGTACAGGTAAGTAAGTAAGTTTACTGAGGTACAGGTACACATAAATAGCTACATAAATTATCATAAATAGCAGCATGTGTAGATTACCTAGGATAACCCCCAAAAAAGTCAGATACATAAATACAGTTACACAAATTATCATACATAGTAGCATATGTGTAGATTACATAGGATAACCAAAGAAAATTCAGACAAATGGCTTATTTTCTTTTTGGTTCTTGTAATATTGTAAACCTTGAAAGTTAAAACAGCTAAGTAACTCAACTGTATGAAAATCTGTTACAATAAAAGGACATATATTTGGAATAAGTTAAACCGAGTAATTTACATTAACATTAAAGAGAGCATCAGCTTACAGTAATAGGCACATACCCTTGAGGAGGAATAAGTTTATTTAGGCACAGGTACACATAAGTACAATTATCTGTTTGTATGCTTAAATTACTAAATAAATAAATAAATAAATCATACATATTGTAAATTACATAGGATAACCCAAAAAAGTCGGACAAAGTAACTTATTTCCATTGGGATCCTTAAAACAATCAGGAAACAGGGCAACTTCTGTTTCCTGCTAACTACTGGCTTTTGTTTCCTGCTAACTACTGGCTGTTGTTTCCTGCTAACTAGTGGCTGTTGTTTCCTGCTAACTAGTGGCTGTTGTTTCCTGCTAACTACTGGTTGTTGTTTCCTGCTAACTACTGGCTGTTGTTTCCTGCTAACTACTGGCTGTTGTTTCCTGCTAACTACTGGCTGTTGTTTCCTGCTAACTACTGGCTGTTGTTTCCTGCTAACTACTGGTTGTTGTTTCCTGCTAACTACTGGCTGTTGTTTCCTGCTGACCAGGAATGGCTTTCTGATAACCAGGAGCTGTTGTTTCCTGATGACCAAGATCTTCTATTTCCTGCTAACAAGGAGCTGTTTTTCCTGCTGACCAGAAGCTGCTGTTTGCTGCTAACTGGGGCTGTTGTTTCCTGCTGATTAGGAGCTTTTGTATCATGCTGACAAAGAGCTGCTGTTTGCTGCTGACCATTTACTGAGATAAAGTAACAGAAAGAGCGATGGATGGACAGCATCCTCTTGATAAGATAAGATTTCGTTCGGATTTTTAACCCCGGAGGGTTAGCCACCCAGGATAACCCAAGAAAGTCAGTGCGTCATCGAGGACTGTCTTAACTGATTTCCATTGGGGTCCTCAATCTTGCCCCCCAGGATGCGACCCACGCCAGTCAACTAACACACAGGTACCTATTTGCTGCTAGGTGAACAAGACAACAGGTGTAAGGAAACGCGTCGAAATGTTTCCACCCCGCTGCAAAAACTCATTTGGCCTGTGTCCTCCCCACCGAAAACTGTGTCACAAGCGCGAGGAGCAAGTAGGGATGAGAGGAAAAGTCCTCCAGTAGCTCAAAGAGTACCTGAAAGACAGGTGGTGCCAGGATGAGTAATAGTAATGAGCAGGGTTCCCCAAGGATCAGTACTGGTGCCACTACCTTTCCTCATATACGTAAATTATTTGCAAGATGGAATACAATACTATGTGTCTGTTTACAAATAATGGGAAACTATTGGGAAGAATATAATCAGTGGAAGACTCTGGAGAAAATGAAGCAGGTTGCAGCCGGGATGGTTAAACAAGTGGCTGCTCAAATGCCTCCCCTCAAGGAAGGTTCCTTGATGTTGGTGAGGGGCTCTTGATTTAGGGAATTGGATCTGTGCTCCAGTTCCCCGAATTAAGCCTGAATGCCTTCCACATCCCCCCCCCCAGGCGCTGTATAATCCTCCGGGTTTAGCGCTTCCCTCTTGATTATAATAATAATAATGCTCAAATGCCTCACATTCCACTATTGCTGTCATACTCTTATGGGTTTAGCGCTCCCTTATGAATATAATATTAATAATAATAATAGGAATCAGAGACGTTAGCAAGCACTTTCTTTTCACTTTTAGGATAGGAAAGTGACGTGGAGGAAACAACTCAATACACAGTTTTAAGAATATGACTGCTTAAATGGTAATAGGCCTGTAATGCCGGCCGACGAAACTTAAAGAGGCAGAACCAGGAGCTAAGAATCGACACCACAGACAAAAATCAGTAACCTTTACATTACTGGTAAACATTACCGACAAGGTGATAAACGAGACACGTACGAAACGGGTATCTTTATTGCCTAAACGTTACGCCTACGCAGCAGATTGAGTAACTGAATACAACTTATTAAGGCTAAGTGAATGAACTCTGAAATTGTATCTCCACGTCCCACAGTTACTAAAAACAACAGACATAGCCCCACTCCACAAAGGGGGCAGTAAAGCAACAGCAAAGAACTACAGACCGATAGCACTAACATCCCATATCATAAAAATCTTTGAAAGGGTCCTAAGAAGCAAGATCACCACCCATCTAGAAACCCATCAGTTACACAACCCAGGGCAACATGGGTTTAGAACAGGTCGCTCCTGTCTGTCTCAACTATTGGATCACTACAAGGTCCTAAATGCACTAGAAGACAAAAAGAATGCAGATGTAATATATACAGACTTTGCAAAAGCCTTCGACAAGTGTGACCACGGCGTAATAGCGCACAAAATGCGTGCTAAAGGAATAACAGGAAAAGTCGGTCGATGGATCTATAATTTCCTCACTAACAGAACACAGAGAGTAGTCGTCAACAGAGTAAAGTCCGAGGCAGCTACGGTGAAAAGCTCTGTTCCACAAGGCACAGTACTCGCTCCCATCTTGTTCTTCCTCCTCATATCCGACATAGACAAGGCTGTCAGCCACAGCACCGTGTCTTCTTTTGCAGATGACACCCGAATCTGCATGACAGTGTCTTCCATTGCAGACACTGCAAGGCTCCAGGCGGACATCAACCAAATCTTTCAGTGGGCTGCAGAAAACAATATGAAGTTCAACGATGAGAAATTTCAATTACTCAGATATGGTAAACATGAGGAAATTAAATCTTCATCAGAGTACAAAACAAATTCTGGCCACAAAATAGAGCGAAACACCAACGTCAAAGACCTGGGAGTGATCATGTCGGAGGATCTCACCTTCAAGGACCATAACATTGTATCAATCGCATCTGCTAGAAAAATGACAGGATGGATAATGAGAACCTTCAAAACTAGGGAGGCCAAGCCCATGATGACACTCTTCAGGTCACTTGTTCTATCTAGGCTGGAATATTGCTGCACACTAACAGCACCTTTCAAGGCAGGTGAAATTGCTGACCTAGAAAATGTACAGAGAACCTTCACGGCGCGCATAACGGAGATAAAACACCTCAATTACTGGGAGCGCTTGAGGTTCCTAAACCTGTATTCCCTGGAATGCAGGCGGGAGAGATACATGATTATATACACCTGGAAAATCCTAGAGGGACTAGTACCGAACTTGCACACGAAAATCACTCACTACGAAAGCAAAAGACTTGGCAGACGATGCAACATCCCCCCAATGAAAAGCAGGGGTGTCACTAGCACGTTAAGAGACCATACAATAAGTGTCAGGGGCCCGAGACTGTTCAACTGCCTCCCAGCATACATAAGGGGGATTACCAACAGACCCCTGGCAGTCTTCAAGCTGGCACTGGATAAGCACCTAAAGTCGGTTCCTGACCAGCCGGGCTGTGGCTCGTACGTTGGTTTGCGTGCAGCCAGCAGCAACAGCCTGGTTGATCAGGCTCTGATCCACCAGGAGGCCTGGTCACAGACTGGGCCGCGGGGGCGTTGACCCCCGGAACTCTCTCCAGGTAAACTCCAGTATAAAATAGTTCGCCTTTGCATTCGACTGAAGAAGCCTGCTGCCCAGGCGAAACATTTCGGTAATAAAGATACCGAAGTGTTGCACGTGGGTCTTATTCATCATCAGTAATCAATATCGTTACCTATCAACTCCATCCTTTATGGATGAAGTGGGGTTTCTAAACCATTTCCATCTTTTAAGGAAAGTGTATGCGTAGTAACAGCAGGATTGAACCTCATGGCTTTCTGTTTTCTTACATCTTTCTGTGTCTTCTTGTCTCTTTGTGGCCAGTAGGTAATCTAGAAGACAGAATCTCTTTGTATCGAGTGATAAGAAGAGCGAAGAGCTGTCTTCCCCTTGGCCTCTGCTCTCAGCTACCCGATAAGCAGCAGCTGTGGAATTCCGCTGCCAGTAGTTTGGGGTACAGTTCGGGGTGGACATCTCTCCCTCGCAGTGCTTCCAGGCTTTAAAAACGTATATTAAAGATGTGTTTCAAGACTGTGTCATAAGACTGAGGTCTTAGGGAGTATATCAAGGTGGTGTTACAAGTCTATGTCATGAAATTGTGTGTTTAAGGCATATATGAGGTTGGTGGCTGTCGTAAGACTGCTTTAAGGACGTATATCAAAGAAATGTTTCAAGGTTATATCATAAAACTGTGTTTAGGACATATATCAGGTTGATGTATGGCTGTGTCATAATAATGTGCTTTAAGGACGTACATCATAGTGGTGTTTCAACAGTTTATGCTACTGATATCAGTGTGTGCATATAAACTGTATGTTGGGCTATTGTAGTGATGGTCAACGTAAGACCCACCAAACCAAGTCTTACCCATTAGAAAGTAAGCGTTTCTAAGTTTAACATTATCATTTAGTATTTCATTTAATTATTATTATCATTATTATTGATTTTATTGGTGAGCTGTTTATTTTAAATCTTTAATAATAGACATTAACGATTAAGTGATGAATTTTAACATATGCTTTTGACCGCTTCTTTCATTTTGATGGTACAGTATCAACTTTTTCCATTTTTCTCTACGTTTTATTGTTATTATTCATTTTCTTTTTTCCTTTCCATGTTATTCCATATTTTTTTCACATTTTTTAACGCTTTCTCTTTATTGTATTACTGCCAGATTCAGTAAATTCTTGTTAGTGTTCTTGTCCACTGAGTCGTATATCCAGACTCTGTATGCTTATGTTGACGTTCTTGAGTGACGATTTAGTTATCCGGATTCAGTATGTTTACGTTCTTGAGAGAAGATTCCAATATCCGGATTCGTAATGTTTTTACTGTTAAACAAAAAACAATAAACAATTTTATTTCTTTATTGATACTTGGTAGATAACGTGAAACACAATGTATTTTATATATATATATATATATATATATATATATATATATATATATATATATATATATATATATATATATATATATATATATATATATATAAAATAACACTGGTCACTATCATTAGAATTATTTATAAATATATTCATAGGGAAGAGCTACAACGCTTGAGGAATAGGATGTAATCAGGTTTGATCCAAGGGAGTGGAGGTCAGCTCAAATTCCTTGGATCACGAACATGAAAGGCACCCCCATGAAGGATCCTCTGATCGTAGTTTTTTTTGTTTCTCTCAGATGCGAGCCTGGAGATTGTTAGCGAAGAGGTCGGTAATGACCTCGGTGAGTGGTGGAGCACCCTGGGGGTTAAATGCCGCTGACCTCCTGCAGAATATTCTGAGAGTGCCACATTACCATCACTATATTCGGCATGTTTCACAGTGCCAGACGATACAGGAAGAGCCACACTGCAGTAACAACGACAAGGTCATCCCGCCTGGGGATCCATGCTCTGTGCACGACACCCATTACCTGGAAGCCTACAACTTGATGGAGGAGAACGCAGACATGATCTTCGAGCCGGAGAACATGTTGAAGGAGAGGAGTTACGATGGTGAAGCAGTGCCTGAGGACTCCAGCCTTCCTATGCCTGCCTCTATGATCCCAGGGCCGCGTGCCTGGCCAATCGTCGGCTGCCTCCCATATATGCTTGGGCACAAGGGTAAGGTTGTGTTCCCCCCACACACGCACAACGGGGAAAATAAAACACATGTGTCCTGTGTATTTCGGTCTTTTCTGTATTATTTTCACTATGTTTACCTGGAGTTTACCTGGAGAGAGTTCCGGGGGTCAACGCCCCCGCGGCCCGGTCTGTGACCAGGCCTCCTGGTGGATCAGAACCTGATCAACCAGGCTGTTGCTGCTGGTTGCACGCAAACCAACGTACGAGCCACAGCCCGGCTGATCAGGAACTGACTTTAGGTGCTTGTCCAGTGCCAGCTTGAAGACTGTTATGTGAGTCCGTTTATGCCACTAACCAATGTTTATCACAGTTTAGTGTTTGAATAAATAATTTTGTTTGAAAATAAATAAGATTATTTAGGTACAGGCATACATAAGTACAATTATCATACATAGTTTAACATATGTGTAAATTACCTAGGGTAACCTCCTCAAAAAAATTAGACGAAGTGACTTGTGATTTCCAATGTGGTCCTTGTAATTTCCAAACTTTCAAAATACCCTAATGTTATTCTAGTTAATATTCGAAGACATTCAGCTTCAACATTACACCGGTAGTATTTTTTTTTTACTTTAGGGCCTAATCCTAAGTAATGTTTTTGACTTTTGTAGCCTTCGACCCCCAGAGGGTGTACCTGTTCTGGGAGGCTGTACGGCAGGAGTTCGGCCCCACCTTCAGAAAGGACATGCCAGGTCACTCTTGCCTGGTGTTCATCTCCCGGCCAGAGGACCTGGAATCGCTGTTCCGTTCCACCATGTACGACCCCGTCAGGCCTGGCATGACCTCCCTCAAGAAGATCCGCAGTGAGGGCGGCGCTGACGGCCACACTCACATCCACGACACCATCTTCAGGGGCAGAGCAGGCATATTAGCTGAGTACGTGAGCTCTTTTCCAGGTTGTCACTGCCTGATTTTTTTTAAACTGGTGCTAGAACTGTGTTTATGGATGGTGGTGCAGCTGGTAGAGTAACAATAGAGGATTTTAAAGCGGCGAAGATTCTCTGAACTACTGGCAAGAACTTTAGTAGTGGAACCGTTTGAACAGTGGTAAAAGTCTTTAAGTGAAGAACTAGGACACTGTAATTTGAATGAAAATGATTTCGTCAGTGAGTTATGTTGACGACGAGCTAATGTGTTTCTGGCACAGGCAGGGCGAGGAATGGTGGCGTGTGAGGAGGCGGGTGCAACGTCCCCTTATTGATGCTACCATTATCCACAGCTACTTACCTCAAATGGACCAGGTGGCCATGGAGTTTGTTGAGAGGTAACTACAATCCCATCCAGTCATCTTTCTCTCTCTCTTTCCCCTATACGTTAATTGCAGTATCTGGTGTTTATATACTATTCCCAAAATTAATACAATTCATTTGTGTATGTTAGCTAAGATAACAGGTTTTCTGATTGGTATTAATACTCATATGACGATGTTATTTCACAAAAATGTGTTTTCTGGGTAAAAATAGTATTATTACACATTTAAAGTTACCAAGAGGTGAAGGGAGAGATGATCAACATAACAGGAAAATACAATCAAATATAATCAAGAATAACTCACTCATTGCAGGATTCGCTACTTGAGAGACGAAAAAGATGAAATGCCAGAGAGTTTCAATACTGAGTTGCACAAGTGGGCTTTAGAGTGTGAGTATTAAAGCTACATATATTTAGCTTTTGTCCATATATATATATATATATATATATATATATATATATATATATATATATATATATATATATATAGAGAGAGAGAGAGAGAGAGAGAGAAGAGAGAGTGAGAGGTGTGTGTGTACAGAGGTGTATATTTCTTAGCGAATATACGCTATACTTGACTTGCTACTGCTCATGAGTAACTCAAGAGTTTATGTTTGGAAGCAAACTGAGGATCGAGCCTCTGCCACTCTTTGTGCTGAATGACCCACACAGGTTTAGCGCTTCACATAAATATAATAACAATAATGATAATCTAAAGTCTTGCGTTCCTTTTCCTGATCACCACCACCGGGGAGGCAGCTCTGGGCACCATCACCTTGGAACGTCGTCTGGGCTGCCTGCAGGAGGACGCCTCCACGCTGCCCAGTCGTCCGTTGCGCCTAGTCGTGTTGGTCAAACAGCTGCTGGGGGCGCTGCACCACACTGAAAACTTGAAGTTGTGGCAGTACTTCCCCACCACCTCCATCAAGAGGCTCCAGGAGGCCCATCAGGTCTTCACCGAGTGAGTAACTAATTTCGAGAGCTAAATTCTATCAGGTATAATTAATAATAATATTATTATTATTTTAATTTTCACTATTATTAAATATAGGAAAGTTTCAGTCACATAGGTGTCATACAGTGAGTAGGGAATGGTAGTCAGTCAGGTTTGATTCAAGGAAGTGGAGGGTAGAGCCAGTTCTTTGGATCAAGAGAACTTCATGGGAATCATGGCACCCCCATCTCTCTGAAGGAGTGACTGCATTACCCCAATGAAAATAAACCATGGTACTTGGTTTTGTTGAATTCTAGATTAAATCAAGTTTTTTAGAATTGGCTGTAAATAAATTAGTTGATTATTTTGTTTACTGACATTTTTATGAGTATGATTTATATGCCCTGTCGTGAGACTTCATTCCTTCTTCATACCCTTCAGCGTGGCTCTGGAGGCCATACGTGATACTGAGAGGTTGTTGGCTACCAGAGGCCGTAGTGCCTCCAGCAGTGTCACCGCTTCCTCCTGCCCTCTCCACCACCACCAGAAAGGTGATGAGACATCCAGCTTCTTGGAGACTCTACTGAGGATTCCAGGACTCTCCCGGGAGGACGTCCTCACATTCCTCTTGGATATGATCTTTACGGGCATTGATACGGTGAGGAGAGCGAGAAAGAGATGGTAAAAACGAATAAGAGTGGGAGAGCTTAAAAAAGTAAAACAATGAGAGTGAGAGTACGAGATATTAAAAACAGAAGTTACAAGGTGGGATGACCTGGATGATTAAGCAATAAAGGCAGACTTTAAACACAATTGAAGAATACTTAAACTGGTTACAGTCAGGTTTATGCACGGGGTCACTTTCCTTCTCGGAGGATACACCTTGATGCCAGTGAAGGGCTCTTTATTCAAGGAATTTAAAGTACCCACCATGTCGTTGGATCAAACATAATAACGATAAGCTTTGTCCCCCAGACGAGTCACGCGGTGGGTAATATGCTGTACCTGCTGGCTAGGAACCCTCAGGAACAGCAGAAGGTGCAGCAAGAAATCGATAAGATGGTGGGCCGTCCCCGCCACCTAACCCCGGATCACCTAGCCGCACTCACCTACACCAAGGCTGTCTTCAGGGAGACACTCAGGTGAGGCAAGACTGCAGGAAGGGTGTTGTGTTTTCCAGCATTAGACTTGCATTTGTCACATATGCAACAAATGTTTCTGAGCATCTCAAGGAAGAGGTGTAGTGCGATGTTCGCCCCTGAGTCCTTGTCTTTTTCATATTCAGTTAATTGTGATACGGACAAGTTGTAACTTAAAGAAAAGACAAATGACTTCTTCAGTCCTGAAGAAGAAACTTGTGGTGAAATGTTTTCGTAAGAAATGTCTTGATTAGTGCAAACGTGTTTTTTTTTTACCTTCAATGAATTGTTTCGTTCATGTGTGCTTTTCCTCTGGTCTCCCTCTCAGATGGTACTTTTCCTCTAGCCTCCCTCTCAGGTGATACTCTTCTTCTGGCCTCTGTCTCAGGTAGTATTCTTCTACTGGTCTCTTTCAGGTGGCACTCTTCATCTGGTCTCTCTCAGGTAGTACTCTTTCTCTGGCCTCTCTCTCAGGTGGTACTCTTCCTCTGGCCTGCCTCTCATTTGTGTATGTGTGACCCACAGGATGATGCCTGTCAGCATTGGGATCGTCAGACGCCTCAACCGAGACACTATACTGGGAGGATACAGGATTCCTGCTGGGGTGAGTTCTCTCTCCTTTTTTAGCAGCTACATTTTTTATCACGTCAACCATCGTCTAATAAGGTAAAGCGACCTAGAGTAGAATATATTCACTATCACTCATTCAATAGCTGGGTTTCACGGGAATTAATCTCAACGATTTAGACTAAACAACCTAGTCCTATCCATTAAATTTACCACTGAAACTGAAACAGATTATGCTATCTCATTTTTTTGGACATTCGTATACATACAAAAGATCGAGTATCTATATTCATTATATATATGAGAGCAACCAAATAAGACCTCTTAGATCTACAATTTCTGAAGAGCAGCCACCTTTCTGTAATGAGTTCTGGGCGTTATGGATGTTCGTAGGAACCTAGCCATACAAAACAGCCGAAAGGTGCTCTTGGTTTATATACGGTCTTTCTGGATGACATATACCTATATGGGATCAAATCTACATCTTATTCCACAGTCGCCGTATGATCAGTAAAGGTTCAGTTCTCACCAGAAACTATATTGTTATTGTTACATATACAAGCTAAAAATTTTTTATGCCATTTCCTGCAGTGTTTGCCTGGCTCCTGTACCACAAAATTCCATGCTTCCCTCCTGCTGTTCTCACCAACATTATTCTTCTCCACACTCTTCCTCCTTCAAACGGGGTGCCCTCATAATGATAATGATATTAATAACTAATAATAATAATAATAATAATAATAATAATAATAATAATAATAATAATAATAATAATAATAATAATAATCCATCCTCTTCCCCGATCTCCCTCCAGTAACCCTCAAGAAATCCATCAGTCTCACCCTGTCGACTACCCTTTCCCTTCGCTGGCTGAAAGCTGACTGCCTCCATTTCCCAGGAGCTGTATGATCCCTAAGGGTATAAGAACATAAGAACATAAGAACGAAGGAACACTGCAGAAGGCCTACTGGCCCATGCGAGGCAGGTCCAAGTCTCCTACCGGCTTAAGCCAATGCACCCAACCTAGTCAGGTCAGGTCACATTGACTTAAGGGAGGAACACGGCAACCGACCTGGTAGCACAAGCTGTCAGGTCCAACTCACACCCACCCACATCCACTCATGTATTTATCTAACCTATTTTTAAAGCTACACAACGTTGTGGCCTCTATAACTGTACTCGGGAGTTTGTTCCACTCATCCACAACTCTATTACCAAAACCAGTACTTTCCTATATCCTTCCTGAATCTGAATTTTTCCAACTTAAAACTATTGCTGCGAGTCCTGTCTAGGCTAGATATATTCAGCACACTATTTACATCCCCTTTATTTATTCCTGTCTTCCATTTATACACCTCAATCATATCCCCCCTAATTCTACGTCTTTCTAGAGAGTGCAGATTCAGGGCCCTTTGTCTAGCCTCAAATTGTTAATAAATAAATAAATAAATAGGGAAGGTTTCTGATACATGGGATCAACTTTGTCATCCTCCTTTGTACATTTTCCAGAGAATTTTATATCCATCCTGTAATACGGTGACCAAAACTGTGCAGCATAATCTAAATGAGGCCTAACCAAGGATGTATAGAGTTGAAGAACAACCTGAGGACTCCTATTATTTATGCTTCTTGATATGAAGCCAAGGATTCTATTAGCTTTATTGCGAACACTTATGCACTGTTATCTTGGTTTCAGATTACTGCTAACCAGAACTCCTAAATCTTTTTCCCAATCCGTAATATTAAGATCTACATTATTTAGTTTATATGTGGCATGGTTATTGTCCTGTCCAACATTTAGAACTTTGCATTTGTCTATATTAAACTGCATCTGCCACTTCTCCGACCACTGCATCAGTCTATTCAAATCTTCCTGGAGTGCTCGAATGTCCTCGTCAGAATGAATTCGACGGGCTATTTTGGTGTTATCGGCAAACTTGCCGATGTCGCTCTTTATGCCCTCATCTATGTCGTTTATGTAGCGCTTCCCTCCTATTTTTTTCATCACCCCTTTCGCCCCAATGTTTTTTACCCTCTTCCTCCCTCGCACAATCACCGCATCTCTTCCTCCCACCATCCCTTAATCACTCTAATCTAATTTATGCGCAAATAACCCGCACATAGAAGAGAGGAGCTTACGGCGACGTTTCGGTCCGACTTGGACCATTTACAGTGTGACTTGGTAAATGGTCCAAGTCGGACCGAAACGTCGTCGTAAGCTCCTCTCTTCTATGTGCGGGTTATTTATGTATCGTCCCAGTCACGGTATTGTGCTTTTTTTTTTGTTACTAATTTATGCACTTTCATCCCTCTTCTTTTTGTGCCTTCATACATTGTTTTCTTTGCGCATTTTCATATCTTATTTTTCCCCTCTCGTCACACTCTCTGAGTCTTCCCTCCTATGTTTTCATCCCTTATTGCCTTCCTTTTCTTTCTTCCTCTCCCTCCTTTCCCAGCGTATTCACTCTCTTCTTCCTTCGTCTTCACATCTGCTCTGCCTGCTTCAGTGGGAGGTGGTGGCGCCAACCTTGTTGATGAACCAGCAGGAGGCAGTGTTCCCTAGGGCAGGGGAGTTTTTGCCAGAAAGGTTCCTCAGGGGGTCCAGCCTCGCCCCCCGTCACCACTTCTCCTTCCTGCCCTTTTCCTACGGCCCCAGGATGTGCATCGGCAGGAGGATTGCTTACCAGGAGATCTTCTGTCTCATCGTCAGGGTAAGCTGGTTGAACGCCATTTTCTGCACGCCTACTGCTAGTGTTCTTCTATTTTTTATTTATTTGTTCTAAACTTTGAGTTGCCTGACTTGTTATGTTATCGTTTGGCTGGTTGCGAGGGCAGGTTCTCGGGTGGCACGTTAACTCCAGCTTCTCTACCTTTTAAAATTTCAAGTGACTGACTTAGTTGATATCTATGTCTGGATTAGCATATATTGTCTTCTTTACACGTATTCAATCTGTTTAATATATTCTCAGTATCCTATTAATTCTCTCGTCTTCAGAGACAAAGCCAAATAGCAACAGAAAGTCAATATGATTAATAAACCGGCCTGAAAAAGTGGTTCATTGTTCAAGTTACCAATAAAATTCGAGTACTCAGAATGTGAATGCATGATATATAGACAAGCGTAACAGATTAAGTTTCTTACTAGATAAGCTTATGATTATTTTTATGGTATATTCATGAGGTTAGGTTAGGTAAGGTTTGTCTGGAAACATGACAAGTGTTTCATGACGCGGGTCTTAGTCATATGATGACCCGCAGCTGGAACTTTTGGTCATCCGATAGAGGCCTTCCGCTGACTTACCCCTCCATCCCTTTAAAAATTAGGGTTATAATTATAACCATTATATGAATTAATGGTCATGAGGCACAAATCCAATAAAATCAAGGCAGCGTCTGAGGAATGGGCGATGAACAGGATCGATCTAAGAAAGCGGAGGGTTGCCTCAATTTCTTTGACATTAGACACTTCCCTTGAAGGATGATAGCACCAGAGGATAATTGAGAAATTAAAAATAACCAGGAGTATCAAGTTCGATGCCCAAGTACGTATAATTCTCACGTTATTATAATAGATCAGTGTAACGTCGCAGTTGTTGGGTAATATATTAATAAACAATTATTGAAGATTCAGTTTTGCAGCTTGTTATTAGTCTCAGTCTTACAGTGTTTATTATACACCTTGAAATATCCCCATACATCTCTCATATTTTAAAATATTTGCAAAACAACCACAGGGGGAGTTGAACAGTTGTTTTGCATTTGTGTCGCTTGTTCGCATTATTTAAAATATATACCAATACATTATTATCTTATTTTACATAAAACAAAATAGAGAATATATACATTTCAAATCTGCTGACTTGCAGAAAACGAAGAACAACTCAAAGATAACTGATATGATTAATGGATGTTTAACTGTACAGTATATATGGAATACTATCACACTATTTACACCACTAACATATATACATCGAGAGATATTAATATATTTTTCATTGTATAAATACTCAGAATTTACCGTAAACCATATTCTAGGGATTACAGTATGCTATAGCAGAGCACATGGATGACATGTGTCGTCAATAGATTTAAGCCTAACAGACTAAATACCTTCGCATGGTATTATTATCAATCTAGTGGTGAGCATACTGCTATGTATATACACTCAAGAGTTTACATTACTGTTATGTATATACACTCAAGAGTTTACATTACTGTTATGTATACTCAAGAGCTTACATTAATCCTTATTTTGAGAGATTGCAATAGTCTTGAAGTTAGGGTACAGTTGATTGGACTTTAATAACTAACCACCACTATTACATTATTCTACAAGTACCATTCTCTCATGTGTACAGATATTAAGTGAGCTGAACGTGGACTACAAGTATGAGGACATTCACCTGATCAACAGGCTCAGCTACGGACCGTCTCACCCCCTCAGGTTCACTTTCACTGACAGAATGAAACCCTGAACCTCTCCTTATGATGATCAGTATAGCTAGATCTAATTTGTATCTAGAATAAGGCAAGACGACTAGTTTATTCTCGTTCTAGTGCTCTCAGTACTGCAGGAGTCGTCACCCGCCCATCTCTACCTTACGTCTATCTTCAATATGCTCTATTTTTACCCATCTCTGTGAGAACTAAGTCCCTGGTGGACGAAATATCTTAATAAAATTTCAGAAATTGCACATTATGTCTTTTTAACACAGTACTCTGGTGAAAGCACACACACATGCGCGCGCGCGTGTGTATACCCTGGAGAGGATTTCGGGAGTCAACGCCCCCGCGGCCCGGTCTGTAACCAGGCCTGTGTGTGTGTGTGAAGAATAAAAAGTCAGTATACTCCTAGCCTGGCTGGATTACTTTACACCCCCATCGAGGAGGGGAACCTTAAGACGACGTTTCGGTCATTCCTGAACCACTGTCAAATAACAACTGAGGTGAAAAAAGTGGATAAAGCCTGAAGAAAATATGGGAATGGGTGGGATAGTAGTAGTAGTAGTAGTGATAGTAGTAGTAGTACTACTACTATCACTACTTCACAACTAGTAGTAGTACTACTACTACTACTAGTTCTGAAGAAGGTGGTGGTGAACGGAAAATTAGCAGCAGTAATAGTATTGTGGAAAATACTGTATATATTTTCTAGAAATTCAGTATTTATATGTAAATAGATGGCCTATACTGTATTTAATAATATTTGTCATAGAAAACGGAAAGCCTGCGTCTGGGCAGGGACTCGCCATCTTGGTTTTTGAATTTTGTACAAACGTTGGTGTAATGGGAAGAATTTTTCGTGCTCTCGAGGTTAAAATTGTGTTGACACCTCTCAAATAGGAGGCGAAATTGGTGGATGTGCATTCCTGCATAACTTGAGATATCAGACGACTGGACAAGACAGCTCCAGGAACCTTAGATAAGCTCTCTAGATTTGTGTGTAATTCTGGCCAGCATTATTTTCATAGATTTAGTTAGAGTGAGGTTTTCTGAGTATGATACACATTAATCTCCAGTCAAATTGGTGAGTGATATTAAGATATATTTTCTTTCTGTTATGTAATTGTGTATATATATAACCATTTATTATTTTTAATATACAGTCCACAGATTTATATATTTACCAGTATTCCTGGTGTATGTATATTTCATTTAATTAATAGGTCCAGAGCAACTTGTGGTTATGACAGTGGTAGGTATCGAAGGGGGACATTTTTTGCGACCTAGGTGTCCCAAATTCCTACTTGTCTATGTAACATTGATAAATAATAATTATCTTTGTTATCATTTACTGTTATGTACATAATTAGTTACATTCAGATAAATGCAATTTTCCACAAGTATGTGGCCCAGGACGGGTCACATGTGTTTCGGTCCGAAACGTTGTCTAGCTTCATTTCCAATTCGTGGGTTAAATGTGAATTTCTTTTCCCTTCAAGGGACGTACATGGATACCAGTGAAGGACTTTCCACTCGATTAATTAGCTACAGCACCTCTTTTTCCTTGAATCAAACCTGATTACTCCCCATTTCCCTAGCGCTGTATGACTCCCATGGGTTTAGCGCTTACCAATAATAATAATAATAATAATGCGAATTTGTCTTATAAAACTTTAAGATTACTACTTAAAATTAATATAATAATAATAATAATAATAATAATAATAATAATAATAATAATAATAATAATTTTCACTTCAACAAGTACATGTGCAAGGTATACAGGACTAGATTTATTTATTTATTTATTTATTTATTTAGAAATTTAGCATACATACAGAGGTACAAAAAAATACAGGTAAGAGCAGCATGCCAAAGCCACTTATATGCATAGCATTACGGGCTGGCTTAAAATTAACTTAAGATTAACTAAGCAATGATGAAATCAGTGATAAGACATTATTGTAAACAGATAACTATAAAATACAAATGAGTATTACAAAGACAGGTCCTATGGTTGCATGCATTGCTGTTCATTCAGTAGAATGGAGTATTCTGTTAGGTAGTGTATTGAAAAAAAATAACAAAGTTAGGTTTAACATTTGTGTGATATAATTGTGAGTAACATTTAGGATATACAATTTATATGGTTCAGTTATTCAGTATTTATTTGGTTTTGAGTGAGTAAGTGAACTTTGAGAAGAGACTTGAATTTATAAACAGGTAGTGTTTCTTTTATATTTACAGGTAATGAATTCCAGATTTTAGGGCCTTTTATGTGCATTGAGTTTTTGCATAGCGTGAGATGGACACGAGGAACATCAAAGAGTGATCTGTGCCTTGTATTATGGTCATGTGTTCTGTTGAGGTTGGCAAGGAGATGTTTGAGGGGAGGGTTAATATCAGAGTTAAGTGTTCTATGTATGTAATAAGTGCAATAATAAGTATGGATGTTTTGTATGGTGAGTAGGTTGAGTGTTTTGAATATTGGTGGAGTGTGCTGCCTGTATTGAGAATTTGTTATCATTCTAACTGCAGCCTTTTGTTGGGTAATTAGTGGTCTGAGATGGTTAGTTGTTGTTGAGCCCCATGCACAAATTCCATAGGGAAGATAGGGGTAAATAAGAGTGATAGAGGGCCAGGAGGGCTGACTGTGGAACATAGTACCGTATCTTCGATAGTATGCCTACAGTCTTGGAAATTTTCTTAGAAATTTGTTGTATATGTGTATGAAATTTGAGTCTATTATCGAGGTGGATTCCTAAGAATTTTCCCTCTGTTAGCTTTGTGATAGGTGATCCGTTTATCGCTATGTTAAGAGGTACATCTGTAGCTCTGCTACCAAACTGAATGAAGTAGGTTTTGTCAATGTTTAGTGTAAGTTTGTTAGTCCTCATCCAGGTAGATATTTTCTGTAATTCGGTGTTTACAGTATTGGCTAGCGTGACTGGGCTCGGGTGAGAGAAGACGTATGTGGTGTCATCTGCAAAAAGTGTGGGTTTGAGTAATTGCGAAGCATTTGGTAGGTCATTTATGTATAGGAGAAAGAGAAGAGGGCCAAGGACACTTCCCTGTGAGACACCAACTGTAATTGGTTGTTCGGAAGAGCTTGCCCCATTTGCGTACACATATTGGCTTCTGTTGCTGAGGTAAGACTTGAGGTAGTTGAGGGAGTGCCCTCTTATATCATAGTGTGACAATTTTACGTGGAGCAAGTCATGGTCAACTGTATCAAAAGCTTTACGTAAGTCAATGAAGATCCCCAGAGGGACTTCTTTTTTCTCTATTGCAGTGTATATATGTTCTAGCATGTGTATAATAGCATCATTAGTATTTTTATTAGGCCTGAATCCAAATTGGCAGGGGTTGAGAATGTTATGGGAGATGAGGTAGGAGTAGATTCGTTTATGAATTAATTTTTCGAAGATTTTTGAGAGAGGGTGTAAATTGGATATTAGCCTATAGTTATTCAACTCTGTTTGGTCACCTCCTTTATGGATCGGGGTGACCCTTGGCATACTACTATATAGAAAGCCCCTTGTTATACAGAGCATTTCGGGCAAATTATGTCAATTTTGTCCCCAGGATGCGACCAGTCGACTAACACCTAGGCACCTATTTTTCTGATAGGTGAACACAGACGTCCTCAAGTTTCCACCCGTACCAGGTCCATACCGGACCTCTGTAAGCTGAGTGTGCTAGCAATTTATATCTTCTGATAGGTGGCTAGTATGTAAATACTAGTAATAATTAGCCAACAGTACTAAGTTAGCTGTGGTTGTAGCATGTACACGTGCTTGTCATTGTCTTAATAAACATTCTTTAGGTTTAAAAATTCAGTTGGTAGAATCTCCAGACAGGATCCCATGATTTGAATACCACGTCTAATAATGGTATACACTGTGAACTTGGTAATGTATACCGACAAACTGGTTTAAAAAAAACACGTGAGCAAACACTAGGACATATTTATTAGAAAACGTTTCGGTCCTAAGACTTTGTGTATTAGAAATGATCAAGGGCCCAGGACCAAAACGTTTTCTAATATGTCCTAGTGTTTGCTTACCTCTTTTAAACCATGTCTAATAATGTCTGTATAGACTGATCGGGAGGAATGAACATTAAATACTATCATTGGTAAAGAACAATCTTTAATATACAATTATACATTAAAATTGCACTTTCATATATAACAAAACGTAAAAAAAAAATATAGAGAATTAAAAGTTTTAGTGGTTCGGAATGGAGTCCTTTGAACTGCATTTTGTACACTAGAAGTTATTGTTTGTTGTAGCCTCTTCTTGTTGAATTCCTTCATAGGCTTTATAGGTACTTGCTTTATCTGTCTCCTGCCGTCGCTATAAGCTTGTGGAGACCACAAGCTGCCGTGGCTACAAGCTTGCAAAGACCACACGCTACCGTGGTTACAAGCTTGCAAAGACCACGCGCTACCGTGGTTACAAGCTTGCAAAGACCACACGCTACCGTGGCTACAAGCTTGCAGAGACCATAAGCTGCCGTGGCTACTAGCTTGTAGAGACCACAAGCTGCCGTGGCTAAAGGCTGGCGGAGATCACAAGCTGCCGTGGCTAGTGAAGACCACAAACTGCCGTGGCTATAAGCTGGCGGAGACTACAAGGATCACTAACCTGCCATGACTAATGGCTACAGGTTAAGAGGAACCACAGCCTGCCGTGGCTACATGCGGTTCGATAGTGAGCGGTGCTGTAGTAGTGGTGGGGGCCTCAGAGGTGTAAATGCGTCGCGGGTTGCTCTTCTTGCCCTGGAGTCGACCTGAGGGTAGCGAGGGAGGTCGACCTCTCTTAGAGCCCTGTATGGTGAAGCAGGTTACCTGCTCACCTCTCTTTTCATTCCTCACATACAGTTCCTGAAGCCACAACTTCAGCGCATACCTGACAGGGCATGTTAATAGCGATTATGCTTACATTATTATTACTATTAATGATCCACAGAGGTCATACAGTGTATGGGGAATGGGAAGTCATCAGGTTAGAGCCAAGGAAGTGAATGGCAGCTAAAATTCTTTGGCCCTAGAGTCAAGGATTAGTCACCTTTGAGTTTATATACACCGAGATACACAACTCTCGCTGCGTAGCACTTTATATCCCTTCCCGAGAAGTGCTATGATGCTGGTGGGCATCTGATCCAAGGGATTGGAACTGTCTTCCTCTTCCTTGGATGGAAACTGATTGTCTCGCGATCCTCAGGTACCATACGCCCTTACGTTTTTAGAGCCTCCCATTATATTTAACAGCGCTTCAAGTTATTTTAACCTATCGGCCGTCTCCTCCCTCCCCCCCCCCCCAAAAAAAAAAAATCACCACCACTCATTCAATCGCTGTCTTGCCAGAGCTTCGCGGAGATCACAAGCTGCCGTGGCTACAAGCTGGTGAAGACCACAAACTGCCGTGGCTATAAGATGGGGGAGACTACATCCTGCCTTGGCTACAAGATGGCCGTAACTGCTAACCATGCCTAACCTGATATTTTATCTTAATTGTATTGGGGTGTGACAAAATATTTAAGTTCCTGACCTGGTTCCTGTGGTGAGACGCTCCACCTCGAAGCCTGGCTCTGGCATCTTCTTCCTGAGTGCCTTGGGGTTGAGGATGCCCTGCGCATGCTCTGTCAATAACACCAGGCACTAGTAAGTCTCTCACCTCTAGGGCATGATACTGATGCTGTACAATACCGACAAGTTGAAGAATAAGACACATGTCCAACACTTGGTAATAAAGATACCCAAGTGTTGCACATATGTTTTATTCTTCACCTCTAGGGTGCCTCTAGAGGCCTCGGGGAACTTTTAGCAATCTTTTAACATTTTACAGTTTAAGTGGTTTTAAACTGATTCTGGTTATTTTAAACTTTATATGACAGCATATCTGTTCTCTTTTGTTTGTGATGTAGTCTTTATTATTTTGTTTCTTAGTTTTATCCTGGGTGGTCTTATGCGTGGGTAAGAGATGGTATGAAATAATGACAGAAAAGACATATGCGGTGCTAGGATACAATATTGAGGAAACGCTTAGCCAAGAGGACTGCAGAAGCCATTCGAAGCGAAATATTTCCCTAATAAAATATAATACTGTACACGTGTCTTATTTCACATGTCTTTGTGTGTTTTTTATATATACTTTTTACTGCCATGAGAGCCGAGATATCTTCCAGATCAAAGTGTTCTTTAAATCTCAAAACTTCCTTTCCTCTGGAGAAGGCAGAAACAGAGAGTGGAAAAGAAACGTGAGAAAAATGACAAAATAAGAGGCAGGAAGTGAAGGGAAATAAATTGGAAATATAATATAAGAGGAAGGGAGTGAGTGGGTAGGAGAACGTGAAATATATCGACGAATTAAAGTTACAAAATCGTAGCTGGAACAATTCACAGCTAATTTAGGAAGTGAGAGCAATGTTTTGGTCCGCTGTTGATCAGTCTACATGAGAAAGATTCATGTGGGATCGAAAAGTTGTCTAGCTTTTGTTTTTGATTTCCAATTAATAGACGATGTTCTAGTAGGAGGGTAGTCTTTCTCCTATACCAGGTGTAGAAAGGGATGCCGTACCTCCCCCGGTGTTAACCAGAGTGATGGGGATGTCCCTGGAGGCGGGTCTGGAGGAGCCATACACCACCACCTCAGCCATCTCCTGTGTCAGCCACAGGCTTGCATCCACTTCTTCGTTATTAAGCTGCAGCAAAAAAAAAAAAATCTCAAATTGATTTTGAATATTTTTCTTTAAGTTTTGGAGTAGCAAATTTGTGGGTTTCGCAATTTCCCATAATAATAATTTGTAATTTCATGCACTGGTCAGGGAGGTATACCATCTTTTAGGAGTGAAGAAGAGCAGAATGTAAGTGTGGGGGAGGTACGTGAGGCATTACGTAAAATGAAAGGGGGTAAAGCAGCTGGAACTGATGGGATCATGACAGAAATGTTAAAAGCAGGGGGGGATATAGTGTTGGAGTGGTTGGTACTTCTGTTTAATAAATGTATGAAAGAGGGGAAGGTACCTAGGGATTGGCGGAGAGCATGTATAGTCCCTTTATATAAAGGGAAAGGGCACAAAAGAGACTGTAAAAATTATAGAGGAATAAGCTTACTGAGTATACCAGGAAAAGTGTACGGTAGGGTTATAATTGAAAGAATTAGAGGTAAGACAGAATGGAGGATTGCGGATGAGCAAGGAGGTTTCAGAGTGGGTAGGGGATGTGTAGATCAAGTGTTTACATTGAAGCATATATGTGAACAGTATTTAGATAAAGGTAGGGAAGTTTTTATTACATTTATGGATTTAGAAAAGGCATATGATAGAGTGGATAGAGGAGCAATGTGGCAGATGTTGCAAGTATATGGAATAGGTGGTAAGTTATTAAATGCTGTAAAGAGTTTTTATGAGGATAGTGAGGCTCAGGTTAGGGTGTGTAGAAGAGAGGGAGACTACTTCCCGGTAAAAGTAGGTCTTAGACAGAGATGTGTAATGTCACCATGGTTGTTTAATATATTTCTAGATGGGGTTGTAAAGGAAGTAAATGCTAGGGTGTTCGGGAGAGGGGTGGGATTAAATTTTGGGGAATCAAATTCAAAATGGGAATTGACACAGTTACTTTTTGCTGATGATACTGTGCTTATGGGAGATTCTAAAGAAAAATTGCAAAGGTTAGTGGATGAGTTTGGGAATGTGTGTAAAGGTAGAAAGTTGAAAGTGAACATAGAAAAGAGTAAGGTGATGAGGGTGTCAAATGATTTAGATAAAGAAAAATTGGATATCAAATTGGGGAGGAGTATGGAAGAAGTGAATGTTTTCAGATACTTGGGAGTTGACGTGTCGGCAGATGGATTTATGAAGGATGAGGTTAATCATAGAATTGATGAGGGAAAAAAGGTGAGTGGTGCGTTGAGGTATATGTGGAGTCAAAAAACGTTATCTATGGAGGCAAAGAAGGGAATGTATGAAAGTATAGTAGTACCAACACTCTTATATGGGTGTGAAGCTTGGGTGGTAAATGCAGCAGTGAGGAGACGGTTGGAGGCAGTGGAGATGTCCTGTTTAAGGGCAATGTGTGGTGTAAATATTATGCAGAAAATTCGGAGTGTGGAAATTAGGAGGTGTGGAGTTAATAAAAGTATTAGTCAGAGGGCAGAAGAGGGGTTGTTGAGGTGGTTTGGTCATTTAGAGAGAATGGATCAAAGTAGAATGACATGGAAAGTATATAAATCTATAGGGGAAGGAAGGCGGGGTAGGGGTCGTCCTCGAAAGGGTTGGAGAGAGGGGGTAAAGGAGGTTTTGTGGGCAAGGGGCTTGGACTTCCAGCAAGCGTGCGTGAGCGTGTTAGATAGGAGTGAATGGAGACGAATGGTACTTGGGACCTGACGATCTGTTGGAGTGTGAGCAGGGTAATATTTAGTGAAGGGATTCAGGGAAACCGGTTATTTTCATATAGTCGGACTTGAGTCCTGGAAATGGGAAGTACAATGGCTGCACTTTAAAGGAGGGGTTTGGGATATTGGCAGTTTGGAGGGATATGTTGTGTGTCTTTATATGTGTATGCTTCTGGACTGTTGTATTCTGAGCACCTCTGCAAAAACAGTGATAATGTGCGAGTGTGGTGAAAGTGTTGAATGATGATGAAAGTATTTTCTTTTTGGGGATTTTCTTTCTTTTTTTTTGGGTCACCCTGCCTCGGTGGGAAACGGCCGACTTGTTGAAAAAAAAAATAATAATAATAATAATAACTCCTTTCCTGGCATGTGTTACAGTGATGTACTGGGTTAAACTGTGTTCCTGGATATGTGAACATTTGCCAGTGTTTTACAATCTATATATACTGCAGAAAGGTTACCCTTGAGGGGAGGCCCCTTGAAGCTAGTGAAGGACTTTTGATTCAAGGAATCAGAGCTGCCTTTCCAATCCTTGAAAAAAATCTTGATTACTTCCCATTCCCAGGTGCTGGAAGACCCATACAAATTTAGTGTTTCCACAATAATGTAGAAGGAATGACTTGAACCATAGTGTCAAAGATCCTAGCCTTCTGATCAGAGTTAAATTTCTGAACAGCGAATATCAGCAATAATAACTGTGTAATTATATTATGAAAGGCTTCGGCGCACATAATATATTTAGTGTTTATTCACTTTCAGTTCTCCTTGGTATACACTGTGACAAATGTACCTACGTCCATCGGAGACTTAGGTCTCGAGACACTTTCCAGATACGGAGCCAAGCCGGGTCACCACTACTTGGAAAAGACCCGGGCCGGGAGAAAACCGGCGAATAATAATAATAAAAAAAATCCCGCTGTCTTCCACTCTTTTTGTTCCTATTTCTTATACACACCTTGAGTCTCCGCTGCAGGTCTGAAGTCATGAGGGGTGCCTTGAGGTGAAGGTACACAACCAAATGGTGTCTTTGGGGTAGTCCCATGTAGAGCACAGGAGGATAGAGGGACTCCCACAGTCCTAACACCCGACACCCTTCCTCTAGCATAAACGACGACCGTGGATTTTCCTTTGGTGCTGATATTTCATTCTCCGCCTCTGCTTTCTTCAGTATCACGTGTAGCCCAGTTTCCTCCATCACCTCCCGTAGACCTGCCTCCTCCAGCGTCTCACCTTTCTCTGCTCCCACGACAAAATAAAAAAGCTGAAGATTTTATAGAAAGAGCAAGGGTTACGTGATTCGTTGGGGATAAAAAAAAAACAGGGATTTTAGAGTTGTTCAAAAGATAATTCGAGAATACGCTAGAAGGACAAAGAGATTAAACTATAGTCCTGAGTTATTATATAATCATGTCGATGTCTGGGATACCCCATATTGTCCCATGTTCATTCATGAATTAATATTCTTAACTATCCCATGTCAATTATTAATTCCCATGAATCTCCTATAGCCTACTTGTGGTGCTTCCGTCCCTTTCAGTTGTTTTAGATTTGCTTATCACATATGAGACCCCGAACATCCTTCATGTCCCTGACTTCAAATAGGGCTGCAGTAGACCCCCAGTGAAGATGCTCTCATCACTACCTATTTATGGTTTAAAACTCATTTCATTGACTCACCTACATGGCCCCCAGGAGGGACCCAAACCCCGGGAAAGGTTCTCATGTGCTGCGCTCGACGCGTCATGAGAAGGCATCTCTCGGCAGCCTCCAAGAGGATACAGACCCCGACGTCCACACCACGCTCCAGTATCTCCGGCGGGAGTGCCTCCTTCTCTTCGGGCTTGATCTTGTGGGCGACGCAGAAGGGTGGATGCTACAAAAAATAAAAAAGGCTTTTGGGTTTTACAATATCGCTACAAAAAATAAAAAAGGCTTTTGGGTTTTACAATATCGCAGTCAGTTTAATTAGTTTGAAACCCAATCTATCGCACATTGGTCATTCAAACTAACACAAAAAATAATTTGATCCTTAAAACAGGAATTTAAATAATCTTTTTGTGTATTCATACATAGATACACTGTATATACATAGCTCGGTGTATATACCCCAAGATACACATTCTTCGGTTTATATACCCAGATATACATCTCTTGGTGTATATACTGATGTACACATCTCTCGATGTATATATGCGCCCCATTAAATAATATATTCATTATCTCTCAAATCCTTTCTTTCCAGATGAAGATTTATTTTTTTTAATAAATTTACCAAAGTTTTTGAGAAACAAAAAAAAAAAATGACATTCGCTGAGTAATCATGAGAAGGATGCAGAAGACAACTTCAAGTTGTCTTACGTAAGTGGAAGATAAGATAACATCAAACTAGCTTTATCTATTTTCCAATAAGGAGTTCTTACCTGGAACCTGAAACCCATGGGCTGGCTATTACGATGGTCAGTGTGCGTGTTCCGGGGCTTGCCCTGAGAGGAGGAGGCTGCTGGTTGCAGGTACACGATGTTATCTTCTATATAACACTCCACCCGCCCGAAGTCGTCATGGATGCCGAAGTATTCAAGCAGACATTTGCCGAACTTTGCTGGTTGGAAGGGTTTCCCGCGATCCTTTCTCAGGTGGACTACTGTGCGGGTGATGGATGATGGCCCAGGGGGCGCTGCTGCTAACGATGGTGGTACTGCTGACGCTGCTGGCGGTGGTACCGGTGCTTCCGATGATACGTGTAGTGGTACCGACGCTGCCGATGATACGTATGGTGGTACCGGCACTGTTGATGGTGCGTGTGGTTGTACTGCTGCTGATGCTCGCGGTGCAGATGAAGGGGGCGTTGAATGTGTGGCAGAATGCATGGCTTGAAGTCACGTCCATAAGCAATTTCAGACATCAGTAATGTCCATCAGTCAACACCTGGGTCAAGACCTGGAGGATCGCTAAGAGGCTAAACCTCACAGGATGCTTTATAAATATGAAAAACTTTATATGTATGGCTATAAATATATAAGTAAAACTATTTTTCGATATGTCTTGTTTACATGTTGGCATTCATTAACCCTATCTTATGATGGCCAGCAATTGAAAAATACATTGATTAGTTTTTGTCCCAAGTCCTTCAACTATTAAAATGGATAATAATATTATTCTCTAACACACTCCTGATAAAAGACTCTCCTGATTAAATAAAGACTATCTTATCTCAAGACAAGCTTGTAACATGGTGACTCACCACTGCTCGCTCAAGTAACTGATGTTGTGGAATCTAGAGTACATAAGCTACATCCCTTCCTATTACTCTCCCTACGATACATACTCATAATTTCACAAATGGAACCCATTATTTTGTGACACCTCATGTAATGGATAGACTCTACATCCATTAACCAACTAATCATAGAAACTGTTTGAAAGAATTTAATGTTTTCTCATGAAAGATTCTTTTGGGTCTGTTGGTAATTTTCATTACATATGTGTCATTTATACTTAATAAATTATATCTTAGTTAACCTATTGCATTCATATTCCTTATCTGGAGTATTTTGCATCGTCTGCCTTGTCTCAGTGTGTAGATTTGGAACAAGTGTAGTATTTTCCAGGTATAAATTATAATGTATCCTTCTCGCCTCTGCTACAGGGAATACAGTTTGAGGGATCTAGGTATTCCCGGTAATGTGAGTGTTAGGCTGAATTGTTACGATCATTAGCTATAATATATGGTTATGTTGTGAGACTAGCAACAAAGGCACATCACGAAAAAGAAATTATAGTGTGAGCATTACGCGATCAAGTGAGGCTGTGCTAGATTTTATAGTTAAGATTTTTTAAAGATAATGTGCCTTATATTTGCGTAAAATGCTTTTCATTTATGGCGGTATTTTTATTCGTGAGTAATGTCAGTCTAACAAGTGAACTTCATATTATTTATAGTATGTTTTTATAGCATTCACATATATGGAAGTGAAGTTATTGTTGAATAATTTGAATGTTACGTTATGTCCATCATATTTTTGTCAAGGTTTGAGCTTGCTACCACCTGCAGCTCACAAGACTGCCATCCCCACGAGCCCCTTTGGGGCGGGGCAGATGGCAGACCAGAGGCCTAGCTTCTCCCTACGAGCCCCGTGAGGACGGGGACTGTGGCTAGGCCTGGGGACACTTGGTCCCAAAGATGAGGGGGTACTTGTACCTCCTCCCATGGGAGACTAAGGTCTCGAGATACTCCCCAGATAGGGAGCCAAGGCCGGGTCACCACTACTTGGAAAAGACCCGGGCCGGGAGAATACCGGCGAATAAGAAAAAAAAAATTGTCTTACGTGTTGTAGAATGTTTGTTATGGAAATCTAATCAAGGATAAAATTACTCTTATATACTGACTGCTTCTTGTTATAAATTTATATGATTCTGACAAGCAGTATACCTGGAGAGGGTTTCGGGGGTCAACGCCCCCGCGGCTAGGTCTGAGACCAGGTCTCGTGGTGGATCAGGGTCTCATCAATCAGGCTGTTACTGCTGGCCGCACGCAAATGGAGTAAGACACAAAATGCAATCACTATAAGACATGTTTACTGGAAACGTTTTGGCCCAAGTGACCTTGATCACTGGAGGCAAGATCCCAGAATTTTCTGTCTCTCCTATTTGTTTATCTTAATCACTATGACAAGATATATATATATATATATATATATATATATATATATATATATATATATAATATATATATATATATATATATATATATATGAAACATGGCTTACCTGACTCGTCCTGTACCCTAACAGGCAGCAACGCTTTCAGACATACCTGGAGTTTACCTGGAGAGAGTTTCGGGGGTCAACGCCCCCGCGGCCCGGTCTGTGACCAGGCCTCCTGGTGGATCAGAGCCTGATCAACCAGGCTGTTACTGATGGCTGCACGCAAACCAACGTACGAGCCACAGCCCGGCTGATCAGGAACCGACTTTAGGTGCTTGTCCAGTGCCAGCTTGAAGACTGCCAGGGGTCTGTTGGTAATCCCCCTTATGTATGCTGGGAGGCAGTTGAACAGTCTCGGGCCCCTGACACTTATTGTATGGTCTCTTAACGTGCTAGTGACACCCCTGCTTTTCATTGGAGGGATGTTGCATCGTCTGCCAAGTCTTTTGCTTTCGTAGTGAGTGATTTTCGTGTGCATAAATACATTTAATTAATAAGAATTTATCCACCGTCTGTAATTTTCACAATCATGGACACGACACTGTAACAAATAACGTGTGACAGAAATACCACCAATATGTCAGCAAAATGTCGAGTTCCTCATTTTACGACTAAATTGATTAATGACTTTGGCAGCATGGAAGGTCAATGCCCCTCACATTAAATATTTTCTCCACTTATCCGGAGGTATAAATGCTATGCTATTAAAGGCGAATAATCGTGAAACAATTATATATATTCTCGGTAGTTTTCTACGTGTCACTGAGGATAAGAGAGAAAAACAGCAATGTTTGGCTGTCAGTGTTTTGATGCCATGGAAACTGTGTCATAGGCTACCTGTTGGTTAAATCCTGATATACTTTAGAGATTTAATGTAAAATCAGTTGATGTGCTTTAGTTAGATCACTATAGCAGCATAATTGATCGTAATCTTTTTGTCTACTTATGTTTTACATAAAAAAATAATATATTCTGTTAAATAAAGATGTGCGTATGTATAGAGTAGTTCATAAATGACGTTTATTTATTCATTTATTTATGCACATTGTTATTTGGTTTACACTTATTTTAGTACAATATTCACCCGATGGGGCCACTCTATTACGTCTGATTATCTCCAAATTACATTTTATAATGTATTAGTACCCGAGAATAATAATCTCTGTCTTGTTTGAAGTTATTACTTCCCATTAATAATAACAGTAAAAAGATGATTAATATAATAATAATAATAATAATAATAATAATAATAATAATAATAATAATAATAATAATGATAATAATAATAATAATAATAATAATAATAATTGTAATAAAGTTGGTAGAATTACCGACAATATGTAAAGTAAAAGGACACAAGTGCAACTAATGTGACATTTATTGTGGCAACGTTTCGCTCTCCAGGAGCTTTATCAAGCCATTACAAACAATACATGGACACAGAGGGTATATAAAGGCTCAGAGTGAGGTGAATACTAGTGAGGTACCATTTCGATGTTCACTAGTGGTAGTAGTAGTAGTAGTAGTAGTAGAATTAATTGCTTTTGTCACTACCACTACTACTACTACTACCACTAGTGAACATCGAAATGGTACTCACTAGTATTCACCTCACTCTGAGCCTTTATATACCCTCTGTGTCCATGTATTGTTTGTAATGGCTTGATAAAGCTCCTGAGAGAGCGAAACGTTGCCACAATAAATGTCACATTAGTTGCACTTGTGTCCTTTCAATAATAATAATAATATAATAATAATAATAATAATAATAATAATAATAATAATAATGGTAATAATAAATAATAATAATAATAATAATAATAATAATAATAATAATAATTAATAATAATAATAATAATAATAATAATAATAATAATAATAATAATAATAATAATAATAATAATAATAATAATTAAATGTTTCCTGGGGATTGCATACCAGTAAATAAATAAGATAACGCTCCATACAAGAAACAGAAAATGAATCAAACTCACATGAATGGATAACTATGGATTTTATGAAGCAAATATTTCGCTTCCTCTAGGCTAAGATTATAGGTGTTCCTTTCTTCTTTTGTTAACCCTAAATTATACATTCGGAATAAAATTTAGGCCCATGACAGTTATTAGCTAGTTCAGTGGATGTATTATACATTCTTAATGATAGTTTAGTTACTTTACTAACACAAGTGTTGTTTAAATAAGTATATTTATCCAGGTACAGGTACATAGTAACATAAGTCAGACAATATGACTAATTTCTATTGGTGTCCTTTTAATATCTTATTATTCAGACCTTAAAAAACTCAAAGTGACTTATTTCTATTGGGGTCCCTGTAAAATCTTATTATTTAAACCTTAAAAGTTAAAACGGCTAAGTAATTCAACCATGCGAAAATTATTTACAATAAAAAGAGATTATACTAGGAATAAGGTAAACCGAGTTATTTACATTAACATTAAAAAGAGGACGTGAATGTTAACTATACAAGAAATCACTCTCCTCTCTTTCTGTAGCTTCACTCATTATGTACCTTTTAGCTCTCTTCCTTAACTGGCTCATGCTAGGATAGACTTTGACATGTGCAGGCAACCCGTTCCACTCCTTTGCTGCTGTATAATAAAAAGTGCTTGAAGCTTGACCACCTACTGTAAATATTACACAGTTGTGTTCATTTGTACCATACTGGTTTTGGTTTCCAACCTTGACAAACTTGGCAGCAAGATATTCTGGACACAGCTTGTGAGCAATTTTATAAACGTGATTTAACTTCAGTTGCTTTACTCTGTATTCAACATTCAGCATATCCAGTTGTAATTCAGCCTGGACTACATGCTTGGTGCTCTCCCTCTCAAAATAATTATCACACAACAAAAGGAAATGTCGCTTTGACTTTTCGGGTTATCCTAGGTAATTTATAGTATGTATGATAATTGTACTTATGTGTACCTGTGCCTAAATAAACTTACCTATTATTAATCCTAAATAAAGTGATTTGTCCATGACAAGGCAAGACACTTCCAGTCGGCTTTTACAAGGATCCCAGTGGAAATAAGTCACTTTGACGTTTTTGATTTATCCTAGATAATCTACATATATGCCGTTATGCATGATAATTTGTGTAACTGTATTTATGTGTACCTATTCCTGAATAAACTTACTTACCTGAATAAATTTAGTTACATAAATAAACTTACCTAAATAAACTTACCTGAATAAACTTTCTTACCTGAATAAACTTACTTACCTGAATAAACTTACCTGAATAAGCTTTCTTACCTGAATAAACTTACTTACCTAAATAAACTTACCTGAATAAACTTGCCTGAATAAACTTACTTTCCTTAAACTTACTTACCTGAATAAACTTGCCTGAATAAACTTACTTAGCTGAATAAACTTACTTACACTGTCATCTGGCGGTTGGATTCCCATACATGTGTGAGGGAGCAGCAGTATGCTCTCCTACTAGTGTTTCTCCCCACCACCACAACATTGGCAGCACGCGGGTCTTCTTTCTCCCTCTCTCCTCAACTCACAACCGCAGACACTGTCTAAAATAACGAAGTGTTAGATTGAATTGGACTTTGTTGTGTGAATGATGTTGCTGCCAGATCTGCCACCTCCCGTGGAAGGTATCCGCCACCTGCAGCGGGACACTCAGGCCTTCATGAACCAGAGGGAACTGGGATCAGGGACCCTCTATATCGCTGAGAGGTAGAGTTTTTTTTTTTTTTTCGTTTTTTTTTACTCTTATGACCTTGCAGTCGAATATGGGAAGTACAGTGCGTGCACTCTAAAGGAGGGGTGGTACTGTGGCAGTTTTATAACTAGTAAGCGCGTCTCCGGAAAGACTGAAGTGAATGATGAGTTTTTCTTTCTCGGCCCCTCAAGGGAGGTTCCTTGACGCTGGTGAGGGGCTCTTGATCTAGGGAAGTGGATATGTGCTCCAGTTTCCTTAAATGAGCTTGAATACTTTCCAACCAACCCCCCCCGCCCACATGCGCTGTATAATCCTGTGGGTTTAGCGCTCCCCATGGTTATTATAATTTTTAGGCCACCATACCTTAGTGAGAAATGATCGATGTGTTAATAAAAAAATTTTTTTTTTTGGGGGGGAGGTTTTGGTGCCCCTCAGAGAATATTCCTTGATGATGGTGAGGGAGCTCTTGATCAAGGATTTGAACCAGTGCTCCAATTCCTTAAATCCAAATTTTATTCCCCAAAAGCACTGTATTAGCCCTATGGATTTAGTGCTTCCCCATGAATGTAACAATAGGCTTTAGTGAAGTATTGCCATCAAGAATGATTTTATTTTCACATGCTCTTTAGGCTTTGGTGAAGTTATTAATTTCATAGCTTTTTCAAGCCAGCATAATTATAAGACTGCCAATGCAGTCATTCTAGAAATTTGGCCCCTCAAAATATGGTCATAAATGGTGTGGTCATAACGATAAATTGTGTAAAAGAGCACTTGTGTACAGTTCCAGATTTTATTAAAGGAAACTGAGAAAGAAACTTGTGGTAAAAATGTTCTTTAATGTGTTCCTTGATGCTGGTGAAAGGTTATTGATTTAAGTAATTAAATTTGGTGCTGGTTGTCCTGGTTGGGTCACTATGGAGTACTTTACTCCTGGCTGTGTTGTTTTATGTAAATTCTCCAGTATTAAGTGTGCTGTGCAATAAAGATAATTATTTATATTTACTGCCTAGTTGAAAAAGATAATTTTTATTTAAATAACCAAACATAATGTTGCCTATCTTAACCTGACTGAGTTTTACAGCTAGTCTTATTTCAGTTTGGTTGGGTTGAGTTATGCTGTTGTATTATTAAAATACAGCTTCTTCCTATTTGTTTAAAATGCAACTGTCTCCATTGACATAAATAATATTCTTATTTTTGCCTCTTATAACCTAGACAAAGTTTCCACAACAAGTAACTATTTTTCCATGCAGTAGATAACTTTGTTGTTATTTGTTGTGTAAAATGTTAATTGATTTCTGTTCTGGAGAAAAGCACATAATGACCCCTAATTGTTTGACTTGCTAAGAATTGCCTGCTTGTTTTACTATAATTTAGTACCTGAACAGTAATGCTTTCTCTTCTCTCCAACAGCCGGGTATCTTGGGCCAAAGATGGTGTGAATGAAGGTTTTTCTCTGCAATATCCTCACATTGCCATTCATGCTATCAGCAGAGATGTATCAAGCTTTGCCCATCCATGCCTCTATCTCATGGTTGATGCCAAGTTGGATTCTTCAGCGGGTGAGGAACTGTGATTAATGTAATTTTCTTTTACCTATTATTTTATTGAGATTTAGTGAATTCCTATCAAATCTCTTAGGTATGAAACAGGATGGGAGAGTATAACTAGGGAGGCCCACAGGGATTAGTGTTGGACTCCATATTGTTTTATACTGTAGCATGCTGTATATTAATGACCTGATAACTGGAATATGCCCCCTCAATATTTTCCTGTTATCTGTTCAGGTAGTGGCTCTAGAGATTATCTTTCCCATGGTTTTCCTAGGTTGAAATGGACATATTACAAGATTAAGAACTATTAAGTTATTGTATATGTATACTGAATGTAAATAGAAAGTTTGTAAGATTTACCTATCATCTTGAGAAAAAAGATTAACAACCCTGCCAGAGTGCAAAACATTTAACGGGTTTTCATTTCACACTCGTTTGACAGGATGGTAGTACCTCCCTGGATGGTTGCTGTCTACCAACCTACTACCTGACTGTTTATGGATGATGCCAAAATAAGGATAATACAAACTGAAGGTAAAAAAAAATAAAATGATGGAAGATTTCGAAAGCATTCATGGATAGTCAGAGAAATGAGTACTGGAGTAAAAGTACTGTATAAAGATTATAGATTGGAGGCAGAGAGGAGGTCAAAGATAGTAAGTACCATTTGGGAGAAAGCAGAAAGCTTGCAGGAACAGAGAAAGACCTATAAATTAATCACCACCCTAAACCTGTGTTTCGAGGCACAAGCAAATATAATAACATCAGCACAGGCTACACTCGAAATGTAAGAGTGGTATTTAGGAACCCAGACAAATAATTATTCAAAGCAGTTTACCTCGTATATGCAGCCATGCTTGAATATGCTTTGCCAAGATGGAATCTCCATGTATTGCATCAAAGTGAAACTCATAAATTTCAAAGGAGTGCATTTAGAAAGCTGAAAGGAGTGAACTCCTTAGAAAGAATGAGGGTGGGGCTCACATGATCATTACGTGGAAAATACTTTGGGACATAGGGCACATAAGGATAGGCTCTTGACCAGACATGAAGCTAAATCTAGGGTAGTGTTGGAAAAGTGAGGCACTAGGGTATCAGAAAACAAGTGGATGCCATACAGGGAATAAAATGTGTGAATCCTTGATATAACACTTCTGAAATACAGGCAAAGCCCACTAAGTAAATAGCACTTTAAATTCTTTTATTTCACTATTATCTGTAAATTGCATGTACAATACTGCATATAAAAAGTTGAATATACCATGAAACGGGCAGTAATTAAGCACTTACGTTAATGTTCTACAGCATTTCTTGACAGTGTAGGTTTTCTATGTAAGAAAAATATTTTATTACATACACACTATGATAAAAATTTACAGGCCTTTATGTTACTGTACAACATGAAGTTAACAGACTGATTAGTGTTAACTTAAATACAAATATTTTTTATATTAGATTAAGGTGAACACCTATTAGTGTTATTTAATATAGCAGAGTTTATGAATATAATAAATACTATAACACATTTTTACTTAGAGTTTTCAAGATATGAAATTTGTTGTGCGTGAAGTACTATCAGAAAGTTCTCAGACTTGAATTTTCACTTCCTGGGTGAAACATAGCAGCAGTGTAGATCACTCTGCACAGTACATTTCTTTGTGAAGTAGTGTGGTGTTTCAGTGCAGTTAGCCATTCCATTGAGGTTAGATGGGCATTTATTGTCGTGCCAGAGCATTGTGATTTTTTTTGTGTAGCAGAATGAAAATTTAAAAGACAGAACAGCGTGCATGTTTGGAATTCCATTTCATGCTCTGTAAAACAGCTAGTGAAACTCGCAAAATGCTTCAGCAAACATTTGGTGACAAAGCAATGGGCCATAGTGTTTTGAATGGTTTTCTCTATTCATAGCAGGATGAACATCATTTGAGGATAAACACACTAGTCATTCTTCAACGACAAAAACAGATGTCAACATTCCTTCAGTGAGAAGGCTATTCACGAAGATCATTGTCAGATTATCCAAGATGTTGCAATAGCTATGGGAATTTCTTGAGTTATGCCAAGTCATTCTGACTGAAAATTTGAACACAAGTCGAATGGCTGGGAAATTTGCTCCCTGCTTGTTGACTCGGTACCGGAAAGATTGTTGCTTATGGTAGTCATCCCCCACCCTCTCTACTCCCAAGATCTAATCCCCTGTGACTTTGTCTTCCAAAAATAAAAATGGCACTCAGAGGCATTTTAACCCTTTCAGGGTCCGTCCCGTAGATCTGCGGCTTTACGTTCAGGGTCCAAACCGTAGATCTACGTCATGAGATCAGCTCCCTCTGATAAACTGTGAGTGGTACATTTGGGCCTAAATATGAGAGAATACATCTATGTGGTATGTGTGCACCACATGAAACAGATCCTGCAGCACACTGTGTATAATGAGAGAAAAAAAACTGAAATCATGATTTTTCGATTAAAACAGCGACTTTGCAGTGTTTTTTCGTATGTTTTTTATAGTTGTATTTGCGATTTTTAGGTAGTAGGTTGGTAGACAGCAACCACCCAGGGAAGTACTACCGTCCTGCCAGATGACTGTGAAACAGAAACCTGTAACTGTTTTGCATGATGGTAGGATTGCTGGTGTCTTTTTCTGTCTCATAAATACGCTAGATAACAGGGATATCTTGCTACTCCAACTTACACTTTGGTCACACTTCACAGACATGCACATGCATATATATATACATACATCTAGGTTTTTCTCCTTTTTCTACATAGCTCTTGTTCTTCTTTATTTCTTCTATTGTCCATGGGGAAGTGGAAAAGAATCTTTCTTCCGTAAGCCATGCGTGTCGTATGAGGCGACTAAAATGCCGGGAGCAATGGGCTAGTAACCCCTTCTCCTGTAGACATTTACTAAAAAAGAGAAGAAGAAAAACTTTATAAAACTGGGATGCTTGAATGTGCGTGGATGTAGTGCAGATGACAAGAAACAGATGATTGCTGATGTTATGAATGAAAAGAAGTTGGATGTCCTGGCCCTAAGCGAAACAAAGCTGAAGGGGGTAGGGGAGTTTCGGTGGGGGGAAATAAATGGGATTAAATCTAGAGTATCCGAGAGAATTAGAGCAAAGGAAGGGGTAGCAGTAATGTTGAATGATCAGTTATGGAAGGAGAAAAGAGAATATGAATGTGTAAATGCAAGAATTATGTGGATTAAAGTAAAGGTTGGATGCGAGAAGTGGGTCATAATAAGCGTGTATGCACCTGGAGAAGAGAGGAATGCAGAGGAGAGAGAGAGAGAGAGAGATTTTGGGAGATGTTAAGTGAATGTATAAGAGCCTTTGAACCAAGTGAGAGAGTAATTGTGGTAGGGGACCTGAATGCTAAAGTAGGAGAAACTTTTAGAGAGGGTGTGGTAGGTAAGTTTGGGGTGCCAGGTGTAAATGATAATGGGAGCCCTTTGATTGAACTTTGTATAGAAAGGGGTTTAGTTATAGGTAATACATATTTTAAGAAAAAGAGGATAAATAAGTATACAAGATATGATGTAGGGCGAAATGACAGTAGTTTGTTGGATTATGTATTGGTAGATAAAAGACTGTTGAGTAGACTTCAGGATGTACATGTTTATAGAGGGGCCACAGATATATCAGATCACTTTCTAGTTGTAGCTACACTGAGAGTAAAAGGTAGATGGGATACAAGGAGAATAGAAGCATCAGGGAAGAGAGAGGTGAAGGTTTATAAACTAAAAGAGGAGGCAGTTAGGGAAAGATATAAACAGCTATTGGAGGATAGATGGGCTAATGAGAGCATAGGCAATAGGGTCGAAGAGGTATGGGGTAGGTTTAAAAATGTAGTGTTAGTGTTCAGCAGAAGTTTGTGGTTACAGGAAAGTGGGTGCGGGAGGGAAGAGGAGCGATTGGTGGAATGATGATGTAAAGAGAGTAGTAAGGGAGAAAAAGTTAGCATATGAGAGGTTTTTACAAAGTAGGAGTGATGCAAGGAGGGAAGAGTATATGGAGAAAAAGAGAGAGGTTAAGAGAGTGGTGAAGCAATGTAAAAAGAGAGCAAATGAGAGAGTGGGTGAGATGTTATCAACAAATTTTGTTGAAAATAAGAAAAAGTTTTGGAGTGAGATTAACAAGTTAAGGAAGCCTAGAGAACAAATAGATTTGTCAGTTAAAAATAGGAGAGGAGAGTTATTAAATGGAGAGTTAGAGGTATTGGGAAGATGGAGGGAATATTTTGAGGAATTGTTAAATGTTGATGAAGATAGGGAAGCTGTGATTTCGTGTATAGGGCAAGGAGGAATAACATCTTGTAGGAGTGAGGAAGAGCCAGTTGTGAGTGTGGGGGAAGTTCGTGAGGCAGTAGGTAAAATGAAAGGGGGTAAGGCAGCCGGGATTGATGGGATAAAGATAGAAATGTTAAAAGCAGGTGGGGATATAGTTTTGGAGTGGTTGGTGCAATTATTTAATAAATGTATGGAAGAGGGTAAGGTACCTAGGGATTGGCAGAGAGCATGCATAGTTCCTTTGTATAAAGGCAAAGGGGACAAAAGAGAGTGCAAAAATTATAGGGGGATAAGTCTGTTGAGTATACCTGGTAAATTGTATGGTAGAGTTATTATTGAAAGAATTAAAAGTAAGACTGAGAATAGGATAGCAGATGAACAAGGAGGCTTTAGGAAAGGTAGGGGGTGTGTGGACCATGTGTTTACAGTGAAACATATAAGTGAACAGTATTTAGATAAGGCTAAAGAGGTCTTTGTGGCATTTATGGATTTGGAAAAGGCGTATGACAGGGTGGATAGGGGGGCAGTGTGGCAGATGTTGCAGGTGTATGGTGTAGGAGGTAGGTTACTGAAAGCAGTGAAGACTTTTTACGAGGATAGTGAGGCTCAAGTTAGAGTACATAGGAAAGAGGGAAATTATTTCCCAGTAAAAGTAGGCCTTAGACAAGGATGTGTGATGTCACCGTGGTTGTTTAATATATTTATAGATGGGGTTGTAAGAGAAGTAAATGCGAGGGTCTTGACAAGAGGTGTGGAGTTAAAAGATAAAGAATCACACATAAAGTGGGAGTTGTCACAGTTGCTCTTTGCTGATGACACTGTGCTCTTGGGAGATTCTGAAGAGAAGTTGCAGAGATTGGTGGATGAATTTGGTAGGGTGTGCAAAGAAGAAAATGAAAAGTGAATACAGGAAAGAGTAAGGTTATGAGGATAACAAAAATATTAGGTGATGAAAGATTGGATATCAGATTGGAGGGAGAGAGTATGGAGGAGGTGAATGTATTCAGATATTTGGGAGTGGACGTGTCAGCGGATGGGTCTATGAAGGATGAGGTGAATCATAGAATTGATGAGGGGAAAAGGGTGAGTGGTGCACTTAGGAGTCTGTGGAGACAAAGAACTTTGTCCTTGGAGGCAAAGAGGGGAATGTATGAGAGTATAGTTTTACCAACACTCTTATATGGGTGTGAAGCATGGGTGATGAATGTTGCAGCGAGAAGGCTGGAGGCAGTGGAGATGTCATGTCTGAGGGCAATGTGTGGTGTGAATATAATGCAGATTTCGTAGTTTGGAAGTTAGGAGGAGGTGCGGGATTACCAAAACTGTTGTCCAGAGGGCTGAGGAAGGGTTGTTGAGGTGGTTCGGACATGTAGAGAGAATGGAGCGAAACAGAATGACTTCAAGAGTGTATCAGTCTGTAGTGGAAGGAAGGCGGGGTAGGGGTCGGCCTAGGAAAGGTTGGAGGGAGGGGGTAAAGGAGGTTTTGTGTGCGAGGGGCTTGGACTTCCAGCAGGCGTGCGTGAGCGTGTTTGATAGGAGTGAATGGAGACAAATGGTTTTTAATACTTGACGTGCTGTTGGAGTGTGAGCAAAGTAACATTTATGAAGGGGTTCAGGGAAACCGGCAGGCCGGACTTGAGTCCTGGAGATGGGAAGTACAGTGCCTGCACTCTGAAGGAGGGGTGTTAATGTTGCAGTTTAAAAACTGTAGTGTAAAGCACCCTTCTGGCAAGACAGTGATGGAGTGAATGATGGTGAAAGTTTTTCTTTTTCGGGCCACCCTGCCTTGGTGGGAATCGGCCAGTGTGATAATAAATAATAAAAAATATTTGCGATTTCTTGGTCTCGTTTGATAGAATGGAAGACATATTACAGAAATAGAGATAATTTTGATTGGTTTTAGCACTGGAAATGGCTTGAAACTGAGCTCAAAGTAGCAGAAATGTTAAATTTTTGCCGATATTCAAGAGTAAACAAATGACCTCACACGTCTAATACACGCCAGCTGGTGGGTCTAATATGCATTCACAAATATGGTGATGATATTTATACAATTATTACAGTATTGCATAACAGTAAATCTTCTCTTTTTTGGTGTGAATAAAAATTCATTATTTTATTTTTTTTTATTTTATTATCACACTGGCCGATTCCCACCAAGGCAGGGTGGCCCGAAAAAGAAAAACTTTCACAATCATTCACTCCATCACTGTCTTGCCAGAAGGGTGCTTTACACTACAGTTTTTAAACTGCAACATTAACACCCCTCCTTCATTATGTGAATAAAAAATCAAAATGGAATTTATTTGTAAAGCCTCAAAACGTAACTAATGAACAGAGGAAATGTTAGTATAGCTCCAGGAATACCTTCATTGTTTATTCTGGACCCTATTTTGAAATTGGAATATTTTGAACTTTGTGTTAAATTGGCCAAATTAACAATTTCCGATCACTTTAATTTGCAGTTGAAACAGTTGACTTGGCGATTTCTTGTGCTCAATCGATAGAATGAAGTAATACTAGTGAAATAGCTAAGAATTTGGTTGACTGGAATAATGTAATTGGCCTAAAATGGGAGTCAAAGTCGGCAAAATTGCCGCTTCGTAAATATCGCTGACACATCAAAATTTGCGAGAGCATAATTTCGTTAATTTTCCATCAAATTTCGTACTTTTTCTTTTATTACATTCACAAAAAGATTCTCTACCATTTCATAAGAAAAAATAACAAATTTTTTTTGTTTAAAATTCTTGGACACTGGGGCACCACTTCAGATTTGGGCCTTGGACCCTGAAGAGGTTAATGATGTGGAGGAGATGTATACAGAATCATTGCCCATGTTAGACACCATTGGGAAAGAATAGTTCCAGAAATGTTTTGAGAGATGACAGAGGCAGGGGGGGTCAATGTCTAGCCTCCCAAAGAGTGTACTTTGAGGGACACAACTTTGACCAGGCAATTAGGTAAGCCTATACTGTATATATATGTATGTATTTTTTTTGCGGCAGTCCTGGAGCTTTTTGATGGCACCTTCTATATTTAGAGCATCTGTAGTTTAAATAGGCTACAGTATTCATTTGTATCTCTTAGTGCTAAAGTTGATTTTTACCAACTTCTAGTGTATCCCTTCTCCTCAAGGGAGGTTCCTTGATGCTATTGAGGGACTCTTGATCCAAGGAATTGGACCTTTCTCTTCCTTGGATTGAACCTGGAATGCATCCCATTCCTCCCAGGCAATGTATAACCTTTGAGTTTAGTGCTTCCCCATGAATGTAATTACAGTAGCTGAGGTGTATACCTGGAGAGTGTTCTGGGGTCAACGCCCCCACAGCCTGGTCTGTGACCAGGCCCCATGGTGGATCAGGGCCTGATCAACCAGGCTGTTATTGCTGGCCGCACATAATCCAACTTAGGAACGACAACCCGGCTGGTCAGGTACTGACTTTAGATGCCTGTCCAGCACCTGCTTGAAGACAACCAGGGGTCTACTGGTAATTCCCCTGATGTATGCTGGGAGGCAGTTGAACAGTCTTGGGCCCCTGACACTTGTTGTGTTTTTCATTTGGGGATTTTGCACCATCTGCTGAGTCTTTTGCTTTCGTAGGGAGTGATTTTCGTGTGCAACTTTGGCACTAATCCCTCTAGGATTTTCCAGGTATATATAATCATGTATCTCTCCCTCCTGCATTCTAGGGAGTACAGATTTAGGAACTTAAGTATTCCCAGTAATTGAGATGTGTTCCTACTCATGAAGCAGTGATTTATAAAATACAGGTAGCCATAAGTACACTGGTTGAAACAGTGGAATATAACCAAAATAGCATTTTATGGTACATGAGCATTTTTTTTTATGCAATTATGTCTGTAAAAAAAAACTATGTATACCTTTTCAGATTTTATTAGGGAAATGAGGGAGGCAACTAGATTTATAGTTTTTTTTTTTTTAACCATCCAGTGTTCAAGAGGTCAGTTGAGCATGTTTTCATACATAAACTCTTGATATCCAGATCTGTGTGTTAAAGGCTTGTGACCAGTAAAATCTTTTGGCAAATTGAAAAATGGGAGCCATTTGTGTGAAAAAGACTTTGTAAGTTTTTTATTTGCATGTCAGAAAAGGCTCAAATTGAAAAATCTTGCTTTAGGGCAAAATCAAGAGGAAATTAGGCATTATTAACTGCTCTTGTGTTAGGATATCGCATTACAATAATTTTATGTATTTTCTCTTAATTACTAATAATTTCAGCCAATGCATTGAATGATGGAGATTCTGACTCTGATGGTGAAGACGATGAATCGGCCATGACTGAGGTTCGGTTTGTACCATCTGACCATGTCTCGCTGGAGCCCATGTACAAGGCCCTCAATGACTGTCAGCTTCTCCACCCAGATCCAGAGGATCAGCAGTCAGATGAAAGTAAGAATTATTACATTTTTGCAGAAATTTAATTTCTGTTTGCAGTGTACATGAGGGGCCCCATTTTTACTGCTGTAAGGTTCCTGACTCCCGATAATAAGTGAAAATCATTGGCGAGTGGAAAAGAGCTCTTTATTCAATACCAAATGTGTCTAAAACTCCTGATAACATGTTTACACTATCATATTCAGTGTTCAGTGCAACTAGGTGTAAAAAAAGACACAAAATCAATATGCACAGTACATACAATACTTACCTTAAAATGTGGCATCAGTCACCCTTCCCTTATTCAGCTGTTCTTTAAAAACTGGAAAAGCAGAAAAAACACTTGAACATAATGAACAATGGATCAGTTGAAAATTAACAAAAACATTATTGTTTTGGAGGGCAATATTTTAGTGTGAAAATCTTGAGTTTATCAGTTTTATATGAATTTATTTATTTTTATTTTATGTTTGTATGTGAAGTGAAAAACCTGCGTTTGGTTTAGTGCAAGGAGTGGGGAGGCTTAATCATTTATTCACTAATTGCAAGACATGCACTCTAACTGTATTTACCTAGTTGACATACTAGGTATTAATCATGAATATTGTTTTACTAGGTATTAATCATGAATATTGTTTTACAGATGTTGGAGAAGATGATGATGATGAAGATGAAGGAGAGTATGAAGTGAGTGAAAATGGATATCATATGCCTAGTTCCTCTGAAGACAACCTGGAAGGTGGTGAGAATCAGTTTTAATTGTTCAAAATTGCATAGGATTGCCAAGGAAGGATTTTATTTGGATCTTGGCTAAAAAAATTAACAAGAAAGCTTTTTTTTTTATAACTTAAGGCATTTGAAATGTCAGAAAGATTCAAAATTACATGACTTCAAGAAAGGGGATTTCCCAGAATGGGCTGTGAATTTGAGAGAATTACTTTTGCAAGGAAGGGTGTGCATTTAGTTAATCATCTATTATTAAAAAAAAAAATAGAAAAGTAGAAAGCAAGCTGTATTAGGCAGTCTTAAGCAAACAAACATCACTTAACTACCCTGTAATCCACCTTTCTGACTGGCTGCATACACCACTTGCACACAAAATTACATTTTTCTGATAAACCTGAATGGATCCTGAGTTCAGTCAACAAAGAAAGCATATTACCAATGCAGTAAATCAAGCCTGTTCATCAACTTCAGCATTTTCTTCTCTAAACACTTGAAACTAATATAGAAACTACCTCAACCCATTTCCCAATAGATTTAAATGAGAATTTCATCATATGAAAATTGTGTAAGGAGTGTACTACAGTTATAAGCTAAGAAGAGGAGAGAGACTTAAAAATGAAACCATCTATTCAAGAGAAAAATTACATAGATTTAAGGTTATTGCAAGTCTTGTCGAATCTAAGGCATTTCAAAATATTTTCAAGAAATGATATTAATGAATTATACTTTTGTCCCCAGCAGAGAAATGAAATAGTGCTATAAATTTTCAGAGATGATGTAAAGATTTTTTTTCTGATAAAGATGAAAGTAATAAGAACCAGACATGGTATCACCCTAGATTTTCAGTGAATGTGAAATTGTATATTATGTGCTCTTTGAGAATTAAGTACAGGAGGTAAACTTGTAGATAAATGGAAAATAGTAAATAATATGGTAGTATTTGAAAATGCTAATAAGAAAGATCTTCAAAACTATAGACCCAACTTAGTAATATGTAGTTTTAATAAAAAATCATTAGTATGTGTATATGTTGCTCCATTGTACTTATGGTAATGTATTTGGAAGATGCTCACTCAAGAGACCCTTGTCATCATTGGCTGGTGACAGTTTCACTTTCTATAACTTAGGTGATACAAGTTTATATTGTACACTACACAAATTCTAGGCAGCAGCTGAAACAACTGAGTTTACACCGTGTGAAGAGTTTGTGAAATGTGTGGTCTGCTCAAGCTTCAAGGCTTGCTCAAAAATTACCTGACCTCTCATTCCCCTTGATCATATCTGATGCGTTTCTCATCAAAATTCATCAAATAACCCACCAATCATTTAAATTCATGCAATGGAGGCTGCAGAGCAGTCTTCTGAAAGCACTGGTCTGGTGGGTTAGTAGTTTTAGAGCTGTAACCCACTCCTTGGTAATGCTGGCTTTGTTAGTGATTTAGACAGTCAGTGAAGAACTATTGAGTAACTACATTATGCACTATGGTTCTACAGCACTTGCTGACTCGGTGATTTTTTTGCCTCGGTTATGCAAGGGTTAAACCCTCATAATCTCATCAGTCTTATTGTGCAGACGTTAAACCCTCACAATCCCATAATCAGGCTTACTGTGTCAATATACAGTACTGTATGTATATAGACTGTCAAAGGATTAAATAATGAAATAGTATCAACGATAAAAAAATTTCTAATGGCTGAACTCTCCTGTCCAATAGTTTTTCAAGGAGATTAACAGAGGGTGGATAAGAAACCAAAAAAAAATAAAAAATAGAAGGAAATGCACACGCTTAGATTCACATACAAACATTGATTTAGTAACCTCTGAAAGACTAGTATTAAGGGACATTATAAATGAGGAAAAAGCTTTACCCAGTGAGCTTAACTAATAAAAAAAAATTGTAAATGAGTAACTAAATAAAAAAGGCACAATACCGTGACTGGAACGATACACAAATAACCCGCACATAAAAGAGAGAAGCTTACGACGACGTTTCGGTCTGACTTGGACCATTGACAAAGTCACACTAACCAGAGGTGGAGCAGGACGGCTATATATAGGCAGGAAGAGGTGGTGGTAGTAGTAGTAGTACAAAAATTGTATATAATACCGACAAGATGAAATTAAGACACACTCACAACACCCGGGCATCCCCATCGTAGACGTTTCGCCGTCCAGCCAGCCACTGGATGGCGAAACGTCCACAACAAAGACAACCAGACGCTGCACATGTGTCCTAATTTCATCAGTAGTTGTAGTAGTAGTAGAAGAAGAAGAGGTAGTAGTAGTGGTAGTGGTAGAAGTGGGAAATAAGGATGACGAGCCAGTCAAATACAAAGGAAGGGGAGCACTGCAAGAGAGCTAGATGCCCACAGAGGGAGAGCAAGCGCACAGAGGTGCATGAAAGGGGAAGTGGTGAAATGAAGAAGGAACAGAAACACGAGACAGGAGAGAGAAAGACAACCCAGAGGCTTGCCGACACTAACAATGCTCTTTTCTGTCACGTCAGAGATCATAGCCATCTTATTGACTGGTCTTCTCCTAAAACTGTCTTCCCTACTTCCAACTCGAACAGTTGCCGTCTAGTTGAATCCTCTCTAATACACAACTTTCCTTGTATGAACCTTAGCCCTGGCTTCGTCTCTGTAGATGCCTTCCTCTCCCACTACATTGTAAAATGCTCCAAACTTCAGAACACCCGTGACTTAACCTGAATCCTCATTTTTTCTTTTTCTTTTTCTTCTTCCTCTTCCCCTTTCCTCTTTCCTTTTCTCCTCTGGGTTGTCTTTCTCTCTCCTGTCTCGTGTTTCTGTTCCTTCTTCATTTATTTCACCACTTCCCCTTTCATGCACCTCTGTGCGCTTGCTCTCCCTCTGTGGGCATCTAGCTCTTGCAGTGCTCCCCTTCCTTTGTATTTGACTGGCTCGTCATCCTTATTTCCCACTTCTACCACTACCACTACTACCTCTTCTTCTTCTACTACTACTACAACTACTGATGAAATTAGGACACATGTGCAGCGTCTGGTTGTCTTAGTTGTGGACGTTTCGCCTTCCAGTGGCTGGCTGGATGGCGAAACGTCTACGATGGGGATGCCCGGGTGTTGTGCATGTGTCTTAATTTCATCTTGTCGGTATTATATACAATTCTTGTACTACTACATACTACTACTACTACCACCACCACCTCTTCCTGCCTATATATAGCCGTCCTGCTCCACCTCTGGTTAGTGTGACTTTGTCAATGGTCCAAGTCGGACCGAAACGTCGTCGTAAGCTTCTCTCTTTTATGTGCTGGTTATTTGTGTATTGTAAATGAGCTAGTACTCAAGGATAATTACTTAGTTTGGAGGAAGGAAAACAAGAAAGGAAGAGACTTGACAATATTAGTGAAACCTTTGATGTTGGTGAAGGCTCTTGATCTATGGAATTGGAACTGCCCTTCCTTGGATCAAAGCTGATTACTTACCATTCCCCAAGTGCTGCAGTATATGAAAAATTTATTCAAATTTATTCCCAGAAAGTGGAAATGGGGGGGAAAAAAAAAAAGTTTAGCTCAAGTTACTGAAGGATCAAAGAAAAAGAAAAAGTACTTAGAGCCAAACTGGAAAGTTGGAGATTTAGCAGAGGGGCTGACAGTAAATCAAGGCTATTATTCGTAACATTAATTCTTTCTAGTTATTTAAGGCTTAACTACATATCCTTGTATGGCATGATTCATTTTCTCGCACATTTCAATGCCTCACTATCTTAATGATATAAGTCTGTTACAAAATCAAATACTGTATAGCTATTTTAGGTCAGGTTGCTTTAACCTAAATAAATCTATATAATACTATCTACAGCACATGTTAATCATCCAAAAAGCACATTTCATAAATACAAGTGATAATTGGATTTGTTCATTGAATACTACTACTGTCAGTGCCACCACTGCCTTTTATCACTACTACAGTACTATAACTTTGGTAGCCAAGTCTGTGGTCAACTGATTGCCCTAGGTGTTTTTGTGCACTAATATCAGGGACCTGTTGGCCAAAATCAGCTCCTGCATTGCAGCCTGTTGAATCTGGTGTTTGAAAAGTGCTTGTCCCACCAATTATTAAAGGACTATTGCTTTGCACACAAAACTTGAGCATTCTTTTTCATTGAACTGTAACTGATCTGTAGACATAACCACATGTAGGGTTATAAAAGGATACAAAAGTAGATAATAGATTTATCCTATCTTCGACATGGTGAGCGAGAAGCAAAGTTGTAAACAGAAAGAGTAGCGTCAAAGATGTACTAAAGCACTCTTCTTCATGGAGTAATAAGAGAAGAGTGCATAATGAGAGGATGTAGGAAATGCTGCAACAGTTGGAACTTGATAAAAAAAAATGTATTAAACACCAAAAAAAATAGACACCTACTCTTGTAGCTGCAAACAGATAATGACAAGATGAAACACTGAAAAAATAGATGGAGATTTCTTGGTACTTCCTCTAAAAACAACAAAAGGCCCACATTTTAAATGAGGAAAATGTAGTGTTAAAAGGAAACTAGAAAATATTTCTTCACAATTGGTGGTTAAATTATCAGAAGAGATCCAGGAAAATGAGACCATAAACACTAGGTGGTACTCCATAAGTGCGACTCTTCTTCTGTAATTACAATTAGGTAATCACAAATAGGTAATCTTACACACTTCTCTTGTATTGTTTTGATGAACGCAGTTTTGAGTTTTTTATTTTGTCACTATTTTGATGCTGCTGTTCTTATAATTTTTTTGAATACCCACGTAAACAGTTGCAGTCATCTATTAGAATGCCAAATACTTTCTTCAGCAGGCCCGGAGTCTGTAGTACCTGATGGAAGTGTTGCAAGTAATGAAGTGAGGAATGGAGACATGGATGGCGAGGAAGCCATGGAAACTGGGCAGTTTGATGATGCAGACCCATAAAAAAAAAGGGGGATTTTTTTTTTTTAAATACATTTGTCTACTTTTTTAATATTGTAACTGGCAAAATTGATAGCATGCATGATCAAGGAATATGTGACCAGAATTAATTAAAATCTTGTGTAAAGTGAGCCAAGTGAAAACATGTTCAGTAACATAATGTACTGTTTGCACAATGAATGTTCAACCAACCAGGATTTGATTTTGATAGACAAACTTAGTTTGATTTAAAAATTAGTATTTGTAAAAAGGGAATTCCTTTATTTTATTGTATATAGTACACTGTGTATTTAAAAGACACTAAAAGCTTTGTACTTAAGAAAATACTTGAGGTTCAGTTATATTTAGGTAATCAGTATACCAATTCATTTCCTTGCAGATTCTCCATTCAGCTGCTTAACTGAAGCAGACTCCTGCATGCACCATAGTTCTTTGTAATGTTTTTTATATTAAGGCTATACCATGAGAAATTTTGTCATTGGGGCATTGAGTCCTGCAGTTAATTTGCCATGAGGTTAGTTTTGCTTCTTAAAATATATTTAAAAAAGTTACCCATAATGTATATCAAAGTGATTTGTTAATAATGTTTGTTGTACATTCATGCAGTACCCAAATGTCTTGGTTAATTGAACAAATAAGTCATGATGACCTTTCAGTTCTGTTGATAGACCTCGTATATTTTTTATGATTCAAAATGCTTGTCATTTTATTTCCTTTGGGGTACACAAATTACAATGTCTGATTTCATCAGGTAAAGTCATGTATTTGTAATTGACTATAAACCCTTTATTGAATATAATATTGAGTGACAAAAATAAATAACTTATTTTAATTTTTATTTTCATAGCCAGGCACCATCTAATAAACAGGAATTTGTTAATATGGTGTTTTTGTCCTATTTACAAAAACATTAAGGTTCAGTGAATTTTTACATACTTATATATACCTGTTATGCTTTTTCTTTGTGTAATATGTTGCTCACAAACCATACCACGGGTGGGGATAGAACCCGCGATCTGAGTCTCAAAACTCCAGACCGTCGCGTTAGCCACTGGACCAGCTAGCCACAATAATGTTTTCTCTTTAATGGTGAAAGAAGACTTTTCTAAAAAATTTATTTTTTATTATCACACTGGCCGATTCCCACCAAGGCAGGGTGGCCCGAAAAAGAAAAACTTTCACCATCATTCACTCCATCACTGTCTTGCCAGAAGGGTGCTTTACACTACAGTTTTTAAACTGCAACATTAACACCCCTCCTTCAGAGTGCAGGCACTGTACTTCCCATCTCCAGGACTCAGGTCTGGCCTGCCGGTTTCCCTGAATCCCTTCATAAATGTTACTTTGCTCACACTCCAACAGCACGTCAAGTATTAAAAACCATTTGTCTCCATTCACTCCTATCAAACACGCTCACGCATGCCTGCTGGAAGTCCAAGCCCCTCGCACACAAAACCTCCTTTACCCCCTCCCTCCAACCTTTCCTAGGCCAACCCCTACCCCGCCTTCCTTCCACTACAGACTGATACACTCTTGAAGTCATTCTGTTTTGCTCCATTCTCTACATGTCCAAACCACCTCAACAACCCTTCCTCAGCCCTCTGGACAACAGTTTTGGTAATCCTGCACCTCCTCCTAACTTCCAAACTACAAATTCTCTGCATTATATTCACACCACACATTGCCCTCAGACATGATATCTCCACTGCCTCCAGCCTTCTCCTTGCTGCAACATTCATCACCCACGCTTCACACCCATATAAGAGCGTTGGTAAAACTATACTCTCATACATTCCCCTCTTTGCCTCCAAGGACAAAGTTCTTTGTCTCCACAGACTCCTAAGTGCACCACTCACTCTTTTTCCCTCATCAATTCTATGATTCACCTCGTCCTTCATAGACCCATCCGCTGACACGTCCACTCCCAAATATCTGAATACGTTCACCTCCTCCATACTCTCTCCCTCCAATCTGATATCCAATCTTTCATCACCTAATCTTTTTGTTATCCTCATAACCTTACTCTTTCCTGTATTCACATTTAATTTTCTTCTTTTGCACACCCTACCAAATTCATCCACCAATCTCTGCAACTTCTCTTCAGAATCTCCCAAGAGCACAGTGTCATCAGCAAAGAGCAGCTGTGACAACTCCCACTTTGTGTGTGATTCTTTATCTTTTAACTCCACGCCTCTTGCCAAGACCCTCGCATTTACTTCTCTTACAACCCCATCTATAAATATATTAAACAACCACGGTGACATCACACATCCTTGTCTAAGGCCTACTTTTACTGGGAAAAAATTTCCCTCTTTCCTACATACTCTAACTTGAGCCTCACTATCCTCGTAAAAACTCTTAACTACTTTCAGTAACCTACCTCCTACACCATACACTTGCAACATCTGCCACATTGCCCCCCTATCCACCCTGTCATACGCCTTTTCCAAATCCATAAATGCCACAAAGACCTCTTTAGCCTTATCTAAATACTGTTCACTTATATGTTTCACTGTAAACACCTGGTCCACACACCCCCTACCTTTCCTAAAGCCTCCTTGTTCATCTGCTATCCTATTCTCTGTCTTACTCTTAATTCTTTCAATTATAACTCTACCATACACTTTACCAGGTATACTCAACAGACTTATCCCCCTATAATTTTTGCACTCTCTTTTATCCCCTTTGCCTTTATACAAAGGAACTATGCATGCTCTCTGCCAATCCCTAGGTACCTTACCCTCTTCCATACATTTTATTAAATAATTGCACCAACCACTCCAAAACTATATCCCCACCTGCTTTTAACATTTCTATCTTTATCCCATCAATCCCGGCTGCCTTACCCCCTTTCATTTTACCTACTGCTTCACGAACTTCCCCCACCTCACAACTGGCTCTTCCTCACTCCTACAAGATGTTATTCCTCCTTGCCCTATACACGAAATCACAGCTTCCCTATCTTCATCAACATTTAACAATTCCTCAAAATATTCCCTCCATCTTCCCAATACCTCTAACTCTCCATTTAATAACTCTCCTCTCCTATTTTTAACTGACAAATCCATTTGTTCTCTAGGCTTTCTTAACTTGTTAATCTCACTCCAAAACTTTTTCTTATTTTCAACAAAATTTGTTGATAACATCTCACCCACTCTCTCATTTGCTCTCTTTTTACATTGCTTCACCACTCTCTTAACCTCTCTTTTTCTCCATATACTCTTCCCTCCTTGCATCACTTCTACTTTGTAAAAACTTCTCATATGCTAACTTTTTCTCCCTTACTACTCTCTTTACATCATCATTCCACCAATCGCTCCTCTTCCCTCCTGCACCCACTTTCCTGTAACCACAAACTTCTGCTGAACACTCTAACACTACATTTTTAAACCTACCCCATACCTCTTCGACCCCATTGCCTATGCTCTCATTAGCCCATCTATCCTCCAATAGCTGTTTATATCTTACCCTAACTGCCTCCTCTTTTAGTTTATAAACCTTCACCTCTCTCTTCCCTGATGCTTCTATTCTCCTTGTATCCCATCTACCTTTTACTCTCAGTGTAGCTACAACTAGAAAGTGATCTGATATATCTGTGGCCCCTCTATAAACATGTACATCCTGAAGTCTACTCAACAGTCTTTTATCTACCAATACATAATCCAACAAACTACTGTCATTTCGCCCTACATCATATCTTGTATACTTATTTATCCTCTTTTTCATAAAATATGTATTACCTATAACTAAACCCCTTTCTATACAAAGTTCAATCAAAGGGCTCCCATTATCATTTACACCTGGCATCTAAAAATGTTTGTTAATTATCTCAAGATGTTTGAAGGGAAGTGCCTGGATGGCAGTGATGGGCTCTTGGTCCAAGGAGCTACCCTTCCTATGTAACCCCTACAAGAGGTTCCATGAAGCCAGTGAGGGGCTCTTGATTCAAGGAATTGGACTACCTCTCTTCCTTGGATCAAACCTGAATGCCTCGTGTTCCCTACTGGTTTAGTGCTCCTTCTTAAATAGTATAATATATGACCCCAATGGGTATAACGCTTTATCTACGAATATACATGTGTTCAGTGTGTATTTTTAATTGACCAATAATGATGAGAATCCCTTTGACTAATACCACTAAAGGGGGGTCCCAGATTCTGGGAAGTTTTTTTTTTTCTTCCAACAAGTCGGCCGTCTCCCACCAAGGCAGGGTGACCCAAAAAAGAAAGAAAATCCCCAAAAAGAAAATGCTTTCATCATTCAACACTTTCACCACACTCACACATTATCACTGTTTTTGCAGAGGTGCTCAGAATACAACAGTTTAGAAGCATATATGTATAAAGATACACAACATATCCCTCCAAACTGCCAATATCCCAAACCCCTCCTTTAAAGTGCAGGCATTGTACTTCCCATTTCCAGGACTCAAGTCCTACTATATGAAAATAACCGGTTTCCCTGAATCCCTTCAATAAATATTACCCTGCTCACACTCCAACAGATCGTCAGGTCCCAAGTATCATTCGTCTCCATTCACTCCTATCTAACACGCTCATGCACGCTTGCTGGAAGTCCAAGCCCCTCGCCCACAAAACCTCCTTTACCCCCTCTCTCCAACCCTTTCGAGGACGACCCCTACCCCTCCTTCCTTCCCCTATAGATTTATATGCTTTCCATGTCATTCTACTTTGATCCATTCTCTCTAAATGACCAAACCACCTCAACAACCCCTCTTCTGCCCTCTGAGCTATATAATCCTCCGGGTTTAGCGCTTCCCCCTTGATTATAATACAGTGGACCCCCACATAACAATCACCTCCGAATGCGACCAATTATGTAAGTGTATTTATGTAAGTGCGTTTGTACGTGTATGTTTGGGGGTCTGAAATGGACTAATCTACTTCACAATATTCCTTATGGGAACAAATTCGGTCAGTACTGGCACCTGAACATACTTCTGGAGAGAAAAAATATCGTTAACCGGGGGTCCACTGTAATAATAATTCTGCCCTCTGACTAATGCTTCTATTAACTCCACACCTTCTCCTAATTTCCACACTCCGAATTTTCTGCATAATATTTACACCACACATTGCCCTTAGATAGGACATCTCCACTGCCTCCAACTGTCTCCTTGCTGCTGCATTTACCACCCAAGCTTCACATCCATATAAGAGTGTTGGTACCACTATACTTTCATACATTCCCTTCTTTGCCTCCATAGATAGCGTTTTTTGACTCCACATATACCTCGACACACCACTTGCCTTTTTTCCCTCATCAATTCTATGATTAACCTCATCCTTCATAAATCCATCCGCCGACACGTCAACTCCCAGGTATCTGAAAACATTCACTTCTTCCATACTCCTCCTCCCCAATTTGATATCCAATTTTTCTTTATCTAAATCATTTGATACCCTCATCACCTTACTCTTTTCTATGTTCACTTTCAACTTTCTACCTTTACACACATTCCCAAACTCATCCACTAACCTTTGCAATTTTTCTTTAGAATCTCCCATAAGCACAGTATCATCAGCAAAAAGTAACTGTGTCAATTCCCATTTTGAATTTGAGTCCCCATAATTTAATCCCACCCCTCTCCCAAACACCCTAGCATTTACTTCCTTAACAACCCCATCTATAAATATATTAAACAACCATGGTGACATTACACATCCCTGTCTAAGACCTACTTTTACCGGGAAGTATTCTCCCTCTCTTCTACACACCCTAACCTGAGCCTCACTATCCTCATAAAAACTCTTAACAGCATTTAGTAACTTACCACCTATCCCATATACTTGCAACATCTGCCACATTGCTCCTCTATCCACTCTTATCATATGCCTTTTCTAAATCCATAAATGCAATAAAAACTTCCCTACCTTTATCTAAATACTGTTCACATATATGCTTCAATGTAAACACTTGATCTACTCATCCCCTACCCACTCTGAAGCCTCCCTGTTCATCCGCAATCCTACATTGTCTTACCTCTAATTCTTTCAATTATAACCCTACCGTATACTTTTCCTGGTATACTCAGTAAACTTACTCCTCTATAATTTTTACAATCTCTTTTGTCCCCTTTCCCTTTATATAAGGGGATTATACATGCTCTCCACCAATCCCTAGGTACCTTCCCCTCTTTCATACATTTATTAAACAAAAGTACCAACCACTATATCCCCCCTTGCTTTTAACATTTCTGTCATGATCCCATCAGTTCCAGCTGATTTACCCCCTTTCATTCTCCGTAATGCCTCACGTACCTCCCCCACACTTACATTCTGCTCTTCTTCACTCCTAAAAGATGGTATACCTCCCTGGCCAGTGCATGAAATTACCGCCTCCCTTTCTTCTTCAACATTTAAAAGTTCCTCAAAATATTCTCGCCATCTACCTAATACCTCCCTCTCCCCATCTACTAACTCCCCTACTCTGTTTTTAACTGACAAATCCATACTTTCCCTAGGCTTTCTTAACTTGTTTAACTCACTCCAAATTTTTTTCTTATTTTCATTAAAATTTCTTGACAGTGCCTCTCCCACTCGATCATCTGCTCTCCTTTTGCACTCTCTCACCACTCTTCACCTTTCTTTTACTCTCCATATACTCTGCTCTTCTTGTAACACTTCTGCTTTGTAAAAACCTCTCATAAGCTACCTTTTTCACTTTTATCACACCCTTTACTTCATCATTCCACCAATCACTCCTCTTTCCTCCTGCCCCCACCCTCCTTTAACCACAAGCTTCTGCCCCACATTCTAATACTGCCTTTTTAAAACTATTCCAACCCTCTTCAACCCCCCCACTACTCATCTTTGCACTAGCCCACCTTTTTGCCAATAGTCGCTTATATCTCACCCGAACTTCCTCCTCCCTTAGTTTATACACTTTCACCTCCCTCTTACTTGTTGTTGCCACCTTCCTCTTTTCCCATCTATCTCTTACTCTAACTGTAGCTACAACTAAATAATGATCCGATATATCAGTTGCCCCTCTATAAACATGTACATCCTGGAGCCTACCCATCAACCTTTTTTCCACCAATACATAATCGAACAAACTACTTTCATTACGTGCTACATCATACCTTGTATATTTATTTATCCTCTTTTTCATAAAATATGTATTACTTATTACCAAATTTCTTTCTACACATAGCTCAATTAAAGGCTCCCCATTTACATTTACCCCTGGCACCCCAAATTTACTTACTACTCCCTCCATAACATTTTTACCCACTTTAGCATTGAAATCCCCCAACCACCATTACTGTCACACTTGATTTAAAACTTCCCACACATTCACTCAACATTTCCCAAAATCTCTCTCTCTCCTCTACACTTCTCTCTTCTCCAGGTGCATACACGCTTACTATAACCCACTTTTCACATCCAATCTTTGTTTTACTCCACAGAATCCTTGAATTAATACATTTGTAGTCCCTCTTTTCCTGCCATAGCTTATCCTTCAGCACTGTTGCTACTCCTCCTTTAGCTCTATCTCTATTTGAAACCCCTGACCTAATCCCATTTATTCCTCTCCATTGAAACTCTCCCACCCCCTTCAGCTTTGTTTCACTTAAAGCCAGGACATCCAGTTTCTTCTCATTCATAACATCCACAATCATCTCTTTCTTATCATTTGCACAACATCCACGCACATTTAGACTTCCCACTTTGACAATTTTCTTCTTATTCTTTTTAGTAATCTTTACAGGAAAAGGGGTTACTAGCCTATTGCTCCCGGCATTTTAGTTGACTTTTACAACACGCATGACTTACGGAGGAAAGATTCTTATTCCACTTCCCCATGGATATAAAAGGAAAAGTAATAAGACCAAGAACTATTAAGATAAAATCAAAGAAAACTCAGATGAGTGTGTATAAATAAACGTGTACATGTATGTGTAGTGTGACCTAAGTTTAAGTAGAAGTAGCAAGACATGCCTGTAATCTTGCATATTTATGAGACAGACAAAAGACACCAGCAATCCTACCATCATGTAAAACAATTACAGGCTTTCGTTTTACACTCACTTGGCAGGACGGTAGTACCTCCCTGGGCGGTTGCTGTCTACCAACCTACTACCATAAGAGCTTTTAATCCAAGGAATTGGACATAATCTTCCATTATGCAGCATTGTATGACCCTCTCGGGTTTAGAGCTTAATTTACATCAAACCCGATTGACTCCCATCTTCCCAGGTGCTGCATGTCCCCTATGGATTTAGTGCTCTCCCCATGATCCAAGAAATTGCGTCATTCTCACTTGGATGAAACTAGATTGTCTTCACTCCCTATGTATGACCCTGGGGCTTTAGCGCTTAGTTTTGATTATAATAAACTCCCTATGTGCTTTATAACCCCTACGGGTTTAGTGGTAGACTGGCAAGTGTCTTGATGCCGCTGCGGGATCTATCTACTCTGGCTCTTGCCTCAGTGCTGGATGACCCTTGTGGGTTTAGTGCTTATGATAATAATGTAGGTTTAACGCTTAGTTTTAATTGTAATAATAATTGTGGGCTTAACGTCTAATTATGTTTGTAAAAATAATTGAGGGCTTTACGCTTAACATTGATGATGATAATTTACCTTGGCTCGAACCTGATTGCTTCCCATTCTATGTACACTGACTACTACGGATTTAGCGTTTTTCTTGATTAGAATAATACCCTTGATGCCCGTGAAGGGCTCTTGTTCCAAGAAACTAAAGCTAATCATTTCCTTAGACGGAACTTGATTAATTGCACCTAATGGAAATAAGTCCATTTGTCTGATTTTTGTTATCCTAGGTAATTTACACTATGTATGATAATTGTACCTATGTGTACTTGTGCCTAAATACACTTAATGACCTGGCCAGGTTTAGTGCTTTCCAAGAATATACATCATAAGCTGTGCTATAAAACCCATAAGAGTTTACTGTTTGTTTTAATTATAGTAGTAATATAATCCTATATTCTTAAATTTTAGCAATTAAATTTGGGTGTGGTCTGTCCTTCCTCACTCCCTGGGGCCTGAACTTTGCCTTCCCCCCCCCCATAGACAGGTACCAGAGCTCCTATAGTCACCCTTAGGGTTAGATGGTGACGTCAGAAAAGTTACATAATTGTTACTACTATAACAAATTAAGAGTCAAAAACCGGCGATTTCTGGAGAGCAGAAATTACTTGCCCTGATTATCGTGTCAACGAAGTATATACACGTTTTGAAGTTGCAACATGTGTCATTTAGATGCTTGTTTTAATGTTACGAATATAAATTAGTCATGAGATAAAATGTCCTTATCGGCAACCGATGGTCAGTGTTCCCTGCTTCCCAAACGTCTCAGCTCCGGACTAGTGGACAAGTGTGTGGTCTATTCTCTAGCATTACTCGTAAACCTTAAAATGAGTGTCATGTGCAAGTACCTGTCGCGCTATCATAGGTAAGTCACCTCTCCAAAATCCATTACCTTCCCAAAGTTAAAAACATTAAAGTGAAAGTATTAGCACTTCCGCCAAAAAGTAGTCTTGTTTTTTTTTTTCTAGGGATGTGATAATCAAGGGATTCGTACGAGGGAATTTCTTTCGGTGGGGATGCCTTGATGCCAATGAAGGGCTCCTGATCCAAGGAACTGGAGCTACCCTCCTTTTCCCTGAATCAAACCTCATTACCTCTCATTCTTCAGGCTTTGTATGACCCCCCAAACTTAAGTGATTAGCGATCTCCTACTAATGCAATAATTATTAGGGTTAAGCCGTCCTGATATGAGTTAGTTCAATACAGAATAATGAAAGGTGTATGATGGGAAACTTCCATCACATGCCTAGTGATGGAGAGGCGCTGAGATGGCTGTTTCATGAGTGGAGTGTCACGTACACCTGAGGCTACACTTTCGTCGCCGTGTGTTTATGTAGGTACAGGTACACAAGTACAATTATTATACATAGTGTAAATTGCTACGACCGTCATGTGTACCCGCGACTTAGAATAACGCTGTGTCCGTGGTTCAATCCCCGGCAAGACCACTCTTGCCTTAGGCGTGTTCCCTTACACCTGTCGTCCCGGTTCACCTAGCAAGCAAATAGGTACCTGGGTGTTAGTCGACTGGTGTGGGTAGCATCCTGGGGGACAGATTGAGGACCCTAATGGAAATAAGACAGTCCCTCATGTCGCGCTGCCTTTCTTGGGTTATCCTGGGTGACTAACCCTCCCGGGTTAAAAATCCGAATAAAATCTTATCTCTTATCATTATATGCACCTGGAGCCGGGTACCGTCTGGAAACGGAGGACTCCCATTAATAAGAACCAGGACGTATAGTACGTGAATCAGTTTGTTATAACAGCCCATCTCTCGAGGGAGGTTAATGGACGCTGGTTGTTGACTCTTAATCCAAGGAATTGGGCCTAACCTTCCCATATCGGTTTCAGAATCTTATACTCTTAAATTTCTGAATACAAAAAGTGGACTAAAACAGTAAAGACTGCATCAGGCGGGAACCTCTCCCACAACTTTACCCCTCAAGGAAGGTTCCTTGATGTTGGCGAGGGGCTCTTAATTTAGGGAATTGGATCTGTGCTCCAGTTCCCCGAATTAAGCCTGAATGCCTTCCACATCCCCCCCCCCCCTAGGCGCTGTATAATCCTCCGGGTTTAGCGCTTCCCCCTTGATTATAATGATAATCCCACAACTTTCCTCACCACACCAACACCTCCACTAACCTTTCTCTCCACCCCATTTCTATGCCTTTAAGAGGGTTACATTGATGTTTGTGAAGGGCTATTGATCCCAGGAATTTGAGCTGCCCTTTTCTCCCATATCCCAGGCGAGGTATGCTCCCTAGTAAGTAAGTTTATTCAGGTATACACAAATACAGTCACATAGATTATCATACATAGCAGCATATGTGTAGAGAACCTAGGATAACAGCTTTATTGCTTCCCCATAAATGGAAATAAGTCACTGACATTTTTGGGGTTATACTAGGTAATTTACACTGTATGGTAACTACTACACAAATAACCCGCACATGGGAGAAAGGAGCTCCTCTCCTATGTGCGGCTTATTTGTGCATTGTCCAGTCTCGGTATTGTGCCCTTTGGTTCTTCAAAACTGCACTGTGCCTAAAAAAGCTTACTAACCTGCTTCTCCACAAGCAATGTATATCCACATCATGTCTCCACACGGTTCCCTGCTTTGGATCGAACCTAACTGCCCATCTTTCCTTTATGCGCTGTATGACCCCTACGAGTTTAGTGCTTCCTATAAATGTAATAATAATAATCCACCACACGTTGGTAATTAATGTCGATAATCTTATCTTTATTGCTCCACTCAAGTCTCCCCTCCAAGGCTGACAAATTTCGTTATTTCATGTTACGTAACCCTACCTGTATTATGGAATATGAGAGCGAAAAAATAGCTAGTTTTTGTTCCCACTATATAACTTAAACATAATAAAATAGACGCACACTACAGTTATACTTAATCATGTTGTCTAAAAAAAAAATGAATTTATCTCCCGGGTCAGCGACACGGGGACTGGGAAGCCATGTTGTTTACAACTGAAGCACGATCAGGTGGAGTCTCCATGTCAGCTTATTTCCTGACCTGTACTCGCCTATATGTGGTTGCAGGGATCGATTCACATCTGGCCCCTTGCCAGTCATTTGGCCTACACCGCCTTGTCGAGAACAGGAAGGTTATCACTTACTAGTTCCCACCCAGCAATGGCAGCCTTCACACCGTCACTCATCCAGGTGCTGGCAAAAAAACAGTGTTTACCCTAATGAAGTGATGCTCACATCATTCACAGTACACAAATTTGTGCGTGATTTCGTAGCTGTATGTTTGAAGATTTAGCCTTGATTCGATCGACTGATGTAGTTTTGCTCTCTTGTATTCTTTTGTAATGTAAGGAGTCAATCTTCATCGTGACAACTCATCAAACATCTTTACTATTACATTGTATAGGCTTATTTAAATAACTTTGGCTCTTTGTGTGTTTAGCTTTTACCTGTCTCCTCGCCTTGGTACATCCCATGTTAGTCTGTCTGGTATTCAATAAATTTTGTAAATAGTTCATTACCACTGTAACTTAGCAAACAGATGGTGTCCAGTACCTAAACCCATTATGTGCCTCTAATCCTCTGGCTACGCTCATAGAATGGGTGGGTATGGGGTACGTAACATATGAAACTAATTGTTCAGCTATCAAGACCAACCATTGATTTCAAGTTCTGAGGACAAGGTAGTATGTCCTTGTACGCTTGTGACAGAAAACCACTGTTTTTTATTATTTTATTATTATCACACTGGCCGATTCCCACCAAGGCAGGGTGGCCCGAAAAAGAAAAACTTTCACCATCATTCACTCCATTACTGTCTTGCAAGAAGGGTGCTCTACACTACAGTTTTTAAACTGCAACATTAACACCCCTCCTTCAGAGTGCAGGCACTGTACTTCCGGGTTATTTGTGTATCGTTCCAGTCACGGTATTGTGCCTTTTTGTTATTTATTTACTGTACTTCCCATCTCCAGGACTCAAGTCCGGCCTGCCGGTTTCCCAGAACCCCTTCATAAATGTTACTTTGCTCACACTCCAACAGCACGTCAAGTATTAAAAACCATTTGTCTCCATTCACTCCTATCAAACGCGCTCACGCATGCCTGCTGGAAGTCCAAGCCCCTCGCACACAAAACCTCCTTTACCCCCTCCCTCCAACCTTTCCTAGGCCGACCCCTACCCCGCCTTCCTTCCACTACAGACTGATACACTCTTGAAGTTATTCTGTTTCGCTCCATTCTCTCCACATGTCCGAACCACCTCAACAACCCTTCCTCAGCCCTCTGGACAACAGTTTTGGTAATCCCGCACCTCCTCCTAACTTCCAAACTAACGAATTCTCTGCATTATATTCACACCACACATTGCTCTCAGACATGACATCTCCACTGCCTCCAGCCTTCTCCTCGCTGCAACATTCATCACCCATGCTTCACACCCATATAAGAGCGTTGGTAAAACTATACTCTCATACATTCCCCTCTTTGCCTCCAAGGACAAAGTTCTTTGTCTCCACAGACTCCTAAGTGCACCATTCACCCTTTTCCCCTCATCAATTCTATGATTCACCTCATGTTTCATAGACCCATCCGCTGACATGTCCACTCTCAAATATCTGAATACATTCACCTCCTCCATACTCTCTCCCTCCAATCTGATATCCAATCTTTCATCACCTAATCTTTTTGTTATCCTCATAACCTTACTCTTTCCTGTATTCACTTTCAATTTTCTTCTTTTGCACACCCTACCAAATTCATCCACCAATCTCTGCAACTTCTCTTCAGAATCTCCCAAGAGCACAGTGTCATCAGCAAAGAGCAACTGTGACAACTCCCACTTTATGTGTGATTCTTTATCTTTTAACTCCACACCTCTTGTCAAGACCCTCGCATTTACTTCTCTTACAACCCCATCTATAAAATATTAAACAACCACGGTGCCATCACACATCCTTGTCTAAGGCCTACTTTTACTGGGAAAAATAATTTCCCTCTTTCCTACATACTCTAACTTGAGCCTCACTATCCTCGTAAAAACTCTTCACTGCTTTCAGTAACCTACCTCCTACACCATACACCTGCAACATCTGCCACATTGCCCCCTATCCACCCTGTCATACGCCCTTTTCCAAATCCATAAATGCCACAAAGACCTCTTTAGCCTTATCTAAATACTGTTCACTTATATGTTTCACTGTAAACACCTGGTCCACACACCCCCTAACAAATCGAACACAAAGAGTAGTGGTCAACAGAGTTAAATCGGAGGCTGCCATAGTGAAGAGCTCTGTTCCACAAGGCACAGTACTCCGCCCCCATCTTATTCCTTATCCTCATATCAGACATAAACAGAGATATACACCACAGCACCGTATCATCCTTTGCGGATGATACTAGGATCTGCATGAGGCTGTCATCTGCTGAGGACGCGGTTAACCTCCAAGAAGATATAAACAAAGTTTTCCAGTGGGCAACGGTAAACAATATGATGTTCAATGAGGACAAATTCCAACTACTCCGTTATGGAAAACTGGAGGAGATAATAACTAGAACAGAGTATACTACTGACTCCGGCCATACAATAGAGCGGAAAAATAATGTAAGGGACCTGGGAGTAGTAATGTCTGAGGATCTCACTTTCAAGGATCACAACAGTGCCACGATCGCACGTGCAAAGAAAATGATAGGATGGATAATGAGAACTTTCAAAACGAGAGATGCCAAGCCCATGAGATCCTTTTCAAATCACTTGTTCTCTCTCAGGCTGGAATACTGCTGTACATTAACATCTCCATACAAAGCAGGTGAAATCGCAGATCTAAGAGTGTACAGAGATCCTTTACTGCACGTATAAGTTCTGTCAAGCACCTTAACT